GGTGGCTCTGATTTTGGAGACGTGGGAGACAAGATGTATTGTTTTGATTAGCTTAAATTTAAGAGCTTGCTGATTAGGATGGGAATGAACAAATCGATGCTGATGATTGGCCGTTTTAGGATACGGCATGTCTGAATGGCTGTTCTGGAGCTCAGAAGTGTGTGCAGAAACTGAGCATTTCCTTCTATGTTAATTTCTGCAGATAAAGCACCTGCCTATTCCTGCAAATAGTCTTCTGTGTGAAGTTAATATTTTATTTAAGGCGTTCAACATACTTGCCATTTTCCTGCGAGTAAGGAGGGATGCAAATCATAAAATCAGTGTCTTGTTAGCAGTCTTTTTTGTTATCATAGTATTGATTCGAAGGTAAAAATCCTCAGGTATCTGTGTTGCGCTTGTTCTGCCTTTTATTTCTGTTCTTTCTACTTCAGTAATAGTTGAAAGTGTAAACTGAATGCGAGAGAAGCCCTCTAGTCATTTGTATTGATTAGTGCTAATTTTAGTGTCCCCACTCTGTGGTCCCCTCCATGCCTTCGCAGGCTTTGGTTTTTTAAAAGGCTTTTTAAAGTGGAGGCATGAGGCAGGGAATTCTTTGATTCTACAAAAATGTCTCATGGGGTTAAGTGCAGCAGCTCGACTTAATTTGTCTTTGATCTTGCCTCTTGCCTTTTTTTTTGGGAGCACTTAACTAAAAGCTCTTCTCTCTGCCTTTCTGCAAGACAGGTCGACGGTGCCCAAGTGCAGCATGTCTGCGCAATGGGACCTGATCAATGTGTGTGAAATACAGAGCAGAGCCCTATGTGTGCTGGCAGGCACCTGAGCTGCATGCGAACTGCACACGCAGTGTGCTTGAGTCTCAGCAACTGGTCTGGAGAAAATGAGAAATTAAAAGCCTGATTTGCTGTGCAGCTGCTGGTGGGAAGTATGTACGGTAGGAAAGGATGTGATACCATGATCGTGAGCACCGATTGTCCCGAGTTCTTGGTCTCAGTAACTGGTCATTGTTTTGGAGCTTCTTTCAAAGCTGGAATAGAAAAATAGAAGCGTGTTGTTGTTGCTGTTTTGCAGCAGGAGCTGTGCTGAGCTTTACTGGGGTTCTGGTTGGTTTTGTGGCTCTCTGGCGTGGAGCTGGACTGGAGAGCTGTTTCCCAGCGCGGCAGGGGAAGAGCAGGCGCAGCTCTGTGCTCTGTCGGCTGCAGGAGCCGTGAAACCACAGGGCGATTGCCGAGCGGAAAGAGTTCGAAACGTTGTTAAACAGATTTGTCTGATGTTAGCTGTAACATTCCCGCCTTGAATTGGGGGCTGTAACACATTGCATAAGGCTAAAAATGCGCTTGGAAAAATGAGCCGACTCATTGATGAGATGAGAGGACACTTGAAACATTTCAGAAAACACGTTCACTCCCAGGTCGACCTCCGACTAGCTCCTCAAAATACCTCGTGTGCATTTAGCCCTGGAGCACATGATCATAATTTACACAACGCTGGCAAGTCAATGAAACGTCAAGCAGGGAATGGAGCACACAAACGCCCACCTGTGTCTGCAGACCTGCCTTTGAGTGATGAGCAGCACTTCACACAGACGATCATGCTGGCAGTTTGTATATTTACTACAGCAGTGTAAGCATTGGAAGTTGAGGTAAAAAGTTTTTGTGATGGCTGGCCAGTGCGTTTCTGGATTATAGTGTCTTCACAGAAGTGCCCCAGCTCTGGGATTTTGGAAGGTTTTGAAGAGGGACACTGGCACCTGCTCTTTGAGAGATTATTACAGTGTGCAGTGGGATGCATGTTGCCCAGTTAACTAGCCTGTGGTACAGGTGGTTTCAATGCCCAAGTGTCTGTGACTAGGAATTTTGTGGACTTTGGAAAGTGGCGGAAGTATTTTCATGGCCCATTATGTATGTACTGTATGAAACTACTTTAGGAAACCTTAAAGTTACGCAGCAGAAGAGGAGCTCCACATTTGAGCTGGGAAGCTTCCAGAGTTGTGTAGTTTGTACAACTATGAGGAAAGCATCCCTGATATGGAGTCATAAGATCGAGATGGCTCGAATTCCCTGCTCCTTATTTGTAACCATTGTCAAATGTTCAGTCTGGATTTCTGGTTAACCTCTCCCCGCTACATCCTCTGAAGAAGAAATAGTTCTCGCGTGCAACAGCTCAAACCTGAATTCGAATGAGTTGTCTTCAGTTTTTCCAAGCTCTCTTTTGCCCAGCCCCATCTCTCCAAGAGCTTTTTTCCCCCAGCAGAACAACGAGGGCAGACCTGCTTTCAGGCTCGGAGAAACGCACAGTGGAGAGAACCTCCACCAGAACAGAGAGCATGAGGAGGCGTGTGGGGGGACTGGAGACGCTGGGAAACTCTGTATTCCCATGAGAAGGAATCAGGGTAACGGTGGCGGTTTAAGTCCTGGAGCTGAGAGACTGAAGGGTGCAGGTGCTCGAGTGCTGATTGATCAAAGTTTTATGCAAAGAATAAGTGAAACTGTCTCACCTTGGCACAGATGCCATGGATTCAGGGTACTGTATACTTGTTGGTCCCTGTGAAATGCAGAGCTGTTTTTATACTGGAGAAAGCACAACTTCTTTACACTTGGAAGGGGAATGAGAATTACTTGACAGACTAATAACAAGAAAATCAATGCGGCAGCTCTTGTCTAGTCAATATTTTTTAACTCGGATTAACTGAAAAATCAGGTTATTTGCTGTGCCTCTTTAGAATGGGCACACATGGTGCCTTTTCAACGAATCAGAAGTATTTTAAAATCAAGGCTGCTTTTTCCCTTATTTTTGATTTTTTGACCTTTGCTGCCGTGCCTTTAGTGTTGTGCAGACTTGCGTGCCCTGAAGACCTGAGCCATCTGCTTCTTCCTCGGTTTACTAGGGATGAGGGCTCCTGCGGTGTTTTTCATGCTTCCACTTTTTTTTTTTCCATAAACAGGTGTCATTTTTTCTCCTCTCCACTGAAGAGGTACATAGTGGTTATAATCTTCAAGGTTCCTTCTGAAGTGTAGCACTTCACACACTGATGCACTGCGGGAGAACTCCTGGTCACTGAGAAATTCCACACACTTCAGACCTCTTGAGCACCAAATCTCTACCTCGGAGCAGTGCCACTGGCAAAATATACAGAGCTTATCGCCTTGTGCCTCTCGTGATACAGTTAAACTGACATATAGTGGTGTGGTGCTCTTTGCTATCTGTTATGTAACCTAAACCTTTTATTTTCTTTTTCCTCTGTCATTTCTTCCCCAGGTTCCTGCCCAACATCTGTACTTAATTGGGAGCAGTTAAGCATTTATTATTTGCCAATAACAGATTTATTTTGTTCTCAGTGTTTTTCATCAGGACAGCTAATTGTCAATGAAGTCCTTTCCACATGTCTCAACCTCATTGCCTACATTGTGAAGACTGTGTTCAGAAGGGCACAACTGCCTGTAGTTCAAAGTCTTACGAGATATGTTGACAGTGTGCAGAAACCCTAGTTTTGGGAAGGCTGGAACATTATGACAAAAAAGGGAGGGTGTTTGAAATGGGTATGAAATGGACAGTAAAGGCGAATGTAAAAGTCCAGCTATTTTTGCAAAGCATTTCTAGTAAAGTATCCTAAAGTTGTGATCTTTGGTACCTGTTAACTTTCAACAGGCAACAACATCACACTTAACATTCATAAGAAATTAATTGTCCCAAGTACTGGGCAACTTACCATTAGCTCATTCTGGGAGAGAACTGCATGGCAGTCACGGGGGAAAAAGGTATTTTTCTTTAATCTGATGTATTACCTGTCTGCTGAGAACAGTGACTCTATAATAAAGCTGTTAGAAAAATCTGTTAGACTTTCCAATTTGCTTCAAGTCTGTAGAACAGTGAAGAATTTGGGGCAGTTAAAAAAGACAGACCTTCTCTGTAAGGAAACATTAGTAAACTAATTCACTGAGTGGCAATTCAGTTGAATTTAATTAGAAGATCACAGCAGGAAAGCTGGACTTGGACTTTTAGATGGGGATACAAAGATTTAAATGTTTTTTTTTCTGCATCCTGTTAATGTGAAAAGGCGTTTAATCTGTATGACTCAGACAGAACCACATGGATTCCCGATGCAAGACGGTCCCAGTCCTGAGTAGCGCTTTGCACTTCAGGACGGGTTTGCCTCAGTGCTCCCGCTGATGCTCAGACAGATGAATCATGTATATCAAGATGTGCACAGGCTGCGGTCTGGCAGCCCGCTCCATTGCAGTTGTGTGCTTTCAGAATTGTGTATCTGGCTACACACTACAGTGCAGCAGAACCACCACCATTTGCCATCCCTGTTTTTTGTGTTGTGTTTTTTTTGTGCTGTGCCTGTTGATGTGTTCTTGATTTTCTGCGTCTGTGCGTCTTGACCTCTGACCCCCGTGCCATTGTTCAGCAGACAGATGCTGTCCCTCCCTGCGCTCCGGTAATCCCGGTGATCCCTCTCTCTCCAGTCCCTGCCGAGACCACTGTCATCTCTCCACCCGCGTCACAGGTTTTTTTTTGTTGTTGTCTTTTTTTTGCTGGTTTATTTTCCATTTCACTGGGCGCTTGTGTGGAGCTGTTACTCGGATACAGAGGTTCCTGAAAAATCCATGTTTTTGTGCTCGAGCCTCTGCTGAAAGAAATCGACACGCACTGAGAAACTAGGAGATTAATACAAACAGCCCAGGAGAAACTAAATATTATTTGCTTGGAGAATTAAACGTATTCATGCTTCAGCATTGCATTTTTTGCAGTATGGTACGCCATGTATGTACAAAATTTCAGTTGTTCTTAATGTGATTTTCTTTCGTATTGTTAACAGTTATTCTCACCAAAGTGCAGTATTATTTTTTAATGGATTTATTTTTATTTTTGCAGATTAGAAATGTTTCTGTATGCAGGAACATTTTGATGCGTCTTGCATTCATGTTGCGCTTTCATGTTGAGTGCTATGAATGCACTGATTTAGAAAATAACTGGGACTCTTTCTCCTTTTCTTCAAGGCAAATCCTCCACCTGTAGTGGTGAATACAGACAGTCTGGACACTCCTCCATACGTAAGTTTACTTTTTCACTTGTCTTTTATTTGGTAAACATTTTCTTTACTCGCATTTTGTTTGACCTCACATTTCGAAATACCCCTGTAATTCGTTGCAATTGGCTTCTTTGAAGGGGGGCACATTCGGATTTGTTAAAATCCAAACGGTCACAGGCCTGGCGTTGGGGTTTGGAGCTGTAACCCTGCTAGCCTTTGTTTAAGCTGTCGTGTTAAATGCCTGACAGACCACCAGTGCGCTGTGTGCTGTGTGGGTTTGTTTTTCTAGACCACTGTGTTCCAAGAGGTATCTCATGTCATGGACACGAGAGCCCCTGTTTAGAAAGAGTGGGTGGGTTTGTTTTTCTAGACCACTCTGCTGCGTGTGTTGTGTGTGAATAATGACATTAAAAGGAGAAGAAACGATTAACTGTGTTGTAGTTCAGGTGGGTAGCTGCGTCAGCATGCGTATCGCAATAATAAGGATAAAGGGAATGTTCTTGTGGCCAGAACACGTCTTGCTCTTTTCCAAACGCACTTTTAAACAGCCTTGAGAAGCAGTGAGCTTTGCCCAGGGGTATCCAAGACCGCAGGGTCCTGAGGAGGCTGTGTGAGCTGTCCTTGGTGCTGGAGGACGTTCAGAGAGGCCACCTGGTCTCCCTCTTCAGAGCGCAGCACAGCCTCGCACTGCCTCAGCTGAGAGCACAGAGCTGTCCCCTCCACTCTTTATGAAGTGCTTATTTACTTGAGTGTGTAATTTTGTCAATGTCCAGTGATCCTTAAAAAAAACAAGCACTGTAATAAGAAGTTAGCATGACTTAAGTTCTCTGCTGTAATTACTTAGAGCCGTTGATTGCTGATGTGTGATGGACGTGCTGCAGGAGTGAGGGCACAGATGCAGATGGTAGTGGCTGCACGTCAGATAACATCTTTCAGCATCCATGTTGGCTAATGTACTCCTGGGCCTTTGTCAAGCTTTGAGTCATCTGAAATATTAGGGTTGTTTAGGTCATTAGTGCACAATGACAGTCTGGTTGTTCTGCTGGTTTGCGCCTGAAAGCCATCAGGACAAATTGTAGAATTGTTGCTGCGGTTACAGATTCCAGTTTAATTAGCGTCCAAACTGATGCGAAGGCTTGATCATTTCGAGGGCCTGAATTGTTTGACCTAGGTTAGTACAAGTAACTTTTCTGTAGTATGGAAAAGTACGTCTGAATGTTTTGTCACATTTGTGGGTACAGCATCAATGCCTCTGTAAAGAAATTCCTTCAGATGCGTTGCAAAAATAAAAATCAAGTAAGGAAGAAGCCTAAAGGTTCTCTGACACACAGGTGTGCTCCACTAAAAGATCAGCCTTTGTTTCTGAGAGGGCTGTACTGCTAGTACAGGTGGCCTGCGTACTCCCCACTGTTTTCTGTCTTGCCTGAGGGTTTGGCCCTAGGATGCTCCTTACATATTCCTGCGCCTACTGTCCCCTCGATCTCAGCTGTGAGGTTGTTAAATTGTCCTTCATGGTTTTTACATGTTCAGGCAGGGTCAACAGTAGACAACTGATTATCCGTTTGTTTTGCAGGACATTTTTCTTTAAGGATTTCCGTATTTTTTTTAATGGCTCAGCAGCGTCTTCATAATCCTTCATATCCCTTTTTAAGCCAGATTCCCCATGGAGCCCACTTCTGCCGTTCAATGTCAGAAGAACATGCACTGTCAAGGGACAGTCAGGTTTTCAGGCTGTAGGTCAGGTTTCTGCTGTGGAACCACTGCCTCGTATACAGGAAAATAAATAGTTCCCCTGTACCTGCCACAGATCACACTGGGCCTGAAAGCTTGAGCTCACAGCCAGTGGCACTTCAGAAGGAAACAACAGGTTAATGCTTTCTATTTCCTCTCTGCAGAGCATATTGACACCTGCTTACCACTGTTTAGTAATCACATTCTTTCAATATACCTCATTGTGCTGGCTCTGAGGGGTTTTTGTTGTTGTTTTTGATACAAAATTGAAAGCCATTTATAGGCCTTAATTTAATTTAGAAAGCAGTTGGAACAGCTGCCCAATCTGGATTGAAACTATAACACGGAAGACATTAACTGCTGTCAGCTTGATTTGTCTTTGTCCGGGGGATTAATCTGCTGATCTAAAATGCAAGGAAAACAAGAGGAGCAGTCACCAAAGCAGAATGATGTCCTTGGTTGTTCTGTTTAGCTGGAGTTTCCTTTTTTCACTCTTGCTTACCTGGATGGTATTCTTGCACTTGTGGTCGCACTGGTTGACACTGAAATCCTGAGGGAGAGGCTGTACCTATGATCATTTTGCAAAATACAAAAAATCTAATCCTCCATTCAAAATTGCTGTATCAAAACATTTTACATTAACTGTGGCATGGGGAAAAATATAACTGTTGCTGCCTCTAAATTTATCAGAAGTTATCTGTGATGTTTGCTCCTTATCATGATGGAATATGTAGACTCTGGTACTGCTTACAAATCCTGAGCAAACTTATAATTTCCTAAACCAATCTTGTAATGCAGCGCTTTCATTATTATATGCGAAGAATGCATTAATCCTCTGAGGAATGTGATAGCTGTCAAGCTTTCCGGTGTGTAGCATCCTTCTTCCTGGCATTGACCTGTTATTTTGAAAAGGACAATGATTACGTGCTGTCATACCAGTGGCTGTTAAGTGGGGCCTCTGAAATTGAGCCTGTTCTCTGTATAGACTGGTGTGTACTGTTTGTATACACACATAGGAATTAAAGAGCTACTGTAGGACAAAGAAAACTGGCTGGGCTGCCGGAGTTCTGAGATGTTCATGTTTACCAACCGGCAGGTTTTCTAAACTGGTTTCAAGTTTGGCGCTTGTATTGCCAAGCCAATGCGCAGTGCGCAGACTGGGAATTGTGGTTTTTCTTCGGGGATTACGGAGACACTGGGATAGAGAATCTGTTTTGTCGTCCTGCAGTTAGAACCCCGCTCTCTCTTTCCACTGTTCAATAAATAGCTTGTCAATAGCTTCTGGTTCCCGTCTCCTAGGTCTTCCAAACAGTTCTCCTGGGTATCAATACATCATCAAAAATAGGGCTTTTCTAGAGCTCCATTCCAAGACAATGAGAGCCTGAGAACAGTGTTGGAGTTATGGTTTTATTTCTGTATTATTTGATGTTAAAGAGCACAGAATATTCTATGGTAGCCTTTTGTCAGTAAATATGAATTTAAGCAGGACTGTTTCTGTGGGTGAAAGATTGGTCTCGCCTGTGTTCTGGCAGAGTGCTTCCTCTTCCTCTTAAGTTTTAACTTACGAAATTGTAAGCAATCGAGTGTAACCTTTAAGGTCTACTGGGGGATAAATTATTTTACTTCTGATGTTATGATATACATGTTATCATTTCCTGAAAAAACTAGAAATTTTCAGAGCATCGGTCTTTTTAAAAAATTAAACAGTGTACTTGTGAAACCCGTTCAGATTTCCAAGCTCTATGTAGTGTGGATTTTGACGTGTTAATGATGCTGAAGGTTTTCTTAAGGGATTGGCACTAATGTGTGCTCTCCAAAGAATGTGGTTCTTGCATGGGTTGATCTGGGTCTCTGAGTCTTTGTGAACCTTTTCTGGACCTCCTGTGAGGAGATGTTTGCCCAGACCTCAAGCCTGGATAAGGCCGCTGTTAGTTTCTCTCTGCTGGACAGCTCAGGCCTGCAGGCTCAGGGACGAAGCTGACTTTGTATCCATCTCGGGGTTCCAGGCTCTTGTGCCGGGACTCGTCGCCCCATTTTTCAAGGCTCCCTTTTACCTTCTTGTGCTCATTGTTACTTCCTGGCATCATGAAGAAAAATGACACTCCTCCCCCTGGGTTTGGATGCTGTGTTTTGAGGATCCTGGGCAGTTACACACACTGCCTCCAGTTTTTCAGACAATTTTTTTATCCCCCTCGCCGCCTCCTCGTTCTGCACCCTTCCTTCCCAGCATGCCTGGTGTCGCGACACTGAAGCGGCGTTTTGCTCACCGAGCGTGGCGAGCTGCCAGTGAAGCACTGGTCGTAGCTCGACTGGTGGGCTATGGGAGTGCGCGGCTCAGTGACGACCCGGTGCCCTTCTCGTCCCAGCCCCGCAGATGGCTCGGTGTTCACCATTGGTGAGCTATTGGTGAGAGGACCGGCAGGGGTGCCCCACAGCTGCCTGGCGCCCCAGTCTGCTGCCAGTTCGAAATTACAGGCAGGAGGGGGCTGTTCTTGCCTGTTGATCTCTGTAGGGATGGAACACCTCAAAACCTCCCCTGCCTGCATTATTCTCCAGCCGTGTGTTGAAAGACGTCGGGGTATCGCCTTCGACATCGCAGCTGGAGAAGAATGCAGGCCGGAGATGTCTTGGGGTCTTCAGCTCTGTAGGGTTCGGACACTGAAGACGCTGGCAAGTGAGCTCCAGCCTCTTGGCAGCGTCGCCCTAACCCCCAACTACCTGTAAATAATAATAGTGGGTCACTGCACAGGCGAAAGTGTCATTTTAAAAAACACGTGCTGTGTTTGATTCCGTAGGCCAAATCTCTCTTAAAGTGATGAAGCTTATGGCAGAGCTGGAAATGCCACTGGACATCTGCTGCTGCACATACAGTAGCTGGTAGACTCTCAGCATCACAGGCACTGCTCAGGAGAGGAGTGTGCCTTTTTTTACATTTTATTCCCACCTCCATTTTTTTTGTAGCTTTCCCGAAATATATCTTCCCATGCTTCTCCGGATGACCTCAATTGATCTTGCATTTTATGACGCATATACTCCTTTCTCGTTTGTACAGGTGTGGCGTCCTTGGTGTCGTTTGCTCATGGCTTTGAGATGGGGTCTTTATTAGTCATGCTGACCTGCTATCATATTATTACAGCTCTGCAGCAGAATCCCTCTGTGCTGCTGTTTGTGAATGACTCTCACTGTGACAAGGAAACAGCGGTAATCGTGTGATAGAATTGGTAGATCACCACCTTTGTGTGCCTCAGTTCATCTCTCTCTCTTTAAAAATCAGCTTATATTTAGAAAAGGTAATGTACTTTAGGACGAGTAATATATTAATCTACAGACATAATAGAAGCTGTTATATCTCTAAATTGAATAATATTTTAAGATCTCTTGTATCAATGTAAGCAGTTCTCTTTTCCATGTAGATAAGTTTTTTTTTTACATTGCATCATGTTAGGCCAGCTTTCATTTTATGAAGGGACACTTAGTACAGGCGTCCAAAACTGGCTAAGACCGTTTCAGCTATCGGGGGGGGCTACACTGGAACAAAATAAAAAAAACAGCTTTTCTTTTACTTTTATGTGTCAAAGCCCAGCTGATTCCTTCCCAGTGCACTCCGCGTTTGGTCTCCGGGCCTCAGAAAGAACGCCTAATGATCAATTACACTCCACCAGCAGGCACTGCGTCTTTCCTGGGCAACTGTGTAGGGAGGAAGAGGGGTCTGTGCTTCAGAACCCTCCACAGCCGCAGGTATCAGAGCTGCACTGTCCCCTTTCCCACTGTTGTCCGCTGGAAACCTCCTAATTAGCAAAGTGGTGATATGATTACGCTTAATTGAATTTTGTAAAAATGATCTCATAAGCATGGTAACGTGAACCCAGATCCTCTATAATGTTATAAAACATTAAGGGGCCTCTAGCTGAGGTTCAGCATTAGGTTGAAACCAAGCAAAAAATAGATCATATCCCACCTACCCCCCACCCATCCAGCCTTAACTCAATGACAGAGGTCTGAGGTGTTCTCCAAAGAGGAGTATTATGGATTCACATTCTTGATGTCAATTGTCACGTAAATGATTGTCAACATTTTTCCTTTTTACTTTCTGCAATAAAAATAGCACATATGTAATAAATTGCTGTCAATTTGTTTATGGAAGGAATGACAAATCATTATATAAAATCATAAACTTAACATCATTTTTTGCTAAAAATAATCCAGACCCTTTTGTCTCATGTGACTATAGTCCAGTGTGCGGTATTTTCCTATGAGATCTTACAGATAGTGCCACCACAAGTCATTACAAAAATGTTGTAGATGCATGCATACCTTGTGGAAGTTTATTTTTGATACAAGGCAGCAATTCTGCACCAGCAGCCCTGCTAGATCAGTGGACAAGTGAGAAAATTTAAATTTGATTTTATCAGATTGTGCAAATCCAAAGTCTGCTTCTCTCAGGAGACCAGGGTAGCTCCCCTACTCTTGTGCACAGTCCCCCGGGATCTTAGTGACCAGGCAGCCATGACCTTGGTTTGACCTCTCATCTGAAGTACAGTGCCTCCTGCAGTAGAGTCTCAGTGATCCCTAAACTGGGTCATTGGACTGGAAATCTAGGACCAGAGGGAGAGCCACCTACTGTTCCAGCAACACCACTTGCAGTAACCCAGTTTGCCTCAGAGGTTTCTGATCCCGGTACTGCCCAGTCCCAGCCCTGCTTAGCTCCTGAGAGCCGCCCAGATCAGGCAGCTAAGAGGGAACACTGCTCCCTCAGTGTTAGCCCTCCGTTTGTTCGGAACCTAGTCTGCCTCTGTGCTTCGTCTGCTACAGCAGAAGCCCCACCTCGTCTTGCCTTCAGCCGTTATTGGCGACACATTACAGTCTCTCTCCTCCCATTGTGGCATGTGTATCCGTTTTCAGTGATACCGTGTGCGCCTCTCGTTATCGGAGTAACGCGGACTGGCCTGCGGCAGTGCCCGTGTTGGGCCCGTGACACGGGTGGGTGCCAGCGACCCTCGGCCTTCTCTTCCCGGGGAAGCATGTGCAGCCGACGCCTACAGGCCCCTCGTCTTCACGACGCGGTTCGACGCAACGCTTTTGTAGTGTTGTGCGGGACGTGCGCTTTGCTGCTCAAGCTGTGCGCTTCCACTAGTCCTTCCTTCGGGCTGTTGAATTGATTACAGCTTCGGCGGCAGCCTTTTTTCTCCCCGTGATGCTGCTGCTCGTTCCAAAGAGAGGGGGCGAACGAGAGTATCATTTACTCGTCTGACTGCCGCCCCGGTCTCTGTGGACAAGGTGAACTGCACCATCGGCAACAGGGCACGGCACGTCACACTGGAATGCAGTTCAAAATCAGTAATTTGGCATTTAAATCTATTTTCTCTCCGTCGGTTTGGCACCATTTTTTAATCTGAATGGCAGATGAATGTTTGCTGCTGGTCATTGTATCAGCCTCTGCCTGCAGCTGAGTCTTCTACCCCTGTTTAGGGTGATGATCCTGTGCCCCTCGTTGTGGTTGATCAAGCGATGTGACAAAGTTGCTTGATTGGAGCGAGCTATAGCTTGGCACGATGCAAGTGCATTGCCTTTCAATTAAGGTTTGTGGTTTAGAAACACAAAGGCAGTTTGCTGATCGTATTACTGTTACCTCGGGTGACATTACAGTTCCCTCTGTTTTGGTTATGAATCTTGTCGACACAGTTGATCTGTGGCTAGTGGACAGAAGCAATCAAAACCAGGCCAGATGCAGAGGACAGAGGATCTGATTGTTGTTTTTTTATCACAGACTCAACAGCATCTGTTGTTGTCTGCCATTAGCCAGTCAGTTTCTCTTTCCTTCCTGTTTTAATCTGACTGAGGAAGGTACTGAGGCTGGCAGGCTACTATGCTGAACCTGGCAGCATCTTGCTCTAGTCAGCATCAGACCTTCATACTGGGTGAGAATGGAAGGAACCTCCCTGAGATGGGCTCTGGTCCTGTTGGGAGAGAGTTGGAGAGACCTGTCTGAGATGGGCTCTGGTCCTGTTGGGAGACAGTGGGAGAGACCTGTCCGAGATGGGCTCTGGTCCTGTTGGGAGACAGTGGGAGAGACCTGTCTGAGATGGGCTCTGGTCCTGTTGGGAGACAGTGGGAGAGACCTGTCCGAGATGGGCTCTGGTCCTCTTAGTCTGTTGGGTCAGAGTGCAGTGCTCAAATGCCTCACTCTTTTTTTCTTTGGTAATGTTACTGTAAACAGTGTTAATTAAAACATCAGAAATTGTTTCCGCTTGATCTTTAATTCCATTTTCTAAGGAAGAATAGCGAACTGATGGATGGCTTAGAAAGGTCCACAGAAACAGCACACAGCTTCTTCTGAGTGTTGTTAATAAGCTCTCGTGGAGTGGCTGTCCTGCGGCTCTCAAGCCCGCGGTTGTGTTACACTGCTGACATCGTGTTGTCAGTCTGACACCACTCCTCTGGCCAAGATCCTGGTGTGAGGGCGTGAATGCAGCACCTTTCCTTCTGCCCTTCAGAGCGCTGTCTGTTAGCGCAGCAGTCCGCAAAGCTGGACACCCTTGGCAGGTGGGACATTTGCATTTTCAGTTTAGTTAATTAAGCTGTTATTTATTATTATTTTCTTTCTTATTGACCAGGTGAATGGAACAGAGGCAGACTATGAATATGAGGAAATCACGCTTGAACGGGTAAGTGTTTTTGTCTTCCCTATGAATGCAGATCCCAGCTGTAGGATAGGTTTTTTTTCCTACAACAGTACATTGGGTGATCTTCACCTGGGTATCACAGTACCCTTCTGTTGATGAAATTTCTATCCAGTGTCCCTTCTGGCTGTGCCACGCAAGTGTCCTGTCTCTGTTATTCAACAGATTGTCTGACCAGTGCACAGTAATGGAAAGCCATTTCTTTCTGCTGCTCAGCACCCAACTTCCTTGAATTTGTGCCCAAAACAGCTCTTCACCTCTAGTTGTATACTTGCTGACTAGGGTTAGGAGGAATATTAAAGCCTTTGATAAATGTTGTAATGTAAAGAACAGAGAGGAGGGGAAGCAGTGAGCCAACCTAAACTATTTTAAATAATCTCCCACATTTATTACACCCCACCAAAACAAATCTTTTCCATATATAACTGACACCCCTTATGTGGGACAGAGGACGTACCTGTGTTGTATCCCTGTAGCAGTAAGCTGTTGCCTCTGTGATCAGTTTCTTAATCTGAAGACGTCCCAGCACATCCTGGACGTTCAGCATCATGTTTCATTTCTGTAAATAGTCGTTTGTTTTCATTTTGATCGTGCAATGCTGTCGGCAAGTAGCGTACATATTGCAATGACAACACATAAAACAACAGAGTCAATTTGATGACGACATGCTGGAATAACCTAGACATTTTGTGGATTCTCATCAGAGTTCCTTAACTTTATTCCCAAAGTGTAGTAGGCATGTGCGCCACTGGTCCTGTAATTAAATTGAGTTTGCTTACAGTGTTCCAGCTGCAGGTTCTGCCAGCCTGACCCTCTCCATCTCCGTCCATCTGTCCGCCTCCTTACAACTTCTACCCAGCTGTCCTCCACGCAGTGTATTATCTGAACACATGCTTTTCAGGCCTCGTATTGATCACTTGTTCCCATTTGTTTTGTGTGCATGGAATGACAAAGGCCCCCTTCAGCATATGTGCCCCCTGAGGTCCTGCCTGTCTTCTTGTGTTTGTTTAAAGGGGAATTCAGGCCTTGGTTTCAGTATCGCAGGTGGTACAGATAATCCCCACATTGGAGATGATCCCAGTATCTTCATCACGAAAATCATCGCGGGAGGCGCAGCTGCTCAGGACGGCAGGTTGCGGTGAGTGTCTGTCCTCGCCCTCTGTGCGCTGTCCGGGTGGGGGGGGACGAGAAGGGGGGGGGGTCGGAGAGCGAGATGGGTAGGGGTGCGATGCCGATCTGTAGAGCTCCGGAGAGGAAGGAGCTCGGTGCCAGAGGCCGAGCCGGGGTTTGCTTTTTAAAAGCGCTAAGCAATTTTAAACTTTCCCTCCACCTGACCCTCCCGCTCGTGGCACTAGCAGTGTCCCACCTCATGCCTGCATCATTCTGGGAGTTGCACCTCCTGACGGGAGCAGAGAAGCGCCAGGCTTCTGGCCCTTCGGTCTTGGGGCGGTGTCCTGCCGCGGGTGACCGGTGCCGCCTCTTGCCCCACAGGGTCAACGACTGCATCTTGAGAGTCAATGACGTTGACGTCCGAGATGTCACCCACAGCAAAGCAGTGGAAGCCCTGAAAGAAGCCGGGTCGATCGTCCGGCTGTACGTCCGCCGGCGGAAACCCGTCACGGAAAAAATAGTGGAGATCAAGCTTGTTAAAGGGCCTAAAGGTAAGGGAGTAAGAGGCGAGCTGTCCGGGCTCAACCTGTGCTTTCTCTTCCCCTCCTGTGGGACATCCTGTGCGCACCTCCTAACACTTCAGACTTTCCTGCAGGCCACACACGCGCATAAGCACGTCTCTCAGCCAAGAGCGGCGGCCCACATCTTCTTCTGCCCAGGACAACTCGGATTTTCCATCGTTAAGCGCCCCAGTAAAGTGGAGGGTCGGCCGCGTGCCGGAAACCCGGAAGAGGTCACGAATGAGGCAGTTTGTTTCAGTGAACCGGGGTTTTTTTTTTTATTTGGAAACTAAGGCCCGGAGTAGATGCTTGTGCCTGGTGGTGGTTGTGTGGCAGGAGGCACACATCAGGGAGCACATTTGTAATCTGTAATTTCTTTTTTTTTTTTGCTCCTCTGACACCGTGCGGTCTCTCAGCCTGTTGTGAAGGGGGTCTCTTGATGACGGCCGCAATTCCCAGCTTGCTGCGAGTTGGCCTTTCTCGCTATTAGTGTAATTGGAGCAGTGTTAAATGCTCTGCTCTTAACTGGGTCTTCTCTAATTATGGAAAAAGACTGCGAGCATTATAATTAAGCAGTGAATCTTCATCTCTCTACAGATTGATTTGTCCTTACAGGACTCATTTTGTATTTGAGTTTAACCTGCAGAACAAGGAGGCGAGGAGGCTGAAAAGCTGTTTTATCTCCTTCCAGGTCTGGGCTTCAGCATAGCTGGAGGTGTTGGGAACCAGCACATTCCAGGGGACAACAGCATCTACGTCACCAAAATCATCGAAGGCGGCACAGCTCATAAAGATGGGAAGCTTCAGATAGGAGACAAACTTCTGGCCGTAAGAAAATGTTTTTTCAGTCCCGCTTTGTCATCGCTCCTGAAAGCACCTGAATCTCCCTTGCAAATATCGCCGTGTTCACAGGATGCCTAGCTGGTGTCAGCAGTATGATAATTGCCCTGCATCCTTCTGCAATTGATATTCTAGAGCCTCAGGTGCTGCAACTCACTGGCCGTTATGCCCCAGCTTGGCACTGGCTTGCTAGTGCCCAGTAAATAAGCAGCAGTGGGAAGCGTTTCTGTATCCACAGTTCTGGTGTCATTGCATTTGTGGGTTTATTTTATTATTTATTTTATATATGCTTTATGCTTCCCATTTCTAATTGCAGGTTTCTTATTAGGGAGGGTGCAGTGGGTGGTGCTGCTGCTTCACAGGTTCAGGGTTCAGATTCGGTCCCGTCGTTGTGGACTTTGGATTTTCTCCCTGTGTCTAAGGGATTTTTTCCTGCCTGTGCTTTGGTTTTCCGCCACCGTCTAGAGATGGTGCTGCTGTCGAAGTTAATGGGTATTTCTGAATCGTCGCCCCGTGTGCAGGCGTGACAGATGTGAGTGCGCCCTGAGATGGCGTCAGGTGTTGTGCCCTTTGCATGCTGAGATCAGCACCAGTTCACTGTGATGCGCTAAGGAACAAAGTTGTTGACGAGTGGTTGAGTGCATTTCATGCTTGAAAAAGCTTTACTGAAGAATAGTAGCAGATCACTTGTAGTTCAAGTTTAAGACCAGCGTTGTATTAAAACTCTTCCTGTTGCACGCAGGTGCAATAGAATTAATTATCTAGTGAGACAGAGTATTTCTTGTGCAGTTTTTAATTTCCATCCCCCTTGAAAACAGACCCATGTTTTAAAGATGACTGAGGTGTTACAGCATGTAGTAAATTGGAGAAGAGTGGATTCTGAATGTGGTCTTTATCTGTAGTGAGAGAGGCCCCCACTAATATTGTGTAACTTGCAAATGATATATTTTGACTATGGTTCTGCAGTTTTCCAGAAACACCTTCTTCCTTTTCTGTTTAAAACGAAGAGCTCCATTTTGGATTCTAGGCATTTCCAAGTCATTTTCATTTCTCTCCCTGTGCAAACAGTACGTGAGACGAATAAGATTACTGCCGTGAAATTGCCTCAAAACCAGAGGCGTCTTCTGTGTGATTTTTATAACCATCACGAGCCACGCTTTTCTCTTCCCCTTTAAAATGTCATTTGTTCCTTTTGAAGTAATTCCTTTATCTCAAGTACAGTTGCAGAACAGTCGGGATAAACCAGAGGAAAGCCCAAGCCTTCCCTCTAAGTCTGGATGAGCTCCGTGCAGCTGGGCTTGTGGGATAACGCAGGTGTGTGTATTTGCAGGTGAACAGCGCTTGCCTTGAGGAGGTGAGTCACGAAGACGCCGTGACAGCCTTGAAAAACACTCCGGATGTTGTTTATTTGAAAGTTGCAAAGCCAACCAGTGTCTTCATGAACGACAGCTTCGCTCCCCCTGACATCACCAACTGTGAGTGTTCTCCGACTGCCGGCTCTGTTGCGGTGTTACACTGGGTGCTTAGACCCTGTCGCTAAATGTTTTGGTGCACGTACCTTTGCAGCTGATCGTAAGTAGGCAGGATTTGCACAGTTATTGAAACAACTGTCCCCCTCCCCCCATTAAACCCAAATATGCTCCAATCCCTCATAAAAGAAGACAAGCTGAAACCAAAAGTGATAAGAGCAAGTTTCAAAAGCTTAAAGGTGTCAATATTACGGTACCCGTGAGACACCAGACTTGGTCATTTAGCTCCCCTCGAATTGGGAGTTTATTGGCAGTCAGATGGAACATTAGTCCTGGGGCTATGACACGACCCTGCTCGGATCCTGTCTCGGCTTCAGAGGGGAAGCGTGAGCCTTTGCTGGTGATCGCTGCTCACATATGGCCATGGGGGATGTGGGTGGCAGATTTCAGGGAACATCCATACTTCAGGAAGGTCCTCCAAAGAGCTTCTCAGTTGCTGGAGTCAGAGGCTTTTGGGACGTCCCTGCAGAGCGATTTATGCTGTTGGTCTTTCTGCCGGGGATGAAGAGCAGTGAAGGTTTGTCAGCTGTCTTAAAGCACGCGTGGACTGATCCCCCTCGTGACGTGCCATATTGCCAGACTGATCGGCTGTTGCTGCGAGACGCAGACAGCGGGAGCTCTGAAGCCCCAGGAGCAAGAGAATCTCGGGAGCTGCTGTCCTGCCCTGCTGCAGCCAGCGCACGCCCTCGAGAGGCCCGATTCAAGAGGCAGCCCGGGGGGCCTGGGGGAGGAGTGCAGGCCAGGCGCTTGCGCTGTGAAAGATCCTAAGAGATTCAGTAACCCTTGAGCTGGGAGATCACACAGGTGGGAGAGTGGTAAACGTGGTGAAGAGGAATTTTCATGCCTCATGATTTCAGAGGGGGGCAGTGGGTGAGAGGTGGGTCTCCTGAATGTTTGTAAGTACATTGGCTGCCAACATACAAGTTGCGGTATTCTCTTAAGGGAGCGACAAATGCTTTCAGCTGAGAGTGCATCTGATGCCCATATGTTACTCCACTCCAGGCAAGAGGTGATTAACAGATACCATTAGCTGTCCAAAAAAACCTTTCCACAGAGCTGGAATTCTTCACACGTCACACGGCAAAATGCCCATCGTCCTCCTGCCTCCTGTTTTCCCCAAGAACATGAGCTGTGTGTGTGTTGCTCAGAGGAAGCTGGGACCCAAGGACTAGTGTTAAAGACCTTAAAAGCCCAAAGCACTGCAGGAATTAGTCAATAAAGTAAATGGCGTATTTCTGAGCTCCTCTGCCACGGTGTCGGTTCTTCCCCCGCTAGTGGTTCTGTACGTGACGGGAGATCGCAAGAGATGATGCTGGGTCCTTCAGGTGTGCGGAGCAGTGACCAGTGAAGCCATCCGGCCCCACGGCAGGGCCCTGTGCCCTTGCTGGGATGAAGCGGCGGTCTGGTACTGTGTGAGAAAGAAGCAGTTGCTCTTAAAGCCGTGTCCACTGTCGCACCTTTCAAGAGCTGTTGAATCTCGATCAGTCTGAACTCCAATAACCAGGCCCTGAGCTGCAGGAAAACGGATCTTGGAAAACATTATGCAAGCTTTCACAACGTGATTGTGTGCCGAAAGCATTTTAAATGAATAGGGGAAACTAGAGTAATGTTTTTTTCTGTACATGGAGTAAAGAAACGGTGGCCAAGCTCTTCTTTGCCACTTTGGGGAAGTTGGAGAACAAAACTTTGCTACCCATTCAAAAACAAATTGTACTTAATTTTTGTTTTTAAAGTGTTTAAAATCGGCCCCTTAATTCAAGCCATTTTAAACTGTTCAATAGTTTACGAAACCACAGCTGAATAGGATGCTGCCTGTCTGTGTGGGAATTGTTTTTATTCAATAACTGTAATAGAAAGGTCTATAAATACACCAGAATTTTATACCAAGAAAAGGTCATTAAATTGCACTGGTCAGCTTTCTTTGCTAAGATGAAACAGCTTCGCTTTTTAAGAATAGTAGTAATGTTTCGTGATGGAAGGGCAGTTTAAAGTAAGTTGCGCTTCCTGACAGTTTGAATCCGTGGAACTGAAAAGGCTTTGTGTCTGCTGGGCTGCTGGAGGCTTGCTGTAATGAACGGAGCAGTGCACAGCTGTGGCACTGCTGTAACTAAGGAATAACATCCCGGGAGTGCAGCAAAATTAATTTTTTCCATCCCAGAAATCCAAAATGAATGATATGAATAATTTAGCACTTCTGTGTAATTTCCAAAGTTTGATGACTTGCCTCGGTATTATTGTAGGTCCTGGACAAGGATTCTGGGCGTAAAACACATGAAGGACAAAAGCAAATTCGGTCAGGAGCCAGATCACATGGAGCTCCAATTTGCTAATCCATGTTGTAATATACCAAAGTGCTGAAGTTGAGGCCGCGTTGTGTGATGATGGATTCGCATTTGCTTGGATGTGATCTAATGGAACATAAGGAATGAAAAGTAATTTTATTAAGTGTTTAAAATCACTTGCCACTGAGTTTAAGCATAGAAATAATCTTTCTAATTGCAGATCTGATGATCAGATGAAATAATATTCTGTATCTGCCATTTTGTCAAGATGCAATCTAGAAAACATCATTTTCAGAAAACCTGGAGTCCCTTTTGAAAAATCTAAAATATGCTATTCCAAGTAGTTTAAACATCTGCTAAACCGGAAGGAAAAAAATCAGCCCATGAAGGTCTTACAAGTAGTTTTTTGCTATTTTAAAAAAATGTATTAAATCATAATTCAGTAAATTAAGTTTGAGTTTAATTTAGGCTGTTGAAATTGAAGATTTTATTTCATTTGAACAAGATCTCTTGCATAGAAAAAATTCAGACTAAGGGTGGATTTACCAGAAAATACAATCTCTTCTGTGTTCTTGAATACTTTTTATCTTCAAGGGACATCAGAATTGCATTTAGCCGCTTTGTAAATCTGAAACATTTGCTTATGAAGGCTTTGTCTGAACTTGTGCCCTACATTTACAGTCTGACAAACATAAATCTTTTGTCTGTAATTTGTTTGATCTTGCTTGGGTGCAATTTTTGAACAGTAAAATTGTTTTGAAATATTTATAGAATGCTTTAGTCCTCTGACTAGCCCTCCTCGTCTCTCAGTAAATGCAATACTGAACCTTTCGAAAGCAAATAAAAATGTAAATCTCTCGCAAGGTTCTGCATGATTAGTTCCTTCATCATCATTCCATTCCTCCTTCTTAAGCTGTCTGCCGTTCTTTAAAATAGATCTTACCTTGCCTCTTCTAATCATCCGTTGTTTATTATTGTTCTGTTTCTGAGATTGCTCTTCCACAGCCAGCTAGTAACATGACGCATAGCCTGAGGCTGGAGCTACCACCTGGCTCCTCCATCCCACGGCTCCTGGAGACTGTTCAGAGCTGAAAATCTGTCCTTTGACCGCAGAGCGTTTGATAACTAGCCGTGTGGAGGGATTTTTACACTCCACGCCAGCGTTGTTAACAAGTGTGCAGCACTTGTCTCTTGGTCAGACTCAGCTCCTGGGAATCTTTCTGAAGATGTGTCTGGGTGGTCTGTGTAGATTTGGAGCCCTGTGTTTGTTAGCAGAGCCTCAAAAGCAATTTGAAAATAGGTTACAAGCTAAAATGATGCATTTAATGCAAATAAAATGTGATTATTTTTAAAAAGTCAAGGGGAACATTTTTTTCCTTTGTTTTCTGATACATGACTAGACGTTATTCCATTCTAATACTGAGTACATGTGGATAAAGTAGTTACGTTGATTTACAGTAGCAAAAGACTTGCTGTTAGGATTCATTCATGTTGGTTTAACAAGGGCAAATGTTAAAACCAGTCCTAACATTTCCAGGGCTGTCACAGTCATTACTGCAGCCTTGTGCCAAGTGTCCGCAACAAAACAGAAACGCATGCAATTGAGCATTTAGATGGCGTAGATAGTTGTGTTCTGTTGGGTTGCCATGTGGATCTGAGGATGATCTCGGGGTGTTGGCATTAACCTGCATGACTTTCCTTTCAGCCTATTCGCAGCACATGGAGAACCACATCAGCACCCCCAGTTACCTGGGACACGTGCTACCGCCAACAACCCCAGGGAGGTACTCCCCCATCTCCAAAGGAATGCTGGGAGATGAAGAGATGACAAGGTAACCTGCACGAGGAACTTGGGTCTTTCTCAGGCACTAAGGGATACTGTTTCAGTAATGCACAGCTGTCAGACGGCGGATGTTTTGATGATTTTTCTTACTCATTTACAGTGCCTAGCTGATTTTCTGATCTGTAACATTCTCCCTCCCCGTGTGTGACCTGTTGTGAGTAGGAGGCATGTAGTCCCCTCGGGGACTCGTGGGGTTGGGGAGAAATTCCCCATCCCGCTCCGCTCGTGTTTGCGTGGCGGTCAGCAGAGGCTCGCCGGCCTTGGCTGAGCTGTGGTGGCGCCTGTTTTCACTCGCACCTCTCAGGGTGAGTGACCTGTCGGGGAGAGGGGCCAAGGCTCAGACACGCGAGCCCTGCTTGGCACATGGTCTCCTCGCGAGCCCCCGCTGACGTCGCCCCTCCGTCCCTGGGGGGGGCCCGCTGGGCTCGCCACCCGCCCCTCCACCTCGCCGCTCCGCAGCGCTGAGACCGACACATACCGTTCTTAACCGTTTATTGCGCTCAACCTTCCTCGATGCTGACCCTGTGATTGGCTTCGGCGCCAGACACCTGCGAAAGACATCGCTGTCTTTCAGGGACCGGTGAGCCAAGGACTCGGAATCGTCACTGCTGAAGTGATTTTTTTTTTTTACACACTAGTTTTAGGTCATTGAACAAAAATTCAAAAATAAATCGTTCTGTCCTTTTTAGTCGGAAAATTCAGATTGGAACCTTTCAGCCTTGCAGCCTTGACAAGGTGTCTTGCTGGTTCCTGAAAGTTATTAATCTCTGTTATTCATCTTAATTGTCGGTGCGGCTTTCTTTCTCCGTGCTGTGGTGTATGAAGGCCAGCACCAGGGGGCAGACCTGCTGACCTGAATCTGAGAGCCGCTGTCCCTGACCCCGTTCCTCATTCCAGAGCCCGCGGGCCAGAGAGAAACAAGGTTACATCACAGTGGCGCCAGTGGTATTGGGTTGTCAGAGGAGCAGAAATCTTCTGCAGCACCAGAGTTCCCCCTTTTCAACCTGAGTTGAATTCCCATGGCAAAGACATTCGCTTTACAGGGCTAATGGATTCTTTGAAGTGGCTTTTAACGGCGATCAGTGAGCTGAAGGTTCAGACGGGTAGCTGGTGTGTTTGTTGCGAGATGCCTGACCTGTAAAACCATGAGATCAGATGTGGTTTTACTGAGTAGCTCAAATAAGGCCTCAGCAAGTTTGTTAGAACCGATTTGCCCGGCAGTAAAGTTATAGAAAAACGTGAAAATCGAAGCACACCGTGGACTATACTTGTTTCAGTCATGCATCTCCAAGCAGCTCTGACTTGCAGAGTCTCTGTACAGGAACAGGTACAGGTGCCCAATTATTGATCAATTAAGAATAAAAATGAATCTCTCTGCTGTGTGCGATGGTGATCAGAAAAGGCAAAGCCTTTGGAAAAAGTTGCCGTTATTACCACCTAGTTACCATTATTGGTAATTAATGGTAGTAGCATATCAATAGTAATCATATTCAGCTGTTTCTTGTCTTACAGCAGTGTTTTAAGCTTTGAAATGTATATGTTAAATTAGCTGTGTTTATGGGAAAGGGATATTTTACACATGTTTCCATGACATCTGGAGATTTAAAAATGGACGACAGTGGGGAAAGCCAGAAGGTCTGCTTTCAGGCTGTGTTTGATGTTCCTGCCATGCTGGTTCATCGCAAGAGGTAGATTAAACCTTTGAGACAAATAAAGGCCTCATAGACCAGGGCAGCTGAAAGGTGTTGTCAGGCCAGTGCAGAGCGGACTCCAGCAATGCTGGTTCCCATCCAGGGAGTGGGAATGAGGTGCCTTCCTCGAGGCACAGCGGCAGGGACTTGCTGTACCAGGACCAGCCCACCACCCGTGGGTCCAGGCGCTTGTCCACTGCGCTGTGCTGCCCCCCGGAGGCAGAAGGGGGGCAGTAAACCAGAAGCCTGGGTGTGTCATCGGTTCTGCGGCTGGGAAGGTCTGTGTCAGCAGGAGTGAGGCTAATGGGGTGTGTGAGACGGCGAAGGAGCTGCTGCCTGTTCATTGAGCTTTTAACCTGAGCAAGGACTCAGGAGAGCTGAAGGCCTTCTTGTCCTTGGAAGTGGTGCGATTCACTGTTTCTCAGAAGCTTCTGGGAGCTGCCAGGGGTTCGCGTCCAGGCGTGGTGGGTGCTGTTGGTTTCACCCTGGGGACAAAGAGGGGGGGAGACCTTTGGTGAAAATTGCATTGCACCTGGTCAGGAGTGAGGCGCTATGTAATGCGAAAGGTGATTGAAAATGAGCGAGCCAGGCTTGACCTCGCTCTCTCTCTCTCTCTGTCCCTCGCCAGCTCACGTCAGAGACGGATTCTCTTGATCTGGCTGTCCAAGGGGATGATGGGAACACCGAGTCCAGTGGCATGGGAGTGGATTTATTTTTAATGTTTTTAAGGCCAGTCAGTCAAATGCTCCGTCATGCGTGACGTTAGGACTGATAAACAGAGGAGCAGATGGTGATTGTCCAGCAAGATGCTGTCTTGGGGGGGAAGCGAGCAGGCTCCAGTTCAACGTGCGTGTCGTTAAGTGCTTTACGATGCTCAATCCAGTCTAATGGAAGGATTTGCGTGGCATCAGAGACAGCAGTGTCACCAGAGATGTCACACTTCAGAGGGCAGATTTTGTGACGCTGGCTGTATTAATGTAAGTACGAAGAACAGAGAGCTAATGGCTGGCAACATCCGTGAACAACATTTCATTGGATGAGTGTTAGGTTGATCTTTCGGCTTCTTCTGGCATAGATTTAGCCAACGTCCTACCGTGCACGTGAAATCCCATTTAAATACAAATTTCAGATCCTTGGATTTGATGAGCCATGTTGGTAAAATGTGTGATTTCAGGCTGACTGTGCCCACTTGAGTGTGATGGAAGCAGTTTTGCCCCCAGTGTTTGTGTGACTGTTACTGTATCTGGATGAAACTGAGTGTGTGCAGTGCAGACTGACCTGCTCTGTAGGGCGTGCCTGTAGTCTGTCTCAGCCTCATGTCTGGTGTAGCAGTGTGCCAGGGGGTGGATGTTTCACTAGTTTACAGCACGTTTACTGAAAGTGCTTTTTCATTTTTTTGTTAAGTTTCATGTGTTCAGTTTTTACAACAGCAATATGGTTTGCGAAGACGCTAGGAGCCCTGAGCATCTTGTGAGGAGCTCCTGCCAAAAGCAGTACTTCACTGCCCTCTAGGGGCATAAATTTGAATGGCAGATAAAAATTTTATCAAGGGCCTCCCACTTGCGAAAACAATTTTTTCTTGAGCCGTTATTCGCTGATAAGAAAGAAAACATCAATTCTAATTTACTACTAAGTCCTGCATTTTGCTTTTTCTTTGCATCTTGCAGTACAGGCACTGCTGCTTTTGTCCACAGAAGCCTAGCAGTGTGCAGTTAAGGTATGAGACTGCTGTTCTCCCAGTAGTCCAGCAGAGGGAGTGTTCTGTCAAGTAATGATAAGAAGAAAGAAGTGCAAATGCAATAAGACTGTAGAGCTCGGGTTTGTCGTATTGGTCTACCTTCGTCCTGTTTTATACCTAGTTTTCAACTGGGGATTATAATCGGGCACGGGCTGCTTTCCTCAGAATATCTCCTGATTTGGCTAGCAGACGTGCTGCTTGTGAGAGAACAAAGTTCAACACTGGCGAACGTGTGTGTTTCACTCTGATCCACAATAAACCACACAAGCGCCCGGAAGACAGGAGGGTCTTGCAGGCTGTGCCAGTGCACTGTGTCCTCTTCTGCCAGATGAGCTTGTGAACTGAAGATGTCACCTCTGTCCTCTCGGGCACCTGTCCCTGCGTCTGACATTTTGGCTTGCAGCTATGCAATTTTAACTCATTCTTTTTTGTCCACCCGAAATCAAAACGCACAGAGACAAGGGCATGCCCATACGTTGTTTTGGAAGTCGCTGAAACTAGATTTACACCTTGAGTTCTGGAGAAAACGTACTTTGTTCTCCACGTGACGTCTGGAAAAGACGGAGAGCAGGACATTGGCGTGGCTTTGAGCCGCACGGTGGAGACGTCTGCTTTCGGTTCGTTTGGCTGGTGCTTCTATCCACAGCAGCCACTGCCTGCAGCTCTCTACAGCGCTGGGCACTGGGTGGAGTGGGGTGAGGCCGCGGGTGAAGTCCCGGGGTCGAGGCCTCGCCGCCCGGCTCTTCTCTCTCATCGCCCGCTGGGTTTCTCACGGGCCGCGTCTCTCCCCCGTGTGCCTTCCAGGGAGCCGAGAAAGGTGGTCCTGCACCGAGGGTCCACGGGCCTGGGCTTCAACATCGTGGGGGGCGAGGATGGCGAGGGCATCTTCATCTCCTTCATCCTGGCAGGCGGGCCGGCCGACCTGTGCGGGGAGCTGCGGAAGGGAGACCGCATCGTCTCGGTAAGGGCGCGGGGCGCTGCCCTCCGCTGTCGGACTGGCAGGGCATTCGCCGACGATAAGGCCCTGTGTCTTGTCCTCCTTCGATAAGCATTTAAGAGTCTAACGGTTTTTCCTCATGTAATCTTTCAGAATTTGCCCTTTGATCCAAATTCAGAATTCGATGGCCTTGAATAGAGGCAGCCTGACGGCACAGGCAAGTGTAAGCCTGTGCCCCACAGGTGGAGAACAGCACCTCTGTCCCCCATCGTTAATGCAACGCGAACGGGAAGGCCTGCCACTTTATTCTGCAGAAAACATTCCTTGGTGGCGTGATTTCAGATGCACCTGTACCCTAATGTTATGTTATTTTAGACAAACACTCTCCTCCAGGAACTCTGCTGGCTGTTCCTGAAGATTTAAAATCTGTTGATTCATTCTTCAGAGACATGATCTTTCCAGCCAGGGCTACTGCCCAGACCTCATCCTGAGTGCCCCATGCTGTCCAGATTTCACAAACGCCGCCTCAGTGTGCCAGCGCACTGCAAAATCTGGTTAAGAGCAGGCTAAATGCATTAGAACACAAGGAAGAATCCTGGTCTATACACTGAAATACCTTTGTATTCCTAAATTATTTATGTGTGAATGCACGGCAGAGCCTGAAACAGAAGGTTTAGCTCTAGTCATAAGACATCCGAGAGCCTTGAGCAGCGTCTCTTGACAGCACATGAAACTCTCATTGATTTTGCCAGGAGCCTGTAGATCCTTCTACCGGTTACACGCTGTATATAGAGGCTGAAATCAATAGTTCATTTAGCGTGGCGTGTGAGATTCCTCGGGGGGGGGGTTCACTGAGCCCTTTAACTCGTTCAAGTGCAGACCTGTTCACTGAGGGCTGATGTTGCAGCCTCGTCGCTGGGTGGTCTGGGGAGTGTTCCTCTTCCCATCCAGACGTCCGCAGTTCCTGGCTGCCGGGGGGGGATGGAATGGGGGAAGTATGCTTCTGAGGGGTGTGTGTGTGGGAAGTGAGCGTATGCTAGCTATAGGAAGCACCTCAGATTTGTTGCCCCCACACTGCTAACATTGACCAAAACGGGAGGTGGTGTTGGTGGTGTGGCCTCCCCGGCAGCGCGGCGCTCGGGACCTGGTCCGGCTGCTCAGGAGCCATGCCTGCGCTCGGCTCCCTGACCCCGTCCTCTCCCGCAGGTGAACGGGGTGGACCTGCGCAGCGCGACGCATGAGCAGGCGGCCGCGGCGCTGAAGAACGCGGGACAGACCGTCACCATCGTGGCGCAGTACAGGCCGGAGGGTGAGTGGCCGAGGGCGACGCGGGAGGGAGTGCTTAGAGGGACACTAGTGCGCACAGGTGAAAGGGGCCTGTGCAGCATGCACCAGGTAGGATGTCTTATCGCAGAAGCTGTGAAGAGGGATCGGATGCAGAGCTCGGTCCTGAGAATTCCTCTCCCACAGGGGGTAAGAGTCCTCTTCTCTCTGAGAGCTGGGGTACTGAGTACTGTAAGAGCGCTTAACAAGGTGCTTCGCAGTTGGAGAGGTGGCGCATTGTTCTTTTTTGATCTGTATGCACGGTTCTCCAAATGCATGGCTCAAAGGAGTAGTTTGTTCATTGATTAACAGGGCAGGGTTTGGAAGGAAACCTCTCCATCCGTCTCTAGCTCAGCAGCTTCGCTGGTGGAGCCTCTCTTGCAAATGGGTTTGTTGGTTTGCTTCTGGTGATAGGCGTTCAGTTAGCCTGCATTTTTGCATTTTAATTTCCAGGTGTTTGACCTCATACGCACAGCACATCCACTGTACAGAAACAAAGGGGTGAGCGGTGTTCTCTGATGCATTTCTGCTGCCCGCGCATTTGTTTCCTATCATGCTGTTTTATTGGCTGCCTGTTCGAGTGGCAGTGCTGGCCTTCATTGTCAGTGAAGCCCCAGTTGTGCAGTTGAAAACTGAAAGGCGCCAGGTTTGCTGAAGCCTGTCTTATGTGAAGACATTGGCAGTTTGTTCTCCAAGGATCTTCTGCGTATCTTATTTCTGTTCTGTCCCGCCTACAGAAAAACCTACTGTGTTTTTCTGACTCACTGGTGCTGCTGTTTCTTTCTAAGAGTTTATTAAGCAGGATCTGCGTTACATATGTCAGCTCTGTCCCCATGCTGCACTAAATAGGCATGAGATTGACTTTACAGCACTTATCAGGAAGACAGAACCTCTTCTGGCATTAATAGTAGAGCAGAATCCGCCTACCCCTGAGGTCTAAGCTGTAAGTCATTACTCTTGGATGCTGAGAATAATAGCTTTCCTCAAGGTCTGCCTCTTCTAGATATGCTGTAGAAATCAGTCATATTTTCCACCTGAATGTCAAGTTTTGACAACTGTTATATTCTGATACAAGACAGTCCCTGAACTAGGTACGTACTTGATTGCAGCTTCACGTTAAGGCAGGCTGATAAGAAAAAAACCTGCACGGTGTTTCGGTTTCTACTTATTGTGGTGAAGGTTTTAACTATTTAGCTTTGTTGGCCTTCTGCCTTTAGACTTGGAATAAGAATATTGGAGAAGACAACTGGGTGTTTAGGAGCCTGTTTGGTTCTGGAGCACTTGCTGGTCTTGGGTATCTCCACAGGCTGTGTTTTCTAGTCTTCTAGTTTTTCTGAGGTACCGTAATAGTGGCACGGTCAGTTTGGCCTGGTCGGTCAGTGTTTTTTAGGCTTCCAGCCTCCATCACTTTCTTCCCTCATTGACCAGACTGAGCTCTGGATCTTGTGCTGTTCATGTCCAGTGAGCCATCAGGTTTTCAGCAAGCTTTTGTATCTGTGCCTGACGTGCCAGATGATTGAAAATAAAACAACAAAATATTCGTCAAGCCGTTTTTTTTCTCCTCCCTTTCTCAAAGGGTGAGTTTGGTGCTGTGAACACTGGCTGCTGCTACTACAAAGCTCTCTCCGTCTCGGAAATGCCATTACTTTTCCCACAAGGTGTAGCTGTGTGGCCGCCGTGCTGAGCCACTAAACCAGTGTCAGGTGCAGAATCTGATTCAAGCTTCGTAGGCAGGCCCCTTACAGACCTTTTCCTCGTGTGCTGGGTCAGGCTGTTGGCCGAGCAGCATTTGTGTCCAAGCTGTTGCCTTAGCAGGCGTCTCGGCACCTTGTCCTACGCCTGGCACGCCGGGCAGAGCCGCGGAGTAAACAGCGGGCACCGGCACTGGCTCCAGCCTCTTTCTTCCGGCCAGGAGGCAGGAAATCAGGATTAGCGAGCCGCGTGGCGGGGAGAGGGCATCTGCGCCGCCTTCTGACACGCGAGCTGGGGGGAGGTGCTGTCCCTGGCATCGGTGCGGTCGGGCTGGGCTCGGACTGGCATGGGGCCTCCTGCGGGGACGCGAATGAGCTGGACTCTGTCCAGCGCTGCTGAGGAAGGAAGGTAGCAGCTCTTGGACATGGAGCGTCTCCTGCCTGGATTTAATCTACATGATCTTGCTGGTGCCAGTGAGAGATCAACTTGTAGGAAAAGAGGCTTAGGTTAGTCAGCAAAGGAGCAGGTAGAGGGTTTATTCCATGCTGAAAAGAGAAGAAAGGAAACGCAACGTTTCGGCTGGGGAGCTTTCTTTGGGTTTGCCAATCCGAAGTATGCGGCTTTTATATGTGAAGAAGGCTCCACAGCCGAAACGTTGTTTTCTCTCTTCTCTTTTCAGCATGGAAAAAACCTCTTGTTCCTTGGCAGCCTACCCATGCTGATGCAGCTCCCCACCTGAATTACTTTAGATTCGTGTGTACTGCAGTTCTTCAAACAGCTTTTTTCTCTTCGCTGTTTTTTTCGTCATGGCTTACTTTTTTCAAATAGTGAGTTCTGAGTGTGGCTTTTATGTGTTGGCGTAGAATTGAAAATGGCCCCTATTGCATGACTTTTTTTTTTGTTGACTAGCTATTTTATTTTTCATGCCTCTGTCTTTTGTCCCGTCTGCCTAAGCTGCAGTTGCAGAGCTGCTGGTCATGTGTCAGTGGGCTTGGCACGATCGAGTGCATCTTAACGGGGAAGACATCAGGAACGAACAGCTTTCGTTAAACAAATGAGTGGGTATGTGCTGGGTTTGGTGACCGGGGCAAGTGGTGAAACTGGGAGAGGATCTGAATTAACCATTTTCTAGGGAATCTTATTAAACCTAAATAGTAAAGGTATAAAAGCATTTGTCATGTAGAATCTGTAAATAACCTGGGCTGCATGGGTTCCTCCTGGATTCTGTTGGAGTGATACACGAATGAAGGCCTGGAGAGTCTGCGTGGCTGATCTCAAGCCTCATTAATCATGCTTGCGCGGATCAGCAGGAGCTCCTGCTTTTAAAATGTCAGTGGCGACACTGGAAGTGGCCTGGTGACTGGATCAGCGACGACAGAGCTGTCCTGCAGTGATGTCGGACCCGCGCGGAGACGCGCAGCCAGCCTGTGCCATGAGTGCCACACGGCCATCTGTTAACCTCAGCGCGCGGTCCTTGGTCCTGTGATGAACCGTACTTGGCCTGAATGGAGGATCAGAACAGAAGTACCAATCCCATGTAATAGGGGGTTTCTGCCTTAGAGGCGTTCGTTCAAAACCTCACAGATGGCATCTTCACACCATGGGATTCTCGGCTGAGATGACGACAAGAACGATTTCAGATTAGAGTGTAGCAGTTTATTCTTGCTTAGAATGCACAGCGGTTGTCGACGCTTCATGCTCGCAGAACGGCACGTGTTAGGCAGCACGTCTGCACTAAAGGGTTTCACGAGTCTGATATTCTCATTTGCTGTGTGTCAATGCATCTTCTTTAGAGACCAGCTTTTTTTAGAGTCTATTAAAAAAAAAAATGTTGACACTCGTTCACATCTGTCCTTTGGCAACTGACGTGGTGCCTTTGCACTTGCAAATGATAGAATAGCACACCTCTCTCGGTTCTTTGCAATCAGTCCTTCTGGTTGAATGAGGTGTCGTGACTTAAAACCGTACAGCTCAGTGCCGTCTTGAATCACTATTCTTCAAAGTCCAATGCTATTGCACAGTTAAATACTTGGAATAAACGCTGTAAAACCATGCATTCCTTAGCGAGTCATCTTCAATTTTACCTGTCTCCCCTCTAGGAATGAATATTAAATACTCCTTGTTGTCTAGTTTATTTTTGGAAACAGGTAGCCCTTCTCCTATGATCTTTGCATGCGTAGTTGCACAGACACTGAGCCAATATGCGTGTGTTTGCTGTGGAGTCCGGTCAGGGCCGTGCACAGTGCTCACCTGTGTGTCTCAAGACTCCTGTGAGCTGCAGTCTGGGCCTGACGTGGGACACGCACCCCCCCCCCCAGAATGTACCACCAGTGCCGAGATGCTGGAGTGGAGGCAGACAGTGCTCATCTCTGCAAACTCCCACTGGATGCATTGGTGCGGTGCCAGATGGTTCTTCCCTGACTTTAGGTTGATTTAAAAATAAAACTCCCTGCTGTATGAAAATGGTAAAAAAAGACCATTGGGATTGTGCAAGTGTTTTTCACCCCAGTCTGTTTGTTTGTTTTTTTCCTGTGGTGCAGTTTGGGCACCGGAATTTAATTCCAGCAGGGTAATTTCCACCCCCGACGCAAATGAAGCCTGCAGATGGCCGGGGCTGAGAGCAGTGGGGCGCACGAGAGAAGGATCAGGTGTGAGGAGGATGTTAAGTGTGCTCTGGGGGTGTTAAGAGTAAATCAAGTTAATGCACTTGGCTGTTTGATTTATTCTCAGTAATTTGTTTCAAAGGCAGAACAGAAACCGCAGATGTGTGTCACTCTCTCGTACTGAAAGTCATGGTGCAGCTTGGCTTGCTTCAGCAAAATTATGCACGCGTCTCTTTTTTTTCCCCGTGGCTTAAAGTCTTTAGGAGCGGGTGAGAATAAAGGAAGGAAGCTCAGGAAACGCGGTGAAGACCTGTACCGAGGAAAGGAAGTGATTAAGTCAGAAAGTGTGAAAGGCGCCGGGATTCACAAAATCCTGAAAGACGGCAAGACTTCGCCCAGCTGTGCGGCTGAAATGATCGCGCTGACTCACCCGCGTGAGCGGTTTAAATTTAACATCTGATGGGGGGGCGGGGGGGGAACCCGCTTTGATCATCGGTACTTACCGTTTTGACGTACACCTGCTGAACTCCTCGCGGTGCTCGTGTTGTGAAGCCCCGGTGTGGCATGCTGTTGTGCGGCCGGGCACTGCCAGTGGGGGAGACGGGTAGTGGTCGTGGTAGATACAGCAGTAGACTGGGAAAATCAAGCCGATCCGGCTGCGCTCCCCCGTCCCTACCTCTCGAGCTCATGTGACTCCTCCTGGCTGCTCTAGACTGGTGCTGAAACGCCGAACCCTTTTGCGCTTCTGTTTACAAGCGAAAACGTGCCTGACCGTGATTTGGAAAAGACCAGGTCTTTCATGGCAATCGCATATTGAAACTGATTTCAAGGGGAGCCAGTCACTAGCCTCTTGATCTGTTGTCTCCTGTCTACAGATGCCTGCTGTATTTCAGCCAGCTTCTCTGAAAGCTCTGTCTGGAACTCTATCGATCAGCCATGTCTTTTGTGACATAGGTGACCTTCGGTATTATCAGCAATATGATGCTTTATGCAGCTTTTGGGCAACCAGAGACTTGACTTCTGGTACATGGAACCAGTATTGCATATGCGTAACTTTTCAGAATTGGGATTTTGCTGTTTTAATGTGTTCTGTGTTGTGTAGAATTTGTTTTTATAGTACCATCTCAGCACTGTTTGTTGGCTATTCTAAGTGTACGATAGAATGATCAAATACAAAATCCAATGAAAATTCTGCAAAATTAATAAAAAGGATGTATTATTAACTGATTGGTGTATTTTAATTTTCAATCATTAATAGAAATTGTAGAAAAGATGTTATTATTCCGTAGTTATCTCACAGTGTAAGTAGTATTTTGTTTTTTGCTTTAGTTTTACACAGCTAATGTAAGACCCGTTTCCAAGTGCCTGATGATGGGCAGAGCCAGCAGGAGTCCTCCTGTGCTCTCTGATTTCAGTATTTCCGCATCTGCTCTTCAGAGGCTTGAAAAGACCCTGCACAGTTATCCCAAGTGCACGGCAGTGGCCCGTAAAACCAAATGAATTTCACACGCCGCAAAGCACACAAGATCATCGCACCCAAGGCAGCCGTTCGACGGCGGTGCTCGTTCTGGGCCCGACACTGGAGGACACTGCAGCGCAGGTCTGAGCCGCGTGCGTGGCAGTGTGAGAACGTGCGCTGGGTGCTGAGCTTACGGCATGTGACTTCCTATAGGACAGGGGAAGCACAGTCTTACAGAAAAAAGCCAAGCAAGAGAAAAAAAAAATCATATTCTGCCTCTGAGAGTGCACTAATGGGCACAGCAGGAATTCCTCTTTCTGGGTTGAAAAGGTCGCTTTCACAGACTGAATAAAATGTCACTTCATTTCTTATTCCTCATTAGGAAATGCTAAATCATCCAGCAGGACCAGTGGATGTTGGAATGTACTCCAGGAATTATCCATTTGTGCCGTTTTCAGTACAGTCAACACTGAGCTCATAAAAGGAGTGCTGAACAGGAACCATTGGATTGTGCAGAAACACTTTTCTTTACTAACAACTCTGTGTATGTCATGGTTGCACCTTGATGTATTTTCCAAGGGAAATCGTTTTTTATTGTGTTTTTTTATGGTGCAGTGTTATTAATCACCGATAGCTACAAGATGCGTTTCATTTATAATCCTCAGAGATGGGCTGTGCCCAGAGGAGTGGTGCAGGATTTTTAATATCTGTCAAAGGTGCACTGTGCTGCAAAGATGTCGCCACAGCCGACAGTATATTATTGGTACTGGAGTGAGCTAACAATATTACGGTCTTATCCAGGTGTTTCTTTAAAGAAATCATCAACAACATCAACAGAATGGCTGGGCAGCTTGTTCCACACTCCCACAACCCTGAAGGGGTTAGGGAAAAATAAATGCACATCCTTGGAGTTTCCACTTGTGGCCTGTTGATTCTGCAGACGTCTGCTGGGCTGACTTTGTCAGTGTCTTTGAGGATTTCGAATGCTTGGATCAATGCTTCAGATCAATACTTAAACCCCTTAATGCTTTGTATGTAACCAAAACTGCAGTGAATGTAAAAGTGTACTTGATGTAAAAATACGCTGGAGAAGATCACATTTTCAAGCCAGGAGGCCAGAGCTCTATCCCAGTTTCTGTAATGTTAAGCTGATAGCAGGCTCTTGACTTCCCAGTGCTGGTATCCATTTGCATGGAGATTTGTAACTTAAGTAAAAACGCCAGGTCTCTGATTTCTCACACAGTATGCTTCCTGTTGGCAAGGAGAGAGATACAGTAAGATGTGTCTCTTGGGCTGGCATAAATAGCAGGGGGCTGTGCCAGCCTTTGGCAGAAAGCATGCATGGTTATGTCCTGGCTACCTGGTGAATCCCTCACAGCTGGCATTAGGGCAGACAGCCGGAGCTGCGGACAGCCTGCTTCATGTGCCGGACAAGGCCGAGCCAGAGGGCACCATCGCTGCCTGGTCGCACAGGACTGAGGCGTTAACGCTCTGGAGCGTGAGCTGCTCAGCCTGGTCACCACGAGGGAGCCCACTCAGACACCTGAGTGTTAGCCGAGAAATGCAGGAACACTGCAGCAGCATGACAGGGAGCTTGCAGAAAAAAATAGGATTTTTGGAATTGAGAAAGTGCAGCTATACATGCTGGCGAGAAGAATGTTTTTCCCAGTGGTGCTGTTCTTCAAGATTTACCACGTCTTTGACTTACACCGGCTCCACTTTCCACCTCTGAACTCTGAACAGCAGTGATCACACGGGCATCGGTTTCAGTGATCCAAGTAGTAATTCAATCCACCTTCTTCCTTGTTCACCCAATGCCTGCGGTCTCGCAGATCTCAGCTGCAGGAGAAATGTCCTGTATGCAGCCTGCACATGAGGGCAACACTGTTGTCAAAGGTAACACTGCTGTTGCCTCTGTTTCTCCTTTCTCCGGGCTTGTGCTGCTCTCACAAGCTTTACTGTACTGACAGAGTGGTACTTTCAGTTCTGTGCCGCCAGCACCTGAGCCACACACTTGATTGAAAAGCCTTCATACTGGTGCTGCACAAACTCGAGCTTAAATATCTTTCGGGAATCAGATGCTGTCATGTTTAATTAGGCTGTCCTACAGAATGCTGTTAAATGGGTTAGTCTGTGGCTGTTATAGTTCATATAAAAGTGCCCATTGTGTGGCTTTTTAACTAATCCCCGTTCTCTTATGCGTTGTGCAGCAGGAAAGAATAAACTGTGGTCTTGGTGTTTTATACGTAACTGCACACAAAGCCCTTGCTGAAAGAGGGACTGCGCAGTGTGGCTGTCAGGGGCTGTGAGCCCTCTGGCAGTGACTGGAGGAGGAGGGGGGAGAGCGGGAGAGTGGGAGAGCTCCGCACTCCGGTCCATTAGCATCTGCTGTGATGCTGCGCGGGAGAGGCTGGAGCCCCAGCGCACCGGCGGTCGGGGGGTAATCGCTGGCGAGCCGGGTGGCCGTGCCGCCGGCCGCTGTTGCTCTGGGTCTGTGGACCCTCTGAAGGCTGGAGCTCTGCGCGTCACACTGCTCGGTCACATGGAGCGTCGGACAAGGTGGAGAAGTGTGATGTAGAGCGCTCTCTCTCTCTCTCTCTCTCTCGCACTCACTCACTCTCTCGCCCGCTCGCTCGCTCGCTCTCTCCGGCAGACCAGTTAGGAAATTGCACCTCGTCTTGCAGATGTTGGAAATGAATTAGGTCACGAGCACGAGAGAAAGGGGAAGGTTTCTGCTGCCAAAATCCTTCTGGGGAAGAGTGGTCTTAAGATTGGAGTAAGTACTGAAAAGCTGCAGGGGCTGGTTCTCTGAAAGGCTTTGTGATTGAGAGAAGGGACTGACTGGTGTGCAGTTTAAACTCATTAGAAGGGTGAAGGTTTGCGAAGGTGGTGACTTTATCTATATGGGAAATAGTTGAATTATGTTGAATTTTATCGGGGTGTGTTCTTGTGTGTTTTGCACCCTTTTTTCTTTTTCTTGAGCTGTTTGAAGCTCTTGTTTTCAGGCTGCTGTGTGGCTAGTGTGCTGCTCTGAGTGTTGCATGATGAGTGCCTCTGTGAATGTTCACTACAAACAGTGCTCGTTTTCACTGCCAGTATTACATTCTACCTTTAAGTACTGTTTTCTCACTTTCGGCTCTTCATCGCCTTCGTGTGTAGCACTCCCAAACAGAAGTTTGAAGAGTTCATGTTCGAAGGGGGTCGACCTCTTTACTGACCCTGGAGTATTTCTTGATGATTGCGTTGCCTCTTCGATAAGTTAGAGGGGTGTTTTTATGAAGCCACGGCATCCTTCTGATTGCATGTGCCAGATGGGCTGCTGCCTCTCGAGCCCAGAGCTGTGAGGTTTATCTTATCCGTTTCAAATTTGTCCAGAAAGAAGCAGCTGATTTTATGCTGAAACAGAAGCTGTGAAAGAAGGGTTCTTTTATCTCGTCCTTTTTGTAGTGATGGGGGGGGGTTCTGGACCCTTGCAGCTTCTTCACAAAGTGAGGCAGAATTGTTGGGTTTGGAAGATCAAGGTGAAAGAGAAGCATCTTTGGCACAAAGCAGGCCATAATTCATAGTGTTTTCTCATTATCACCTTTCACGAGCCCAGCCTCGACCCGTCTCTGTGGGTTTCTAGCTACAGGAGGGAACAGGTATCTAAAAGATTCAAACACTTTGTGCATCTCCGGAGAAAAAACAGAAGTTATGCCTTTTTATTATGTCTATTTTCAGTGTGTCCACAGCGTGCTATTTTACCAAAATAAAAGGGTTCCATCCCTTTCTTGTTTTCCTGAATCATGGTTTCAGATGATAATCTCATTAAAATATGCTTCAGTTTACAAAGATAGCTCCGTGATACATTTTTCCTTCTGCTGGAACAAAGCCCCTTTCTGCTTCTCCTCCTGGTGTTTTTCCCCAGAGCTGATCACAGACAAATTTAACTTCTGAGTTTTTGCTGGGTTTTACTTGGAGATGGAGAAGGTGGAGCATTAAAGTGGAAGACCAAGGCTGCGGTTAACACGCTGTGTTTGTCTTAGGAATCGTGCCCACCAGTCAAGGCAGGTTCTTTAGCCGTTTTTGTCTGTCTCTTTTTTTTTTTCCCCCAGAATACAGTCGATTTGAAGCCAAAATCCATGATCTTCGAGAGCAGATGATGAACAGCAGCCTCAGCTCAGGGTCCGGTTCCCTGCGGACCAGCCAAAAGCGATCCCTCTACGTCAGGTGAGACAGACGGGCGGGGGGAGGGCGTGTCCCGAGAGCCGAGCCCCGCAGCACTGCGACAGACAAGGGGAGGAATGAATGCAAAGCTTAGGGGGTGAAGCATGAGCACCGTCCCCCTTCTGACTTTTTAATAAAGCCGTGGTAGAAAATGAGGGGGAAAATCAGTGCAAATAGCAGGTGGTCCTTTTCCGTGGGTGGAGTTGAAATAGTTTCCCCGCCCCATGAGAGAGCCGCAGCTCTGCCCTCTGTCCAGCCCGCGCTGGGCTGTGCATTGTGGACCTCTGACCCCTGCAGGGGGCAGAAAGCCCTTAAATCCCTCTTCCCCGGCAGGCATAAGGGCGCCAGCTTCTTGTCTCGCAGCTTCTGGATTTTTACATGCTCATAAGTATGTGAGGCATGTGCATTTTGTGTCATGGAGCATGCGCTGTGCTTCGCAGCGTGGAGTTAACCTCTACTGGTCCTTCCAACCTCGTACGCACACGGAGTCGTGCGCAAGTCCCAGCCGGTGCAGGAGTCTGGTCTCTTCAGTCAGTCCTGTTCATTCTTTGTGCGGGAATTCCGTGGGGAAATTTTGGTCAGTTTTTTAAGCTAATAGATAATTGTAGCACGTGGGGCAGTTCTTGGAGATTTCCATGTAGGTAGACAGAGGAGTAAATGATCATGAGGAGGCACACCTGACAAGGAGTCGATTAGATTCACAGTGCATGAAGTGAAATTGCTTTGCTGCTGGAATATCTCGCCTTGGCAGAAGCTGGTGTTCCCAGATTTTTCAAGATTCTGGTCGCTGAGGGGCTCCTGAATGGCTCAGTCAGCCAGTGGCTCAATGGCCCGGACCTGAGCTCTGAGATCCAGGTGATGTGGGTTCGAGTCCGGGCCGTGTCGCTGGCCCACTGTGGCTCCTCCAGTGGTGTCACATAGTTGCTTGAGCAAGTAAATCATTAATGTCCTAACTAGTGTGTGTTACCTGCAGAATAGGTTTTATAAAACTGGAAATGAAGCACTGTGCTGCCCACAGCTCTCGGTGTCCATGGCTGGAGGTGCAGACCCCTCAGTCATGCTGGCCTCACTTCAGCGCCTGTTTGGCGCGGTCTCGGTCATCCCCTTCTAAAGCCAGGGAGGTGGCAGGCAATGTGGTGGCATAGAGAGGTGACAGGATTGTGGCGGAGGAGCAGGCAATGAGGGGTCAGGAGAAGCAGAGGCCTGGCAGGAGAGAGAGGTCTGTTGGCCTTCAGAGTTACACGCTTTGTCTCTCGTTACTGGTTAATGAACGAAATGGGTTTGCAGCTTGATGGGAGAAGACATTTGAAGTGACAGTGCCAGGTTCATTATCCAGGCTGCTTCACTGGAGGCATGAGACAGTGTTCGTCAGTGAGGTGTTATTTTCTGAGGGAGGGAGAATTGAAAGGAAGCGGCGTTTTTAAAGAGGGCTGGAGGAGTAAGCAAGCTGCAGCTGGTGTCATAAATCCACTCCCTGCCTCACAGCGAGAAGGGGACAACACAGGGAACAGCGCACTCTACCTTAACCAACCTCTCCTCTAAAAAACATCTAAATTAAAATATCGAGCTTTGATGGCGTTTTTTATTTCTGATAGGGCTCTTAAATTTCTGTTGTGAACCAAGCTCATTAGAGTACTTAGTGGTTCATTAAGCAGCAGAATCTTGCTGTGATCTAGCCTGTGGCTGTGGGCTATTACCCTGCCTGGGTGTTTCAGTGGCTCGTTCACTACCTTCATCAGTCGAACATGTTTGAAACCTTTCTTCTGTCTTTCTCTCTACTGCTGCATTTGCAAATGTACTACTTCTCTAAGGAAAGGTGCAACCCTGCAGCCGTGCCCATGAGGTCCAGAGCCCGAGATGTAGGATTTGCAGGAACAGCGCTCTCTGTCAAAGCCCTTCTCTGCCACTGAGTCACCATGTGTCACTGTGTCAGCAAAAAGGAAGAATTTTGTTCCTGTTAGTGTTGGATTAAAAAGCCATCTGTTCACGTGCAGGATCAATACCCATTACCTTCTGTAAGACTGCACCACATTTGGGTTGAGATCCTATCAAAATAGGCTCAGTAGGCTTCACTTTAAAGACCTGGTAAGCATTTTACCTACATAAGGTCAACATTTGGTTTCCACTTGCACTTTTATGTAATTCCATTCAGGAACTGGGACCTACAAGCATGGGAGGAATAGTGTTCGTCACCCTCGGCAAATAGGATTAGCCTGAGAGCTGCTGGATTGTTTTTTTTCTTAAGAGATTAAAAAGAGTTATTGAAGCCGGGCTTTGCAGACGTTGCATACTTGAGAAATTATAGTAGCAGAATTAAATGAAAACAGTTCTCAGGGTGACATTTTTAAAATGTGGAACGGAAGGCAAAAATGATTGGGATAGTCAAGCTGCTCTCTAGCAGGAGATTAGAAAGCAACAAAAGGGAGTTTTCCCCCCCCCTCTCTCCTCCTATTAATAAAATATCCAGGATCCACAGAGAGAAGAGTGTTTCCAATCATAAGTGCTTATCTCTGATTCTGCTAACAGCTGGCAGCTGATGTCAGGGCCATGCCAGTGTTCAGAATCACAGCAGTCAGCACCTCCTCCCTAGAAGCCTGGGATCAATTTTCCTACAGTAGCTGGGATTTTCTCTCTAGGAATTTCTCCTTGTCAATAATGGGCACCTGGACTGTAGGTTGGAGCACTAGAGTAGCAGAATGAGGAGAATTAAATCATTTGTTCACATGCACAACTCATTCTGCAATTATTAACATGACCGTTGCAGAAAGAGCAGCTTTGCTTTAGCTTAACGTGTATCTCCCATCCACTCAGGTGAGTGTCCTGAGTGCCAGAACTACTTTCTTAACAGCATCTTCATCCCCTTCAGTCAGCCTTCCTGTCCGGCACTTGTAGCATTTCATTTGGAAAACATGCCTATTTTTTTAAAAGACTAAAAAAAGAATCTTAATTAAATGCTTTTAACCTGAGGGGGCTGGTGCTTCTGGCAATGACAAATTCTTTGTTTGTTGTTCTATAAGCGGTTTCCATTAAATTTTCGTTTAAACTTTCAGTCTAAAATTAATTTCACAGTCCAGCTTGGTAAGTATACAGCAGGCTGGGTCCTAACTGGAAGTGAAAGAAGGCATTTTCTGTAACTTTCTCCATAGAGGAAGAGTATTCTGAAACGGCTGTGCTGTTTAATCCATGAGCTGGACTGATTGCTGTTGGAGCCAGCACAGCCTATGTACCCTTAAAAACCCAATGAATAAAGGACTTAATGCTGTTAATTTCAATTACTATGTATTTCAATATCCACTTTAGTGGTGTGTTTTGCTATAGTCAGACATGACTGACCATTTTTGTATGTGATCTAAATATCGTTTATGTTGGGTGAATGTATTCTTCGGCAGGGGAAAAAAACGAAGTAAAAATGTAAGTATTGATTTTTGCTGTATTTGTTAAGGTTCTTGTTTACTTCTGTGGAAATACAAAGCAGAGAAAAAGAACTGTAGCTTTTGAGTTTCTGTTCTTGCCTTGTGGCAATTCAAGTTCTGTCTAGAGCAAATAAATGCATAGGTACCTGACTTAATTCCTGACTTCAGTGTGCATTCAAAACAGAATTAAGTTACAGGACGTGTGTGACCTATTGTTTTTCCCTCTGAACTACCTGTGTCTGCCTGTGTTCCCTAGAGGCAGGAACACCACTGCTTTAGGACATAAGAAAGATCCACATGTGTCAGCAGGCAATTCAACCCCATGTGATACTTAGTAGCTTATTGATCCCAGGAACTCATCCAGACGTTTCTTGAAAGAAACGTTTCTTGTATGGGATATCGGCTTCATCAGCGTGGCTGGGTAGCTTGGGTGGAGCAGACAGAGGGACAGGTCTCCCGCTCTCCTCCGTGAGTGGCTTGTGGAGTCTTCATCCTTTTGCCACAGGTTCCCTCCAGGCCTGCCGTTGGGAACAAGTGACTGTGGTTGGGTGCTTAATTTTAAGCGCCTCACACTCTTCCTGTGGTATGAGTCACTGCACACATGCCCCTCCCAATAGGCAAACCCTACAACCTCTAAAAGGGAAAGTCTGCAAACAAGAGGAAGCCCTTCACCCCCATCTTCCTCATTTGGTTGCTAATGCTGTGGGCGATTGATCTGAAGCTCTCAACCAGCGGTTTCTTGAAGGAAGCTGGGGAAGTATAAACAAACCAGTGCTCTTTGACTTGCTGTACAGTTCCAGCTCTTGTTGTTGTTTAATCCCTTAAAGTTTGAGAACATAATTTTCTTATTGTATTACTGTTAAAGAAATTGTTCTGGGCAGATAAATACTTTAGGGGATGTTCCATTTATTTCAGCTCCAGTTCTTCCAGTAAAACAGGCTTGAATGCCCTACTTAGCTGACCGGGGAGTGGGGTGGTGTCTTCAAGCAATAATTTGGTTGTTTAGATTTCTCCGTTTAGTAGTTGGTCAAAAAAAAAAGATTTATTAATACGCAGTTAGTCCAAAGACATAGTGTTTCTCCCACAGTGGTGATATGAATTCCAGCTGTCCGTATGAGTATTTTGTTAGTCGGGTGTGTGTTTTTGTAAGCTGTGGACCACATATCTGTAATTAATGTTCAGTCAGTGGTTTGATTCCTTCTGCTTGTGCTCTCGAACTTGCCTCTCCCTTGGTCCGGGCTGGTTTGCGGGCGTGGCGTGGCGCCCCGAGCTGTAGCAGTGAAAGCCTGGCGCTCTGACGGCGGCTCTGTGCTGTGTTTCAGGGCCCTCTTCGACTACGACAAGACTAAGGACAGCGGGCTCCCCAGCCAGGGCCTCAACTTCAAGTTCGGGGACATTCTGCATGTCATCAACGCCTCGGACGACGAGTGGTGGCAGGCCAGGCAGGTGACGCCAGATGGCGAGATCGAGGAGGTTGGCGTCATCCCGAGCAAGCGCAGGTGAGCCAGGACTTTTAATTAAATTTTGTTTTTTCCACACCATAATACTTCCTTTCTCGTGCTGTGTGGCGTTGGACAGGATGCGCAGAAAAACTGGACAAGCTTGGGCATTGTTCTGTGTTTAGCAGTTTTTTTTATTTTGTTTTATTTTTGCCGTGAAGCGGCACAATAGATATTCGTTAAGCAAGCACTTCCCCCAAGACGCTGTGTGGCTTTAGAAGACTTGGTAGATGAATACATTTTCACACGAAAACATATGAAGGGGTTAGTGAATTTCTAACTGCTGGGGTGTTGAACAGCAGAGATGCAGAGCTGTGGCTGCTCCTTCCCACCGACATCAGCTCAATTTAAAGTTGAATCAGGAGACACACTTGAGAAGACTGTATTTCGTGTTGTTAAACCCTTAGGTATGCAAAGGAGCTGCACAGCTGAAAAGCCTGCTGCTGCAACACCTGGTCCTTTCTGACAGACATTGCTTTTCCCTGTGTACAGTTAATCTACTCCAAGTAGCTAATTTTAGACTCTCCAAACCCCGGTCCTTTTCAACAACTTTTTTGGACATGCAGTTGAACATTAAAACATGATTTGGTTGTGGCAGTTTTTGTGCAGTGAAAACAGTTTCCCACCTGGAAACAGACCAGACAATGCTAAGTCAATCTCTCCGTCTTCTGAAGGAGGTGTTTCACGTCCAAGACGCTCAGATTCGGAAAGCTTGACGTTCCTAAAGGAAAGAAGAGTCTGTAATGTCATTATCCGGGCTTGTATTCCTTGCCTAACATAAAGGATCACTGCATACAGGGATTTGTAAAAAAAATAATCAAAAGGTTTTAGAACAGTAAACTGTAAAATGTGCTTGTGAAGAAATGTGGCATTTTATATTAAACATTAACTTTCTGCATTGTGCAAAGCTCTGAGGCATCCCGCAGAATGTGTGTAATGATTCTGGAGCCGCCTTCATTTGCCTCTAGTTCTTCTTAAGCATTTTATAGCCCTCTGCTCCATTATGCATTTGCTCAAGACAATGTCTCTTGACATTTCGGTTTAAAGCACTTTCTTCTGCACCAGTGCAGCTTATTCCGTGATCTCATTAACACTCCTGACACTTCGTCGTTACCCAGAGATCATCACGGGGGGGGGGTCTCTGCTGCCTCGGCTGGGGTAGGTCACATGCCGCACAGCCTTGCCTGCTTCGCTCAGTGCTACCTGCCTCCTTCAAGAGGAAGGTGAGGCACGAGTGGGAAGGAAAGAAACAGAAGGCATCTTTAAGAGCCGAGATCTCGAGCCTGCTCCCACCATAGAAGCTCTTTTATCGGACTCTGCTGTGACGTGCGCTATGATGCGTCTGAAAGCCCGGCACGGTGTTTTCTTCGAAGAAGAATTGTAAGAGATGGTCAAATGGCAGCCAGGCAGTGGGGGCTAACCTGACCTTGGGAGTTTGGGGAAATGTTTTAAGAGCAAATCCGTGTCCTCTGCATCACGCGTTTCAAAGCTGCTGGCGCAGTATGTGCTCAGTGAGTCAGTGCTGTGCACGGTGGCGCCTGGACCTCAGGACACGAAGGGGGCAGTGACAGCTCACTGTGACGCCACTCAGGGCCTTGTTCCTGAGAACTAGAACCAGAGGAAAATGCCCTCCTGTCAGTAGAAAATTTGGAGTTTTGACTAATCCCTGAAGGGAGAAGTCAGATGGGTTAAATATGAACAGAAGGGCATTGGTGAGTCTGGAGGACCTCTCATTTTTCTCTGCTCTGTCAATTTTCCACTGGACTTAGTCTCCTAGAGTCCAAGACAAGCTAGAACAGCACTGGATCATTGCCATGTGAAGTTTCAGAGAAGCTAGGTCTCACTCCCAGCCAGCCAGCCAGCCTGCCTGTCTCGAACGTGATCCCTGAAGGAAAACCGATCTGTTACCGTCTTGTGCCTTCACACATCACGAGTAATGCAAGGAGTCCCACTGATGACCACGTCGGTTCGGTCCCTGAAAAATGTCCTGTTTCCTAAACTCCCTCCAGGGAGAGCTGAACGAGTGGTCCAGTGATGGAGGCAATATCCTTTCGTCAGCAGAAGCTGCAATGTTGCCTGGGTTAAGAATAAGAATAAGGTTGGATGCTCGCAAAGAGTGAGGACTTCCTGTCATTTGAAGAATTAGCAGGTTGCTAATTCCGCCCCCAGGAGCCGTCTGTGGAATATTTAAAAAGACCCGGGTTTTCAGTTGATAAAATCTGAGGAGCTCCTTCCCAATTTCCATTATCTCGTTACGCTTCATTTCACAACCGTTTTGCCGTAGATGTCAGGTTTTTTAAAGCGTTTTATTTTGTAAAAGTGCCAAAGTGACATTCTGCTGAAAAAAATCATCATCCCCGGCCCGACACATCTCCCTGCTATTTTTGTCCCGCGTCTTAATAAATAACCGCAGAAGAAAGTGAGTTAAGCTTAAGCTAATTTGTGATGTTTAAATACAGGCAAGCGGCGCGATCTGGGGAGCGAAGAGGCTCCAGAAGGTGCGATTTGTATGTCAGCGGAGGATTTTAATAAACTCGCTTAGCATATTCATCACGTAAGCTGTCTCAAAAAATCTCTGGATTGAGAAGTCACTGGTTTTGAAATCAGCCAAGTTCTTCAAAAGGGGAGATTGCAGGACAGAAATTGGGTTCAAGACGTTAACTCTGGGTGGGATTGCTAATTAGTTGCAGAATCTGGTTCTTGTTTCTCAAATGCTATCTTCCATGTGGAAGAAGGACGACTATCAAGCCTGTCACTTTTCCACATAGTTTCATAAATTATTAAGCCTTGTTTCAGTATCTATTTCTGTGAATATGGTATTGTCATTTACTGTAAACCTGCTATAGGTTATTATAGGGAGTGTAAAGTGATATGTTCTAATACAAGTCCAATAGAAGATAAATGCAGCTTTAAAGCAAACATTACTGCATTCGTTGAATTTAAAAAGCTAGAGCAGTTTCTAGCAACATTATGTAATGTGAAAGAATATTTCCATGTCATTGCAAAAAATAAAAGTGGGATACAAAAGAATCAAAGTTTCTTGCAAGGCTGTTACATACTTTTAGGGTAGGCTCAGGTTTAACGGCTTTTGTACCCTCGGAGGTTTCTCAGAGCATAGAAGTTTGTGCTCGGGAGACGGTGCCGTTTGCTCAGTGTGTAATCGCACATGAAGGACCGTCAGCCATGTAGCCTCTTATCTGCTGGCTCTTCTGCAGATGCCAGGTTGCAGGTTTGAAGGGCTATTCCAGGAACTGTCCCCCAGCCCCCCCCCAGTGTGACATCACCAAGCTGGAGCAGAGACCGGGTCTGTGGTCATCGGGGTTGTCTTTTAATCGCTGGGAGATCGGGTGGAAAAGGAACACCTTGTTAAAGAAAACCGCGAGAGGGGAAGCAGTCCACACAGTTTCTCTCTGGCTCTCTCCCTCTCTCCAAGCGCCTTGGAGAGTAGGTTTCCACTTTCTAAGTGGCTGCTAAATATTTAACACTGCTCCTCAGGTTCCCCGTATTTGTGATCCAGAGGCCCTTAGAGCACTGTGCTGTCTGGCTGTCTCCCTGGCGCTGCGCTTGAGCAAGGGTTCACTGCTCTGTGAGCTCCCCAGACCTGTTGAGCACATTGCCACGTTCAGGTCCTTAGTTTCTGCTGTGTTGGAAATCTGTGGTGTCCTAAAGCCCTTTCTGAAGGCCAGATTTGTGCTGCAATATGCACATTTGATCATCTTTGGTGCTGAAGTCTTTGGAGCAGAGCGGATGGGGCTTGTTCAGGTGCCGAGAAGCAACTGACCACTTGGTCAGTTTTCAGATGAATCGTGATGAAGTCGTGCAGAAAAGGCGTCCAAAATATACAGAGCACACCCTCTGCTCCAGAAGATTTGTTTGTGAGATGAAGTTCTGTATGCTTTCTAGAAGGCTGTCATAGAACATTTTGGAATGATCCTTAATAGGTTTTTAAAAGCACAGAGCATGTAAGTTTTTATTTTGATTAGTAGTTACAGGCTCTGAAGAAAATTTTTAATTTTCAAAGAGAATTACTGTTCAAAATGGAGACCTGCATGCTGTGTCTGTTGCCCTGGAGTTCTGTTTGCCAGTAAGATTTTTCTCCTGGAAGATTTATCCCTGTGCCTGTTGAGTTTTTTCATTTCACCAGGAAATGTGAATGTATATATTAAATTATATCCTGTAATCTGTTACATATTAAAATACCTCTATATCGTTTAATTTTAAAATGTATGTTTGTAATTTTGTTTTTAACTAACTTTTACATCTAGTTGTGCAGGAAAGTTTTACTTTTTCTAATTTCTGATTAAGGTACCTACTGCTCCTTCCTATGTTCCTGTCCTCCAGTATTTGTTACATTAGGCTTAAAATTGTTCTGTATGGCGATTAGTCAGCAAAATACCATTGAAAGTGAACTGCCACACTTCAGGAAAAATCCTGTTTAAAAAAAAAAAGCCAATCTACGTTGTAAACTGCTGTCCTCATGTCCTTTTTACAAATAATTCCAAGTGACCTGGTCTCTGATGTCTTCTGGGAGTAAGGTTTCTCTTGGAATCAGGGCTGGGTAGTGTTAGATCTAAGGGATTCTCATACGGTTGCTACTGTACATACAGCAAGATTGTTTCAGATATCTCGTCTGTTACCGGAGTAATTCAGACTGCTGAATTTCATTCTCAGGTTATTTATTATTTTGGCTCTATATTGAACTAAAGATTTGCTTTTCATTTTTTTTAATAAAAAAATCCTTGAGCAATTTAAGGTTTATACAGTTAAGTGACAAGACACCCCAGCTTGTTAGGACCTTGAATCTGCTAAAAGTTTCTTGGCCCAGTTAAGGTTCGGGTCGGAGTGCGGCAGACTCTGGGACGGACCGTCATGGTCTAGTAGACACCAGGAGCGCAGAGGCCTGTTGGGAGACGATGTTGTTGCTGTGCTTTTTCTCCGCGTGGCTGTAGAAGGCACTGAGGGGCTCTGGGCCCCAAAGCCACAGGGCCTCAACACAGAGCTCTGCTGTCCTCGGCCTCATCAAAGGTCACCCCTTGCCACCCAGCCCATCAGCTCGCGTAACAAACCCTTTGATCTGGCACCAACAGGAAAAGGTTAGAGAGAAATGGTTCTGAAAGGAAGAGACGATTGACCTCTTTTTTTTCTTTCCCCATCCTGGTTTTAATGTGAGTGCTATTTTTCACCGCTTTGGTCTGGCTCTTCAGTAATCAAAAAGCTGCAGAAGCACTAATGTCAACCTTTATCTTCCAATTACTGGCACATGATGATGTTGTACAGCAAAGGGTGCTATTTTGAATGAGATTGTAGCACTCAATCAACAGCATATCCATGCTCGCAAATATGGATCTTTGCAGAATGATTTATGGTGGTTTTTCATGAGTGCAGGCATTAGGGGGGAGGTGCAGCAGTCTGAATAAAAACTTGAGATGTCTCGAATGAAAATTGCTTTTCACAGCGTGCGATTGCCGTGTAGATATTTTCGGAACCCATACAAAAATACAGAAGCAGTTTCTTTATTTTGCATTGCTTTTCTCTTCCTTGAGGATTTGAAATGATGTTCATTGATAACGGGAAGGGGCCGAATTGAGCACTTCGCTGGAGTGCCGTTTCTTTAAGGCTTTCGCATGCTAACTTATGGCTCTGGTGAAGAAGGGGTTGAAGCAATAGAGTTCCTGCATTTATTGGTTCGACAAAGTAGGGATGGTGCATTTTTAATAAAGTGTGCATGCTTATTCAGACTACCCGGGCTCAAAGCAATAAACAATATTTCATGAAATGGTCTGCCGAGATGGCGTGGTCTGACCCAGAAGAGCGGCAGCCTGTAAGGCTTTCCCTGATTTCTCCCGACAGGGTGGAGAAGAAGGAAAGAGCGAGGCTGAAGACGGTGAAATTCAATTCCAAGTCCAGAGACAAAGGGGTAAGTGCAGCACCTTCATCACGATTCGCCTTGTGCAGGAGACCTCGCGGATGTGTGGTCTGCGGTTTGTCACTTAATGCAGCTGTCTGAAGTGTAATTGTGTGAGCAGTGAGACTTCACAGCTTTGTTTTTTTTAATGTGTCGGGATGTTGGCCCACCAGCTTGTTTCCAGCTGGTTTAATTTAAAGTACTGACAGAACCTTCATGTTCACCTGATCGAAGCTCACATTAACATTTGCCAAAGGAAAGGAGTGGAAGAATTAGCTGCAAAACGTTCAGAAAATACAAGAGGTTTTTGCCAGGTAAAAGCTATTTTAAGTTTTTAGAAATGTTTTAAGAACATTGAGTTTACTTCTTTTGTCTTTGCTGTTGGTTAGTGAGTTTCATTTCCAGTTATTGGATGAGATAGTCACCTAGGAATTTACTTTTGTCCTGTTTTATATGAAAAGCGTTAACTTGGAAAATAAATTTTCAATTAAATTAATATTTGTGTTACATTAGGAGGTTCATTTTGTTACTAGATTGTTTTTATATACTGATGGAGAAAAGAAACGCAACACCTGCTCCTCCACACTCTGGCCCTCCTGTCTGCATGGGACAGGCTGAGGAGTGACTCGTCCGTGAGGAGGACCTGATGCCACTGCTGACGAGTCCATTGCAGCTTCTGACTGGCCCAAGCCAGTCGGGTGTGATGTCTAGGGGGTGTGAGCAGAGGGCCCCTGACAGGTCTCCTTGCTCTCAGGCCAGCTGCATGGAGCCTCACTGTCCTGTCACTGATGTGGGCATTGTGTCTGCAAGCAGTTTCAGCAGCAGTTCGGGTGGCAGATCTGAAACGATCTCTCAGATGGACCAGTCTGATGTATCGGCCCTGCTCTGGTGTGGTCACTCGAGGGCAACTGGATCTTGGACGGTCATTTGTCCTGCCAGTCTGCTGAAACCTACTCTCCAGTCGGGACACAGTGGAGCGGCTCACTCCATAGTGTCTGGCAACGCTGGAACATGACATGCCTGCCTGCAGCATGCCAGTGGCCCTCTCCCTGGCTTCTGGTGACGTTCTAGGCATTATGGGATGCACAGAAAACTGACTAAGTGTGGCCTTTTTCTTGCAGTGACCTAAGCTTTGAATTAAGGCCTTTTTAAAAGTGACCGATCAGGCATTGTTCCACCTGGACCTTGTTGGGTAAAAGTGCACCTAACGAGCTTTCGTGTGATTGGCAAGTTGCAATGCCACAATGCACAAGAGGGCTTAAAACAAATTGACAACTTTTTGTGAAAGTGCATAAGCTATGACTATAGTATTCTCATTCCAGAAAATGTTGCGTTTCTTTTTTCCCCATCAGTATATGTTTTTATTTAGTTGTGGGCTGCTTTATGAAAAAACAAAATTATTTTCCTAAAATCGCATTGGAACCTAAGAATTACATGTGAATGCACTGGAATGTGTCCAAGGCAACCTTCAGAAATTGTTAAAAAGTTGTATTCTGAAATGTGGTGGTTTTTCTCAGTGTGAAACTCCGATATTGTCAAGCAGCACTAAACGTCATCATTCTGCGAATATCTTATTCCTCCGACTGTATTAAAAATACTAATATGTGACCCTAGTGAAAGCTGCTCGATGTGCCTTGAGCCGGTTAACAGCATGTTTTGATGACTTTTCCACGGTTCCTGTGGCCCGTGTTCCTGTACTCAAAATTAACTCTAAAATCTGAACTGTTAGTCCTGTTCTCCCATTGCGTGTCCTGACACGACACGAAACTGCATGAAACATTGAGTGGGGGAAAAAAATACGCTTGCCATTGATGTAGAACTGATTGTAACACCTGCATCCCGCTGTTCTGGTTTCCAGCAAAACAGTGCATGCAAGGTTGTCTTTCTCCTGTCCTTCATTTTCAGCAGCTTCTTTTTCCTCTCACATTATAGAGATGCCCGTGTACACATACATACAGTATAAACACGCATATAGACAGTAGAAAAGCTTGAGCTGCCCCAGCATTTTACTGTGGTTTGTACTGGGATTATCAGATAGCTCTGGTCCCAGTAAGCAAGTCGAACGTGTTTGTCCAAGCTCTCATTAGCTGCTTAATGACCTGTGGAAACTGCTGGACAGGAGCCCCTCTGCTCCAGGATCTGAGGCCAGGGTGTGTTTTAAAAACCTCTGCAGAGCAGTTAGAGAGCCTGGCAGTAAAAGAAGGCCTGCTGTCATTGCTAGCTTAAGCTTGTGTGTCTGGCCTTTTACAAGGACAATTTGGTGCTTTAAAATGATCAATGGCCCAGTGGTTGTAGCTTCTCAGCAGTGCTTTGACTTTCCACCAAAGTTTAAAGCACCTGTTCGTATTTCTTAGCCTGAAATGTACTGTACTGTAGTTGTGATGATAATCAAACCTCCCAGATCTGGGCGACTGAGAAGATTGTAAAGGACACTGGTTTTCATTGGGGTAACATTAAATGAAATCCTTTACATCTTAGAATCACTTGGGTTGTTCGAAGAAATATTCTTCTGCTGGTTTAGTAAGCAGAATGCGCAGCCGAACACATTTGAATGAGCGGCCCTCCTGTTGCTTGGCCTATATCACTGGCTTTTATCAGCGCCCTTGGCCATTCAATCAGGTTTAATTGGCCATAAGGTACCTTTGTGCAGTACAGGTGTAGGTTTTGAAATAAGCATGGCCATTGTCAGGGTTTTAAGTTACTTATTTTTGTGTTGGTGAGGAGTAGACCAGTTGAGCTTTTTTAAATCAAACAGTTTTGTTTGTATTTAAGAAAAAACATCTTTGGTTGGAATCCATCTTCGTCCAAACTGACACTAACATCTCTTTATACTCCACTTTGCACACTGTTGACTTCTGCCTGGGTTTGCGAAAGCACTGTTGCCCTGGGCTTCATACTAAACCGCTAACAGAGCCCCAGGGGCGGCCTGAGCTCGTGCCCCTCCTCACCCTCTCAGACCTTCACAGCCTGCTTTGCACCCTCTGGGTCTGGCGTTTCCGTATGTCCTGTCTTTTTTTATTTCACCTGACCAAAATGCTTTCTTATGTGTAGAAAGCCTAGATCCATTTCACCTACGGAGCTGACTCTGCTGCCATTTTTGAAAAAGAAATTGCATCTCTGACTGAAAAAAGTCGGAAGTGCAGCAGTCTTCCTGATTGGCCTACGTGTATTGATTTTAGCTCGAGCTTAAACGGCAAAAAAAAGCTTTGAAATCGTTTTAAACAACATGCAAATAATTGTGGGAATGGAAAGGTCTCTGTGCTTGTATCCTCCCCCTGCCTGCACTCCTGACATTGCTCCAGCTGATCCTCAAGCTGCAGTTCAGACAGGCTTCTCTACATTCTGAAGTGTTTTTCCTTCATGTCACGTGATGAAAGTAACAAGCAAAGGGCTCCAGAGTGGCTCAGCACGCTAAGGCACTTGCTACAGCCGTCATGAGTTCCAGTCTGGATCACGTCGGTAGCCCAGTGTGACCAGAATGCCCCAGCTGGGAGTGTACAGTTGGCTCCCGGTGAAACGGCACCCCCTGCGGGCTCGTGTTCACCTCGACGAGCCACACACCTCTCATCTGATCGGTGCCGAGCCTCCTGTGCATCGCTGCGCAGCTCATATCCCATCACAAGACGACGAGCTGCCCACCCTTTGTCATTCACCCTGTGCGGGTACAGAGGTCATTCCCATGAGCCAAGACGTGAAAACACCCTTGGCAACTCCAAATTGTGGTGGCACATCATAAATTAATTAGAGCGTCTTAGCTTAGAGGCATTGTTGACAAAGGAGCTGTTTGACAGGCAGCATTTGGCACATTGAATGGGTTTCAGGTATAGGGTGCCAGTCAGTGTCCCCTCTAAGATGTGCGCGCACACAGGTTATGAAATCAGAGCACATAGGGAATTGAACTGCGCACAAAAAAAAAAATTCCAAAAAAATGATGGTAAAACAAACACAGTCATCACTTGAAAAACGCTAAATTGGCCACGAGACTGACTGCAAGAGGCCCAACTTGGCTGTGTGCATCATTATTGCTACTTGATAATTGATCTCTATATACAATTTTACATTCACTCAATTTAGTGCGCACAAGTTTTTGTCACTGGGGGGAAAAATTTGCACCACTCGGAATGTTTGCGCACACAGGCCATTAAAAATTAGGGGGAACGTTACTCCTCCTGCCCTCTTGCCCCCAGCGCGTTTCCCAGTGGTAACCCTCCTGGGTTCCAGTTCAGCTTGAGGCCCAGGCCGTCCCCACGTCCTCCCACAGCGCGGGCTGTTGGCTCCCGCCGGAGCAGGAAAACTGGGAAGTGGCCCACGGAGTGCAGCGGGGGGGGATACTGGCACGGGGGTGGTATCCGGTCAGGATGGCTCCTCTCCTGCCCTTCCGCGTGGCACCGCCGCCCAGCGGGGATGGCACCAGAGTCGGCGCCCGGAGAGCGGCGGGGCGGGGCTGTGGTTCACACGGACATCAGACACACCTTCTTGTTTTGCCCCCTTCCTTCTCTTCCTCAGCAGTCATTCAATGACAAGCGTAAAAAGAACCTCTTTTCCCGAAAGTTCCCTTTCTACAAGAACAAGGACCAGAGCGAGCAGGAAACGAGTGATCTCGACCGTAAGTAACCAGTTTTAAAAAACAAAGGGGGACTCGTGCGCGCGTTGCAGGTCAGGGCCAGCGCACGGGAACAGCTTGTTACCACGGAGACGGCCGGGCAGCCGCAACAGGTGGAGGCATCAGCAGTGTCTCCCTAGCGGGCCCCCCCCCCCCCAACTGCGGTTTTGCTCAACAAGAGCAGAACGTCTTTCCATCAGAGCTAAAACCCTGATTGGATTCGGAATTGGGCTGCAATTCCAATTCCTCCCCGTTTTTCTTCATTTCCTCCTCGTGCTATCCCTGACTGGCGTTTCCAGTGTCCCCCGTCCTTCCACCCTTTTGCGAGACCCTGTCCGTGCCCGTCTCCGGAGGTAGAGACCCTCATTATGTTCCAGTAACAAATCTTCTTTGTGATTGTTTTCCCTGTTTGCTTGCTCTCTGCCGGCTACTTCCCAGGAGATCCCAGACGACATGGGATCAAAGGGCCTGAGTAAGTTCTCCTGTTTAATCCTAGGCTGCTCCTTCGCACCAAATCTTCCCCTTTTTTTTGTTGGTTTTGGAGGAATTTTTGGACTACATGTCATTTTCCATCATTTTTCCACCTGTTTTTTTTTGGGGAGGGAGAAGTTTCCTCTAGACCCTCATCCTTAATTCTTCATCACCTTATTTGAACGGTGTTTTTCTTTAGAGCCCTGGACATACAGTAGGTCCCACATTCGCTTTCAATACCATTGCATCAATCTGGAGAGCAGCTGGGGCTTACTCTCAACACAGCGCAGGACGTGCCTGAAAAGCCCAGTTCAATCTGAAGACGATGTGTACAACAGCCTTTTTATGGCACTGCAACTGGGTTTGAGATGAACAGCTGATTCAGAGACAGAATAACAAGCTTAATTGTGAACCAGTAGCTGCACAACATTATTCCATGGCTACAGAATCCCTATTGTTTCAGAACAGCCAAGGACATATTATAGCGCTAAATTGGTCAAGAAAATTGGCTGCTTTTATTGCAACTGCTGTTTCTGTCAGCAGAATAGATGCAATTTGTATTTCATACCTGCACTGCATCAGTTTAAAATATTCTATTTTTATATGCGGCCCAAGCATCATGTTCTAATGTTCTGTCCCCCGAAATGGTGATCAGTAGGGGATAAAGACAGATACTGCATATACTACGTTTGTTCGATATCTGCTCTATAAAAAGAGTACATTTTGAAACTTGATCCTTTATAAAAACCTCTTGCTTCTATAATTCCCTCATTGAAAATATGCATTGAAAATCTTATCACTACAGGACCTTTGTGCTAAAAAAAGCCCAATACTGGGTTCAAAATCCCAGTATTGGTTGTATCCCAGTGGTGTGCCGCCTTCGGTTCAGTAGCTGATTTTCTCAGTGCAGACCTGCTGAAACAGCAGTCATTCTCAGCTGTGTCCCTATTAAACTTTCTCAGCGTCTAACCAGGGCTTTGTAGTTCTTAAATGTTTAATGCGCCGTGACTGTGGAAGATCCTTGAGGAGGCATTAGGGTTTGCTGCAGGATCATTAACCACAAGCCAAATGTGTGGGTTTAGGCTGAGGTTTTCACTTTTTATAGGGATAATTTCCGAAAAAATAGTAGGTATTATTCTATGATTATACAGGGATCTCTTTAGTATTCATTGAACACCATTTTAATATCACTAAAAGCAATAAAGGTTACAGATTTGTTGTGGTAGCGTGGGGTGCAAGAGAGATCATCACCTCCAGACTCCGGTCTCTTTTCAGAACAGTCTCGAACCCCCTCACGCAGACAAACTTCTTGGTCTGTAGGCAGCTCTCTGAAACACAGCCTCCTCAAGCATCTTTGCAGTCCGCTTTTTGATCCATTGTGTTTTTCTGTTTGTATTCCTTCATAGTGGGCACAGTTTCTTCCTCTGTAGATAGCCCCTGTGGCAGCAGTGTGTGACTGTCTGTGCTGGTGCTTACCCTCCCTTTGTTGTGATTTCAGAGCATGTAACCTCTAATGCCAGCGATAGTGAAAGTAGTTACCGTAAGTCTGTGTTCCCTTTATTTTATACCTTTTGTTTTGTTTTTCATTTGTTTCTAGATTTTTTGCAAAGGGAAAAAATCTTTTTCTACTGTTGCTTTCCTAGTCGCTAGAGTGTCGTACCATAACTAACTCATGTGTCTCCAAAAGCACGTGTATCTCTCCCAGATGTTTCAGGCACAGTCAGCATCTCCCACCCCCTGAAATCTGGGGTCCCCCGCCAGCACAGGAGTTTCTTGGGAGGGGAACTTGTAAACTGTGGGAATCCATACAGGATAGCTCCTTCCAGTGAATTGTTAGCAATCAAGTGCAATGAAAAAAAATTCACAGTGTGTTTCACCGCGGATCTATTCGTCTCTGTCATTGTGATGTCCCTCTCATTGATTTAAAACTAAATTGACAATTTGTCATATTTCTATTGACCACATTATGAAATAATTTGTGTAGATTTTCATTTATCTGACCCAACTACACTAGACGCCTGCTTGTCCAGCAAGTAATATATCATTTAATTGTTTTGTCTTTAATTCCAGTGAAAACTAAGATGCATCATTCTTTTCCTGTTGATGTTGTATCCCATAAGATTTGTTTCATCAAGCGTTTGCAAGGTTGACATTTTAAACTGGCAATATATAGTTTACAACAAACCAAGAAATAAGTCTGACTTTTACAGATTTTGTAGCATTTTAGATGTCCATCAGAAGGCGTCTTCATGTTAAATTTAATGTGATTTATCTTGACAATCTTTCTAGTAAATTTTGCATTCTAATATAAATGACACATCACACATCATAAAGGCGATCTGTTACTCTGTTGAGTGTAGCCAGCTCCCAGTACTGTGCAGCCTAAAGAAAGCTATGTGAAATGGAAGGTATTGCTACTAGAAATCTCATCGGACGTAGCAATATGTATTTCAAGTTAAAAGGCCGTGCTTGTTAAAGTTATCCCCGCCCAGAGCTCTGAGACAGAGCAGATTGGAGTGCTGACAGTGGCATCTGCTGTGCGTGCTCACAGCCTGGCGGCTGGCTGTTATTTTCTTTAGACAGGTTTCCAGAAGAGATTTTTCTAAGGCAGTGGTTGTTAATGGGAGTTAGGAGAGGGCCTCACCAGCAAGGAGACACGGTACATATGTCTATAAACACAGACTAGCCCGTATCAATCTGATCAACATCTGCTGATACTCTGTATTTTTTATGATTGTCTTTTTTTCCCTCAACTTTTGCTTCTGTGCGTTCATTTCGGACAGGTGGACAGGAGGAATACGTGCTGTCGTATGAATCAGTCGTCCAGCAGGAAGGTGAGGTGGTGTGTGTGTGTGTGTGTTTGCAAGCGTGGATGTTGAGATTCCCTCACTTATTACAGTGAGCAGTTTAGGCATTGAGATAATTCCTATTTGGGGGGGGAGCAACACCATGCCCAAAACTGAGTGAGCACAAACACAGCAGTGTTGGGTCATTTAGCCAACACTGGACATGATGAAGGCACTCATGCAGGGAGCTGAAACTTGCGCCACAGGCGTTGGTGTCGTATGAGTGTTCTGCTATACTCAGGGTTTTGTGTGATTGGTTTTAAAAATGCAGGGCTTTTGATTTGATAATGGTCTGCATTTCCAAAGGCTGGAACTGGTGCAGTGAGCCCTGTTAAATGCAACCTTGTGCTCATCTGCAGTTCACCACAGAGCTTCCACAACACAAACTCAATGTAATGTTCTCAGATGTAAATATTGTACATATTGTCTTTGAGCTGCTTTCATCTATATGCCGAGAATTTTTAATCAAATACAGGTAAAATCCAAAATGAACCAACTCCTAGTTTTACTGACCTCTGACAGCTCAGTCTGTTGTAAGGAGTGTGTATGAATTCCTTCAGGCATGTCTAGCAATTATGGGTCTGGGGCTCAGTTAACGATAGATGTGTACTCTGCGTTTCTACTCAGCAGTGTGTGGCTTTTTCAAGACTCAGCCTCCTGCGTCAACAGGTTTTCTCACCTCGTCATACATACTTTATTATAAGAAATTGGTCACTTTGATGTAAGGGCAGTGTGTTTAACCCTCCTGCAATCCTCCAGGTTGTTTTCTTTGCCTTTTCTGTTTTTGTCTTTTATTTCTAATCTGTTCATCAAACCTTATGTCCTTATTACAAAATGAACTGTGTGGTTTGGTCTGAACAAATGGTGAAAAGGTTGTAGAATAGTTTCTGGTGTTTCTTCTCAGTGAACTACACCCGTCCAGTGATTGTGCTGGGTCCCATGAAAGACAGAATAAACGACGACCTTATCTCTGAGTTCCCCGATAAATTTGGATCCTGCGTCCCACGTGAGTATTAAATATCCTAGCAGTAAGTACTGAGGGGACAGTCTTATCTCCTCTCATAGCATCAAGGAGAAGCAGGGAGGACATTATTGAGGTCCCAGGTAATCAGTTATTGGTGATAAAAGGAAAGAGCTTTGTTGTAGGAGTCCGTGCTGTTTACTCTGTCTTTGGTAAACTAAATTTGACCTTATCATAATGGGGGACACACAGCCCGTACTGAACTCGTGGAGGAAGCTGAATGTTTTATTGCTGCCCAAGTAAGATTTAAAAATCTTTCACCGCGTGTAGACCTGGGGTTAAAATTAAAAGAATTCTATCTTTTAAAATGTGAGGCACTGTAAACTTAAACAATGACGCATAGGTCTTGACGCAGCCTTGGCCATGACTCCTGGAGAAAGAGATTTACTCAGCTCCTCGGTAACCTCACACTTGCCTCCAGCCGGCCCATCCAGCGGGATTCTCTTCCAGTTCCCCTCTCGCATCCATCGGCTGCAGAGCCTTCTGGAGTTGAGCATCTTGGCTCATTAAATGCCATTCTGGTGCAAATTAACACCGCTGGCCCGTTCCTCCCCTGTGCTCTGTGCCGCAGACTCGCTTCAATCTGATTCCGGGTACAATGCTTACAGCTGATTCATCCATAGGCAGTCCAGGCCTTGCTGTCGAGGAGGGCAGTACAAGACCGTTCAGCTCTCGAGGGATGGGGTTGATCTGTCTGGTTTTTAATCATTCCCAGCGTCCGGCTTAGAGCTTTTCATCCCAACAAGGATGCAAATATTTACACGCAGGTTGGGAAGCGCTTCACCCCTGCAGCAGTTCCCACCTGCCTGGTGCGAATCAGGTGGAGAGGTCAATTGACCAGCAGCTGAATTAACCAGGACTGTACAACCCCAGAGTGGTCTTCAGCCAGGACACCGGGGTGAACAGCCCTATTTTGATCTGTCATGACCATGTAATCAGGACCTCAGTTCCACATCTCATCTGAAGGTGGCACCTGCTACAGCAGAGTGTCGCTGGTCACAAAGGGTCATTGATGGGGAAATTCTGGTCCGGGGGGGGAGCACCCCCTGCTGGTCCGCCAACGCCGCCTGTCACGGCGGCCGCCCGGTTCTCTTGAGAGGTCTCTCGCCCCTGTCCCTGCCGGGCCCAGCCTTGCTCCAGTCTCCCGCCGCCGCCTTTAACACGCGCCTGTACCTTTCCCAGACACAACCAGACCAAAGCGCGACTACGAGGTCGACGGGAGGGACTACCACTTCGTGACGTCGCGAGAGCAGATGGAGAAGGACATTCAGGATCACAAGTTCATCGAAGCCGGCCAGTACAACAACCACCTGTACGGCACCAGCGTCCAGTCGGTGCGGGAGGTGGCAGAAAAGGTGGGGGGCGAGACCCATTTTGCTTAGTCGCTCTGCGTCGTTCAGAGCAGTTCGGAATGCAGCTCCTGGCAGCCCGCTTACAGGGGCGACAGACGTCTGGCCTCAGTTTGGCCCTTGTGACTCCTGCTGTCGCTGGGGCCTGTTCAGCAGGTGTGGCTGAAACCATGGTGACTGAAACTGCACTGTCATCAGCATCACAGAGCAGGCCGGGGTGCTCACCCAGCTCTGGTCCTCTCAGAAAGACTTGCCTCTCGTTATCGCCCTCCTTAGTAATTCTTCTCCACCAGGTTCTTCACAGGCCAGGCTGGATAATTTTACATTTTTCCTGACGATGCGAGTGCTGTTTATGAGTCATAAACTCGTGTGAAACTGGGTTCCGCAGACAAATCAGTTTACCCTGCTGCTCGCCCTCGGAATTAAGGCAAGTGGAGGAAAAAATAAGCAATAGGGCATGAATGAGGTGTTGTTTTCTTTTTTTAATCTATTTTATGTCTTGATGCACGTGTAGCAAAGTGAAGAGGCTGGCAGTATGGGTGGACCTGACTGATGTTTGAAAGCAAATGATCTAAGGTGTTCCTTTCAGCTTTCAGTTAAGAGTTACAATGAGGCAGGAGCTCTGTAGCCAGTGCAGCGTTATATCACTGAGCTGTGTTGAACTGATGACTGTCTCTCCTCCCCCCTTCCTCAGGGCAAGCACTGCATCCTGGATGTGTCTGGCAATGCCATCAAGAGGCTGCAGATTGCACAGTTGTATCCAATTGCTGTTTTCATTAAACCAAAATCGGTGGAAAATATAATGTGAGTAAAGATAAACAACGAGGGTAAACTGAGTTTTTCAAGCTTTTCTTTGCAGAGTTTTGAGCTTGCTGCTTCTAGATTGTGTGCTAATCCCAATATTTTGGTATCTGCAAACTTTACTAGTATATTAATTGTTGCATAATCTAGGTCACTGGTGTAAAACATAAACAAAACAGCAGAAGGCCTAATACACATCCCAGTAGTACTTCACTAATTCCTGCCCTGCACCAATCTTAAGGCACTCATTAGTGCCCTCTAGTTCCTGTCCATTTACTGGCTCTAAATCTACACATGCGTTACCTTGCGTGTCTTAAGGTTTGCAATTTAGTACAGATTCATGAGCTCATTTAGCTCATGTCTGCTTGCTGCCCAGATGTGAGGCTGCAAGTGTCCTTCGGTGATTGCACAGTTATTTTTACTGTTTTGTAGTAAGCCCAGCCAAGCCTGTCGGTTGAGGACTGGCGAGATTAGACCCAAGGTGTTGGGGGTGGGGGTGCTGTCTGTATCTGATTGGCCCTTGCCGGGAGGGGGGGCCGTGTTTGACTCCGCCTCTGTGTCCCCGCCCCCAGGGAGATGAACAAGAGGCTGACGGAGGAGCAGGGCCGCAAGACCTTCGACCGAGCCACCAAGCTGGAGCAGGAGTTCACCGAGCACTTCACAGGTGTGTGCGCCGCGCCGGGACGCCTGCTGTGCACCCTGTCTGTGAAACCCAGGAGACCCGCCCCCTTACTGGGGCACTGGCTGGGACACGTCCAGCTCCCTAAACTCAGACGAAGGGGAGTTTGAGCTTCAGGTGTTCTTTTGCTAGTGGCATTGAAGGGACCTCCTTGATGCACTGTGTGTCAGCAGAACTGTGAACCCCTACACTGTTAATAGCACAGTAATCGTTTGAATAGTCAGTGTTCCCCCGAGCTCTGCGAATACCGGGTCTCCTTGCTTTGGTCTTGTCATTGTACAGTAGCTCCTCTCTAACCAGTGATAGTGTGTTTTAAATCAATTCAGAATACTGTATTCATCCCCCAGATGGGGGGCAGTTTCAGCAGCAAGCAGGGCAATAAACAACACGATCCAAATAAACATCAGCAAATCAGCAAATGGTCCCTATAATGATTATGAAAGGAACGGAGTACATGTGCGTTGTAAGGACTCTGTGCAGTGCTACAAAATAAAATAATCAGTTCATGAGGTATTAAAGTACAAGCACACTTGCACAGGGGCTCTATCCCGTAGAGATCATAGTGATAAAAGGTTCTTTACACTCATTGCTTATGAGCCTGATGGCCTCTGGAACAAAGCTGAATATTCGGCTGTTTGTGGCATCGAACATGACTCCCTAAGGGCAACAGGTCAAGAGCCTGATGGAGGATATGAGAGGGGTCTTCAGAGAAGGCACAGGCCTTCCTCGGGGTCTGCAGGGCATACAGCTGTGCTGGGGGTCTGGAAGGTCCACCAGTGGTTTCAGAGCTTGAGCGCATGAAGCGTGAGCACTACTGTAGGTGGGTGTCAGCAAGGCGCGGGTTCACCGGGCAGTAGGGGGCGCTCTGCAGTAGGAAGCACGGCGCCGCCGGCGTGTGCGTGCTGAATCTGTGAGAACCCGAAGTGCCGGCGTGCGTTTCCCTCCGTGTGATCGAGGTCCCTTGTTTTTCAGCTATCGTGCAAGGGGACACTCTGGAGGAGATCTACAACCAGGTTAAACAAATCATCGAGGAACAGTCTGGGTCCTTCATCTGGGTACCAGCAAAGGAAAAATTATGAAGAAGCTGATATTTTATCTCCAGTTTTTTCCTTTCGTTTTTTTTTTGTTAACCAACCTGGCCTGCTGCGCTTGACGGCTTCTTTCCTTGTTCTTCGGGAGCCTCCCCCTACCCTCCTGCCCCCCCCCCCAGCCGCACGTGTCATTGGGGTCATGACCCCCCATTGCCTCCTGGTTTCCCCTCGGAGCCTCGTTCTCCCATCGGGACTGTGGAGAGCATCTGGACGGGTCAGCAGCTTGGGGCGGACAAGCCCTCACCAGCTACAAGACAAGGGGGTCTCATGGTACAGTTCCTTAATGTTTAAGGGAGGTGACAGTCTGCAAAATGTTTAGAGATGCATATATATATATAATTATTTTCTTTGTTTTTTTTTCCATTAATAAAAGGAAGGAAATGCAGTCTCATTTATTGGCTCATAAAGAAAAAGCAAGCAATCACTTTGCACGGTATAGCTTTAACAGCATGCTTCTGTTTGTTTTTTTTGTTGTTCATAGTAGATCTTAGTTCCTGTGATCTAATTTCTGCAGGATCATCATTAATCAAAGCTTTTATTTTTTTTCCCATCTGACCTTTATTGTATTTAAATTCATAACCTCTTCGATAGGCCGTGCTCTAGGGGGGCCCTTCGGTTTTTGTCGGTACAACTGCACAAAGAGGAAAAGCTGCGTGTTGGCTCTGTGTGCGAATGTCTGAGTGGGTTCTGCTTACACTTATGGGTGTCTGATCATTTACAAACTCTGCTTTTGTCTCGCTGGTCTTTGATGGTAGTTTAAATCATGTATAGGTGCTCGAGAGAGAGTTCTTAAAGAACAAGGAACAGCTGATTGTAATTGATGTCACACTTTTTTTAAAGGAAGGCACGGTGTCCATAAAATATAGGCTAAATGCCGATGCAAAAAGAATTTATTGTACACTGAGATTTTAACAGATGTTTAACCCTCGGTAAACTGCCTATTTTGTTATAATAAAAGACTTATATTGAACTTTACTTAAACACTATAACTATGGGAATTATTTTCTTTACATTGTTAAACATATATAAATATATATATTTTCCTTTACTTTTACCACCAACTCCTTTGTCGTTTCATTTCCTTTTTATGCCTAAATGTCGAGGAAAAACCATTCTGAGAAATCTGCTGCAGGGGTGTGGTGGTGGGGCAAAACTATTTGGTACAACGCAATCGCGGATTAAAGGAAACCACAGCAGCTCGGTCTCCTCTCTCTCCCCTCCATGTGACTTCTGTGTGAGGTTTTTCATGTGACGTGCATGGTTTTTAAGCAATAGTCTTTATTTAAAAAAATGAAGAAAAACGAGAAAAAAAATATCCAACTTATTTCTGTATGTTTTCACCTGGGATTGCAAATGTCATATCTTCTAATGTAGCTCCGCATCGGGATGTACAGGCTTCTTGTGTGGAAAGATTATATAACTATATTTTAACAAGTCAGAATATGTTGTTCTTTAATATAAAAAGCCTTTAATCCTAACACCATAGGAGCATTGCCTGATTAACCTTTTGCTCATTTTCATGTTCTACGGAGACGATTGTTTTATATAAGACGGCTTATTAACAACTTTCATTACAGCTTTCTAAGTCATTCTGGGACTGGAATATGTAAATAACTGCCAACCTTATTCATTCCATTTGTCAAAAAGAGGAGATCGGCTAATAAACTCTGTCATACAACTTACTCCAGTGTGAATCTTCCTTCAGGGAATTTGGACTGAATTGTCTGGTGGAGGGGTGGACAGGAGTGGGGGGGTTGGTGGAAAACTCAATTCTCCAGTTTGGTTAAGTGATCTGGTGCCGACGACTGTTTGATTCAAAGTCTGATGACGTTTTTATTTTACTGGACCTCAGGCCTGCTGGAAAATCAAGAAACGTATTCTGAATGTCCTGCTCCCAGAGAAGGATCCAAGCGCTGTCATTGCCTGTGTAGCCAGCAGCTCGCTGCAGCTCAGCAGTGGGAGCCTGGCCACTACCTGGATGAGAGACTCCCTGGGAAAGCGAAGGTTGCTACTAGGTGTTAGTGGGACCAATAGGGGGCGCTTACCCTGCAGTCTGTGTGGGTCCTCATGCCCCAGTATAGTGACTAGACTGTAAAAAAAGGCGCCGTCCTTCTGATGAGACATAAAGGTGAGGTCCTGACTCTGTGGTCATTAAATATCCCAGGGTGTTTCTCGAGAAGAGTAGGGGTGTTGGCCCCTGGTGTCCTGGCCAAATTTTCCCCTGGCCTAGTCATGGCCTCCTGATGCTCCCCCTCTCTGAACTGGCTTCATCACTCTGCTCTCCTCCCCACTGAGAGCTGGGGTGTGGGGAGCGGACTAGCTGACGTCGCGTCATCCAGGTACGCATTAACTGTAAAGTACTTTGAGTGTCCAGATAAGAGCTATAGAAGTGTAAGCAAATATTATAATAAGCGGTTTCTCAAAGCCCTAGAGAAGCTAGCTGCTTCGCTCCCTGATGACCTCCCCGACGCCCTCCTGCTCGTACGGTACAGCGTGGCACGCTGTCGGCGATACCCTGTACTCCATCTCGGGAAGTTCACAATTTCGCCTTGAATGCCGTGTAAAAGTTCTCCCTTTTTTTCCCTGCAGTCTTAAAACCACTTGGGTTCAGACAGTTAAGCTGCACACTGTTCCGGCAGAGACGGCCTCGACCACTCTCTGGGAGCAAATCGCCTCGTTTCCTTCTGCTTCTCTTTTTAAACGACTCGGTTTTCGACAAGGGAGAGTTTTGGTTTTCGGTAATGAAGCTTTCGGTTATTATTTCTGGTTTAGGCCAAGTCCAGGATTTTCTGTTCTTAAACCAGCCAAACGCACCGTCGGTCTAAGAGCGAACAGTCCTAACAGGTTTGTTTGAGACTGTACCATGAGCTTCATTCTCCCCGCAGAGCTGTTTCCCCTTCTAACGGGGCCCCTCTTCGATACACACCCAGCACAGCAGCTAATCTAACGATTTCAGCGCTTTGCGAGCCAGGGAGGCGGTTTCCAGGTGACCGCGGACATTACGAGGAACTCTCCTGAGGGACTTTTACAGCAGGGGGCACGTAATTAATCCACTGGATGGCGCATCGCAACACGGGCCACAGAGCCGTCTGAGGGGCTCTCGCCTGCTCAGCTGACGTCCTCTGCCTGCTAAAACATGTTACATGCTTTGCCCGACAAGGGGCGTCCTCCGCGCTTTTCCTTACAACACAACACCGAGTGAGCGCAAGGGGGCATTGCAGAGCCGTGCACGTCATACCACTGCGGTCAGACGCGGTTTAAAGTTTATCAGTGGTCCTGAGGGTTTTTTTTTTGTTCCTTGTCAGGTGTCAAATGGTCTTTGAGAAAACCATCACGAGGTGACCACGTTTCACTCCCCGGCCCTCCTGTCGTACGTGTCATTGATCCTGACTACCCAAGAGCTCCGGGATTCAGGAAAGCGACCACCCGAACCCCCCCCGACTGGAGGATAAACAGAACAAGCACCTGCGCAGGTGTTACAGTGTCACAGGGGGACCAATCGATACCAGAGGTCCGCGCCTTGGGGCACTGTGATGACCTCGAACACTCCAGTTCGGTTAAGTGGCCTGGTGCAGCGCAAACCCATGAGCGCTACTACTGTTTCAGATTATGGTCTGTGTACATCAAAACTTGTTTTTTTTTTTATTTATTTGGTCACTTTGATGCGGCCCCTTCGGAGTTTTCCGACGAGACGACAAATCTCAACGTGCTGCTGCTTTGCAACTGAAAGCGTTTAGAAACCGGAGTGACAAAGATGCACTGGTCGTGTTCGTGCGCGGCGGGATCGAGCCGAGTCCGTTTCAGAACAGCTCACCCGCTCAGATGACGCGCGTTGCCTTAAACCACACTAACGTTTAAGGTCATATCAGCTGTATTTCTATATCTACTTGTCTTATGTCCCAATGCCCCTGTAAAATATGAGCTCCCTCTAGCTCAACACCGAGCAGTTTCCAAAACCTAATTTTACTGGACAGGGTGTGAAGCGAATACGGTAACATATTAACGTGCTCTGTTCGTGTCTTGTGAAAAGACGTCAAATACCCATCCAGATGCCATTTTTAACAGCACGGCTTTTTAGCCTCTGCGCTCTTAATTCGTCTCCATCGTTGCTGAAAATGTCAATGACACGGGCTTATTGGAAATACGTGCAGAGCTACACATGGAGTTTATGTGCTTTGCGAGTTTTTCGACTCTTAAAATGATGGCAAATATATGCAAGGAGTAACTATATATAGATACAGACCATCTATGCAATGGGTCACTTCGAGAATTGCAGAGTTTGTATCTCATGCAACGCTGCTGTATCTCTACGGTACATCAAACGCATCGCATTGAAAGCCCTGTTCCTTCTAATCTGAGGATAGCGTCACGACTCCCCGTTTGCGAGTCTGCTCATCTTCCCGTACGACGACAGAAGAAAGATGAACTACCATCAGTGAAAACTCAGGCCAACCCTAACCTACATAAAGAGCAGTGACGGCTCACCAGAAATGACGGTATGATCTAACCAGGAGGTTGATCCTCTAAAGAAAACGAAGCTTCAGTGAATGAGGAGTTCTCTTGTAATTATATGACCAATAAAACCCTAGAATTTAACTTATGCGATGCAAAAGACTGTCGGCAAGAAATCCCAGACTTACATAGTTTGACACAAAGCAACCAAACCGACCACTTAACTATTTCGACACTTGATCACCGGTTATCCAAACGTGCCCTGTCTAGCATTAGTTAGGGCAGGAAAGTGAACAGAGGATCGACCATCAGATTAAGGATCGACATCAGGTTCCCGAACCCCCAACACCGAACCCCATTACTGATTAACGTCGAGTCTCCGAGTCTCCAAGATCACGGTTAACACTCATCAGAAAACATTTTGTCCAATGAAGACCGAGAACTTCGTCTCGATACTAATTAAAATGTGTTCTTAATACATTGAAACATGTAAAGATAAATCTAAACTTTTATTGTCGCCTCCGGGGATAGACGTGGCCATCTCGATCACTTCTAAAACAATGTGATTCTGGACAGGCGCGTTTCACTGTGATTCTGAGCTAGTTAAGTCAAAAGGTCTCAAACGGTATCACGACTTGTACCAATCAAACGGATACGTGTAATATATAGTAAAAATAAGTGAAACGCGGAGTCAAAAAGGTAACATCACTATTGAAAGCGCCGTGAGGGAGGCGTCGTCATTTATCATTTGCGAGACTATTCAGCTTGTAGCGGGGTCATTTCTGATCGGGTTCCTTATCCGCTCCCCATAAACCAGCACACTTTCTTGTGAGTAGGAAAGACGGGACAGAAATATAGAGTAAACAGGTTTGAGCGGGTCACGCACTTTAACTTTCTAGCCGAGCTTTCACCAGCTGCCCTGGGTCCTGTGTGGGTTTTCCGGGATCAGAGACGGATAGACCCAACCCAACAGAGACAGGCCGGGGGGGATTTTGATGAGACATTTGGCAGCACTATACGCGTTTATTGTGAGCTTGAACTTATAATTATAATCGCTAAAACAGACGAGATACACAGGGCCTTATTAAGTAATTGTTTTCACGTCGTCTCATGCGTGGCAGTTTCTAAAAACAGTATTTTACATCGTTCAATAGTGTCGTATGTGATACATGCAGCAAAAATGTACTGAAAGGTTAGATTTCGTGAAATAACGGGAATGTTTGCAGAGAATTATTAGATTTTCAAAAGATGGTACCATAAGCTGATTTTGAACTGCAATCGTTATTAGTCTTATTTCAGAAGTAGTTACAGGCTGACAGGTTGGTGTGTATTGTAGGTTACAGCACAGACACAGAGGGAGATGAGAGTTTGGTAGGAATAGCTACTACAGTAGGTAATTGTTGCATTGCTGTCTTCTGTTAAGCAGGTGATTAAATGTTCCATGAAATAATTTGAGTGTGTTGTTAATTAAAAACCAGACACACAAATACAAGCCCTGCTTTCTCCTGGTCATGAAGACCATATCATGTATTTTTCCCAAAAGAACATGGTTCTCTAAGTGTCCGTCTCTGGAAGAGTCGTTCTCCATCATAAACCACAGAGCAGGGATCGTAAACACTCTGGGGTTTTTCATTTTGAGTCTCCATGAACTGAAGATCTGTAGGTATTTTAGGCATTAACCGAGTGAAGATTCAAAGTGTCACGGATGAAGAAAAACCTAGCGAACTACCTCAGAATTGGTGGGTGGAAACACACCGAGAATGTGGGGCTATGACTGCAAGTACTTCAAGTACTTTCTGTTGCTTGACTGTTGCCGTTTCCTTCATGCCTCGGCAATTATTTTAATCTTCCCTTTTGGTCTTTCTGTTTGGCTGCCCTGTTCCACTGTGCAGCCGGCACACCTGGATGTCTCGTTGGGCCGACAGCCACATAAAGCCTTCTGTGTTGGGGTTTCTGGACAGACTCCAACTCTTCAGACTTGCGGTTTTACGGTGGGGGTGTGTCCGGACTTACTGACTTCGTGCAGAATTCAGCATGAGCGGGCAGTTGCGCAGGAGGAAAACCGTGGCAGGACCATCATAAAACTTTATGATTATTGTGCTGAAAATGCGGATTCGCTCTTTGCGGACTAGTGGAGTTTGCACTTTTGAACCCGGGAGGCTCTGGGCGCAGTAAGACGGTGTAACTCGAGAGGATAAAAGCCAGTGCCAGCTCTGCGCTCGTCCATCACCATGATCGCTTGGACGACGATTTGCTGGGGTCTCATCACCCTCCAGGCCGGTGAGATTTCGCGGCAGTTCTCTGTTGGCCGAGCAACAGACAAGAACCTAGGCGTTCAGGAGGATAAATTGCAAAATGAGTCTTTTACGGAGTTTTAGAATATCCTGTTGGCGGGGATCGGGGGGTGTAGTGGTGTCTGTTTAAACACCGTTGGCAAATAAATGCTGGATGTAAATTCGTCGCATTAGACTGCCGTGGTCTGTGAAGATCAGTGCTTTATTTCTGGGGGATCTGAAAGTCGGTGTCTCACGGCGGGTACAGGCGCACATTGGAGAGATGTGTCGTTGTTTGTTGTCAGCGCCCAACGGCTGATTTCAAAGTAAAATAACATAATTTACACAAAACAAACACCAATTCTTGTTTTTAGGCTAGGTTTGAAAAATATTTTTTGCCGGTTGACCTTGTTCCATGACCCTGTATTTACACACGTGGGCGGTGTAAAAACACATCTGCTGTTCAGAATGAAAACCCTTTTCTATGGAATCATTTCTAATGTGAATAGAAAAGTGCAAAGAATGTTGTTGTTCCCCCCCCCCCCGTGCTCAGTTGTAGGCCTGAGTACCGTGCGGTGGTGCACAGTGTCGGACCCGGAGCGCAAGAAGTGCGAGGACCTGTCCAAGGCCTTCAGGGAAGGCGGAGTCCGCCCGGAGTTGCGATGCGTTACCGGCGCCTCGGCTCTCGACTGCGCCGCCAAAGTGTCGGTACGTGGAGCCGGACCCCCCGTTTGCGTTTACTGCTTCCATCGCACGGGTCCCGAAACACCTGGTATCCTGAATCCGGATACGCTCTTTTGGTTTTGTTTTTAAAAAATGAAATTAGGAGTGTAAAGGTACTTTGAGAAGCTACCGAACCCGGAACTCGCACAGGACTGTGTGCAAAGACCGGTGCGATTCCGTCTTTGCCTTCTGTCAGAAGGTTCTGATTCAGAATGTTTATATTTAACTTCCTATTAACTGTCTTTCCTCCATAGCAGTTTAAATTAGTGACGATTAACTTAGATATATATAGATATGCATAGTCCCTGAGTGTGCTGTATGTGTGGCCAGGGAACTCATGCATCTATAATGCAGAATATAAAAACACCCAATAAAACCTGTTCTTTTATTAAGAGTTTTCCGAAACTGGACATGATGAAGGGTGTCTTCAATGAGAGTAAGGGTGGTGTTATCCCATGTGTCCAAATACAGTCTGGCCTCCATATGGTTCACCCCTGTCTGTTCGGCACAGTGAGTTCTCCCATCTCCCGGCAGCCCTGTGCCTCTCTGCTGGGCGGGTGAAGTGGGTCCAGTCCTGAACAGCACGTGACGTGTTTCAGGATCCTTTAGGATAAAAACGCTACATGGATGAGAATATAGATGAGGAGGAGGATTATTGTTGTTGTTGTTGTTGTTGTTACTCAGTGGGTAGTACTGTACACTGTGGCCTTCCTTTCCTCAGGGCAATCAAGCGGATGCCGTGACCCTGAGTGGCAAAGATATCTATGAAGCCGGGAAGCAGTACAAGTTCAAAACCGCCGTGGCAGAGACATACGGAGAAGGTAACTTGTGAAGCGTTCCGACGTGGCGTCGGCTCGCCCCGTTCGCCGCCAGCCCCCCCCTCCCCCCCGGCAAACTGCACGCGCATGGGTGCAAGGCAGGAACCTGTTCTGTACCCCCGGTTCTGTCCCAGCGTGTCGCGGGGCGGGGGTCTGGAGGGGCTGAGTAACGACCTGTGCTCTCCTGCAGAGGTGGGGACCACCTACTACGCCGTGGCAGTGGTGTGGCGGAACAGCACCGGCATCAACATCAACAGCCTGGCGGGGAGGAGGTCCTGCCACACGGGCCTGGGCCGCACGGCGGGCTGGAACATGCCCCTGGGCCTGCTGATCGACAGCGGCCGCATGTCCGTCATGGGCTGCGACATCAAGAGAGGTAGAGCAGGTGTTTCGTTGCCTAGTCCTGGACCCGGTGCAGCAGGCCCGGTCCTCCTCTGTCAGCGCACAGGTGTAACGAGAGCCGCTCCGGGCTCCCTTGAGGCGTAGTTCAGGACCCTGTGCAGACGGTATGATCCGGGAGTGAGTGGAAAAGGAGGACAGGGAGGAGACGACGAGGGTCAGGAGGGGGTGACAGACAGGGGGGGTGGCCAGGGCGAACAAGTCCAAGGAGTCCAAGGGGGAAATCTGGGGCGAAGTCCAAAAGTCCAAAGCCGGGTGATCCAACCGAGACGGGACAAAACAGAGCTGAAAACCGGAACGGGACCCGGTACAGGGACAGGGGAATAAAAACAGGATGACGAGGCCAGGCGCTCCGAGCCCCGGACGCAGCTGGTCAGGACACTGATAGGAGGCCTGTGCCCTCAAGCCGCGGGCGTAGGGCGACTTGGTGGTAGGCGGGCCTCCGAGTGTCAGCCTTCCAATACAGAGTCGGGGATAGCGCCAGGACTAAACTGGGGGAGGGATGGGGGGAGGGGTGGGGAATAAGACAGAATGTGAAAAGAGCCGGAGCGCCCTTAAGAGGAGGGATTAAGATCGTGATGCAGACCCCCTGTTCTTCAGGGGAGCCCCACCTGCCTTCGGTCCCCCTGCATGTGTGATAGCGAGCCCATGAGCACTGATCTGGGGTCTGGGGTATAACTAGCTTCAGGCAAACTCTGCAGAATGTTATTATTGCAATTGAGCATTGACAGAAAGGGGTTTCAGTACGTGCCAGTGCACAAGGTCTTTGTTCTGCCTAGCAGTACACTACGCTGCCTGGCTCAGTGCAAGAGTGGGTCGGCGGTACTGGAGGTCTGTTCGTTGTCCAGTGTGTCAGCAAACCACCGCCTCTGATCTCAGAGCAGTCTTACCCTTCTCGAGGTGATACTCCTCACTTTATACTTCGCCCCCCAAACCACACTGTGGCAGAAATATCAGTTTGAAGGGGAAAGCAGAAGCAGGGGTTTGTCTGCTGTATCACTTGTACTCATTCCTACTGTGACCCTCTTCAGGAGTCAGCGAGTTCTTCTCAGCTAGCTGCGTCCCTGGTGCCAACGGCTACGGAGACCCTCCAGGACTGTGCCAGCTGTGCGTTGGAGACGTCTCTGGCAATTTCAAATGTGAGAGTAATGAAAAAGAGAGATACTACAGTTACGCTGGCGCGTTCAGGTGAGGAGACCCAGATGTGCCTTCTCTTTGAAAGTTGTTTTTGCTTTGCGATTGAAAGTCGCCTGCAGTAGCCGTTAAGCCCACGACGGTACGCGCCGAGACTGTTGAAAACCGAAACGCTGACTCCTCCCGGGAGTGTCCTGCAGTAATCGGAAGCAGAGCGAGCTTGCTCTTCGGTCTGTCTCGTGCTCTCTCACCCGGGTCTGTCCTCCTCTGTGAGCGCAGGTGTCTGGCAGAGGGTACTGGGGAGGTTGCCTTTGTGAAGCACAGCACGGTCCGGGAGAACACAGACGGTAAGCCTGCTGCCGCTCCCTGCTTCGGTCTGTCCTCACCTCCCCAGCCAGGGGGCTGACGAGCGGCGTCTCTCACCGGCTCTGTTCCAGGCAGGAATCCCGATCCCTGGGCTCAGGCCCTGAAGTCAGCCAGCTTCCAGCTTCTGTGCCGTGACGGGTCGCTGGCAGAGGTCAGGGACTACCGGCGGTGCCACCTGGTCAGAGTCCCGGCCAAGGCCGTCATCACCCGGGCAGACACGAGCAGCGCCGAGCTGCACCGCATGCTGGAGGAGGGGCGGGTGAGTCAGGGCTGGCTAACTCACGAGAGTGGTCATTGGTCAGTGGTCAGCTGTGGCGGACAGGGAGGAAAAGGCGAGGTACATCGTTGGCACAGGTGCACATGCTCCATGTTTTTGAGGTACCTGCTGCCGATGTTTTGCAGAAGTGATGGATGAAACTAATTTCTTGCAGAAGCGCTGACAAGGAAGATGGAATCTCCTAGGTGGTTTAAAAAACGAGACAAAAGAACGATGGGAATTAAAAAATGAAATGGATGTTATATTCACGCTTGTGTGTAAATCCAAATCAGAGTGCAGAGCTTATGCAAACGTGAGTCTTGTGAGGAGAGGATAACAATTCTCACGTGACCTTTTGAGGCGAGAAAAAGCTGGCTGTTTCTGAATGAACATTTCCAGATTTCATGAAAACATTCCAGCCAATATAAAATGAAATGATTGAAACTGACTCTCCTCTTGTTTCCACAGAACAAATTCCAGATGTTTCAGTCAAGCTCCTATGGAGGCACAAATCTAATGTTTAGTGACGCCACGAAGCAGTTCCTACTGGCGGAGAGTGAAAACTACCAAGACTGGCTGGGACAGGGGTACATTAATGCTCTGAAGGGGATGGACTGCACAAAGGACAGTAAGGAACTACTGCATACACTGTAGCCCAAGAGACTTGGATCTCCATTTATTCTAAATTCCATCCTCTTAAACTTAATTATAGAAACTGGCCAGAGTTAAGCTGTTTGTGCACAGTCGTGTGCAGATAGTGAAAATGGTTTGAGGAGCATCTTCTCTTCTTGAGGGTAGAACACTTTGAGCTAAATAAAAGGGTAGAATTCAAGTTGCAAACAGATTGTAACAGAGAGACAATATTACTCCTGCCAGCCTTGAAAGATCATTAGCAGGATCTGCAGGTGCACTGCAATCTTCTTGAACTCCATATCTACCTGCGCCTCAGTGCCAGAGTGAGCAGCACGTGAAATGCATGGTCCACGTCTTTGGTGAAGGCTCAGACTGAGACTCTTTTGTCCTCAGGTGTCCCCAAGAACCTGCGCTGGTGTGTCCTGTCTCATCCAGAGATGACTAAATGTGCACAAATGGCTGTCAGCTTTCAGAAAAGAGGCCTGACACCTACGATACAGTGCGTCTCTGGGGACTCTTATGAAGACTGCATTGTGAAGATTAAAGTAAGGACAGGCGCTGCATAGTTCACTCTCACAGTTTCGTACATACAGACGCCCCAGAGCCTTCTGCTGGGTGGCTGGTATGGCTTGGTTTGGTGGTCTGCGAGAGGAAAGCGTGCTGGTTGTTGTTTGGTAGTGGAGAGAAGAATGGTACCGTTTTCCACGTCAGGTGCTGACCCCCTCAGCGCTGGACCCTGGGAATCTTGCATGCTGACACGCTGATCTTCTCTTACAGAACAATGATGCTGACGCAATCACCCTGGACGGCGGCTTTATTTACAAAGCCGGCAAAGACCATGGGCTGGTACCGGCTGTGGGAGAGAGCTACACCGGTGAGACCTGTGTGGAGACCCCGCTGTCCTCAGAGAACCTTCACTGCAGCACCAGCCTTCTGTCTCTCAGTGGCTGAACAGGCCCTTGCAGCTCTAGTTGAAAAGCCCTGCTTAAGTTAAACTGATTTTTTATTCCATATTTTCTGTAAAAAAAAAAATATTTTGGGGATGCACTTTGTCATGGAGGCGTAGGGTAGGATGGGCAGGCTGTTTGTTAGACTTCAGATTTCTAATTTGATCGTGCTTGTTCATGGCTGCAGACCCCCGTCCCTCCCTCTTCTCCTGAGTGCACAGGAATTTTCCAGTATTGCAGTATGAGTGAAGATCCAAACAAGCTAAAGTTAGATCCTGACTCACGCTGGCCACATGCCCTCAGGTCAGGTTAATTTGGTTTCAAAAATAAAAGTCGTTATGGGGACGGAAATTCGTGCTTCTCCATTCAAGTTCACTTCAACAGGTCGCCCACGGCCGCCATTAACTGTACAGTCAACCAGCCCTTTGCTCCTGAGATCATTTGTTTTGGATGATCAAAAAAGAAATAATTATCAGCATCAGTACCTCTTTTTAGTTTGTTTTTTTAATGTTTAAGAATATTGTGGAAACCATGTCATGAGAAAATAATCAGTGGCTCATCCAGATTACAATGCTCCTGGAGCAGCAGAAATGCTTTTGAGTCATCATTTTTTCTGCTTCAAAATGCCTCTTCTGCTAATCACACAGCCACTGTGTTTGTGTCTTTAAAGCTTTATTTCCCTTGTACCTGTTATACCATATGAATGAAGAAACACTAAGATGAGTCAAAATTAAATGGAACAATTATTTCAACACAAAAAGAAAGGAAACTGGAATTAAGTATTCCTTTATTTGGGAAAAGTGGGATCAGAAACACCACTCCAAGACAAGAGCCAGAAAGTTCCATTATTCTGTAATTGCTTTTTCGCTTCACGTCTCGGGTTCAAGCCTAAAGGCCTGTCAGGCTGGGATAACGTAGTTTTCCCTGCTCGAGGCTGAGAAGAGTCAGCTCTTGTAGCCTGTCAGTGTAAACTGAATTCTGCATCAAGTCTGGGCTGCATGGTCTGTCCACTTCGCTCTTTCCCCCAGACGAAGAGCAGTCGAGCTGCCTGCAGGCCCCAGTGCACAGGCAGGAGTGAAGCACAGACCACTAGACTTCAGAACACCTTCTGCCCTCGGACAGAGTGCATCATTACCGTTTAAGTGCACGATGCCTCAGACTCACCACAGCTCTGGGCTCTGCAGGGGTTGGTTGGGCCCTTGTTCTGTTCTGCCCCTTGCATGACGTCGGCTGTGACTGTCATTATTTACTACTGGCTGTTTTGTAAAGTACTGCGCACGTTGTGTGGTGTTGTCTGTCGCACAGTGCTGTGCACATCCCGAGAGAACAGCGCGAGTCAGTGTCCCAGTGAAATCGCACGGATGGCCGGTACACTCCTCTCTCTCTCTCTCTCTCTCTCTCCGCCGTGTGGTTGCAGACGACACCCAGGGCAGCTCCTACTACGCAGTGGCAGTGGTCAAGAAGTCCAGCCTGGACGCCTTCAACTTCAACGAGCTGAAGGGCAGGAGGAGCTGCCACACGGGCTACGGGAGGACGGCGGGCTGGAACGTCCCAGTCGGAGTCCTCATGGAGAAAGGGATGATCCGGCCGCGGGGCTGCCAGTTCGCCCAAGGTAACGGGCCTGTCCCGTCACGGCGAGGGCAGGGAGGGGGCAGGGAGCTGACCGATGGGAAGTGGGATTTATAGGCCTGAGGCAGGAAACCCCCTGACTGTAGAGCATGAACACAGCAGGCCCCCCCGGGGCCACAGGCTTTGAGTCTGTTCTGGAAACCCACAGACAGTAATCCACGCGCGTGCCCTCTCCCTCTCAGCTGCGGGGGAGTTCTTCCGTTCCAGCTGTGTTCCCGGAGCCAATCAGCCCGGCTACCCTCCCAGCCTGTGCCAGCTGTGCGTCGGGGACGTCTCCGGGCAACACAAATGTGATCGCAGCGACCTGGAGCGTTACTATGGATACAGCGGCGCCTTCAGGTAGGCACCGAATGCATCCGTTGAAGTGAGTGAATGAATTCACCTTTATTGCCCCTAGGGGAATTTGTCTTTCCCCATCAAGAGCTCATAAGCATATAACATACATGACAATAATACAGTATAACAACAATGAAACACCATAGTACAATTAAACACTCAGCAAGAAAGAAGAGCCAGCACAGTCCTGGGATGAACACTCTGATTCACGTGTACTTTGTGTTCATTTTCATGAATTAAATAAGATCAACACCTTTTGATCACCACTGGAAACACCAGTGCCAATAATTGACAATTATTACTCAGCACGTACCAGAAGTCTGGACCCATGGGGAAAATTAATGTACTCTTCATTAATTTATTGTGTAATTGATTGCTGTTAACACATACATATTAATTCCTATACAAATGTTTTTCTTGAACTTTTTTTAAGATGGAAACTCTTTCCCAATGATCTCTTTCTCTGCTGCAGTGCTGTTTGATTTTGGGCTGTTGACCACTCATCTCAGGTGTCTCACAGGGAGATGTTCAGTGGGGCTAGGTCCTCTGGATTGAGACTTCTGATTCAGCCTCTGTATTGGTCATTTGAGGAATGAACTGTCGTGGTGCAAGGTCTCATCCTGTCTTGCAAGGAAGGATGAGTTTTAAATACGTCACAGGAAACCTAAAATGGGTCAGGAGGGTGTGGAAGCGTCTGTGCTGAACCCGAGCGTGGGATTGTTCTGGGACAAGCGTGAGATCGGTGGTGCGCTCTGCTGCTGCCGATGCCGTCTTCGTGCCAGCGAGTGTGAGAGTTCATTCTCACCAGACAGGTTTCATGAAGGCTTTGCCCTCACCAGGGCCCCTGCAGTCATGCTGCCGCCATTATAGACGTCCCAAAGTGCCTCCTTGGTTCTGTTGCAGGTGTTTATCAGAAAGCGCTGGAGAGGTGGCCTTCGTGAAGCACACCACGGTCTTCGACAACACTGACGGTATGTCCCGGAGAATCAGACCACGCATGGACGTGCCTCAAACAAAGCCATCAGTCGTTAGGAATGCCTAAATAATCCTTTCCCAGCATTCCCGTGGGGCCCTGCGTGTCCCAGCCCAAACCATGAGCGCTGACACGTGCCCACGGTTCGCAGCTGCTTCTAGAAAGACACCTGCGTGCAACACTGCTGCACATTGGTACCACAGTGCACAGCGGTCCAGGCAGAGCAGCTCTGTGAAAGTAGGACAACTAGTGAAGTAAATGAAACACAGGCTCTCCAGATCGAGTGCCGTCCACCAGAGTCCCTGGTCTCCATCAAGTCGGCGTGTGGCTCACGGCAAACGAGCCTCCTGTGCCCCTCCTGTCCGGCAGGTCACAACACTGATCTCTGGGCCGTCAACCTGCAGTCGAGGGACTTCCAGCTGCTGTGTCCCAATGGGGCTCGCGCGGAGGTCTCGCAGTACGCGCGCTGTAACCTGGCTCGCGTGCCTGCCCACGCCGTCATGGTGCGCCCCGACACGGACGCCAACGCGGTGTACGGACTCCTCGACAGAGCCCAGGTGAGACATGGCTGCCCGGAGCCCCCCTCCCTCCCGGCCTCGTGAACCAGCTGAGCTTCGTGGCGCCCAGGGCTGGGCGAGCCGCGGTTTTAGTCATCGTGCAGGAAAGGCCCCGTCTCCAGTTCTGCACGCCTGAGTCTGTCCGGAGTGAATCCGCCTCCTGCTGACGGGACTGACCGGCAAGGCTCTGTGCGGATCGTGTTCCGTTAACGATCAGCCTTTCACTTGCAGGCCATCTTTGGGGATGACAACAATCCGAACGGATTCAAGATGTTCGATTCCTCTGCCTTTGGAGGTACGGATCTGATTTTCAAGGATTCCACAGTCCGCCTGATAGGAGTCGGAGAGAAAAGGACCTACACGGACTGGCTGGGCCAGAGCTACATGGACGCCATGAATGTGATGGAATGCAACTCTGCAGGTATGAACGATCCGATGCCCTATTGTGTTGCTGTGCTGCCAGTGCTTGCCTTGGCCTGCATCTGTACGAAGGCCAAAGTTCTTTCATGAGCTCGATTGATTGAGCAAGAACAGGAGAGGATGATGAGTTGCGTGGTTTCCAGTTGCCCTGTAATTTTTATGTCTTAGCCAGGAATATAATTTCCTTTTTTTAATGCATGAAATTAGAATCATTTTTACAACCGTGATCAAAGCTCTGCAGTTGATGAGAGAGAAGCTTTACTGGAAGGGTAGTAAATTGAGGCTTTTCTCTGGCCGAAGCCCGGCAAATGACCAGGTTGGAAGATGGAGCTGTTCATGTGCTCTAACCCCTCTCTGTTTGTTTGCCAGGAGCGGTCTCCTCAGTGTCCACGGTGCTTGTAGTGGGACTCGGCTTCCTCTTGATCATCTTCAACATATAAACCTACTTTCCTGGGAAGACAGTGACAAAGAAACACCACGTCTCACTGATTCTTGGACAATTTTTAAGAATCGTTATTCAGTGATTCAGATAGCAAATTTGCAGGGATTTTAGGGTCCTATTTTTCAATGTGCCAAATGTTTTTTTTTCTCTCAATTTGTAGCTGGGCTGGACACTCCACCCCCAGTCCAAATCGTCTCGAATGTTTAAATCCAGGGATTCTCGTGCCTCAGGTGTGTTGATCACCCTGAGGGAAGGAGGTGGCAGGTTTTGGGAAAGAGGGTCTGTCCACAATCATTAATCCCCCTCCTACCTCTCCAGTCCTTCCACAGTGCCACAGGAAGCTCCAGGCAGGCAGGTCCCATGCTGGTGCATGTTGCCTGGCTGTGATCCTTAGCATCTGAAGGCAGTTGCCATATCAGTGCATATGCTTTGCCTGTTACATCTGGAGCCTCTTTGTCAAGCTCCTGCAGACTTATATCATATCCTACAGATGTGTAGTCATATTTAAAAACTTTGTCCTTTGTTGTCTAAAGGCAGTTGCCATATCAGTGCATATGCATTGCCTGTTACATAATCTTATCTTCTTGGGGTGCTCTCTGTGTCTTGGAATGTGCTGGGACCTGCACTTTTCTGTCTCGCCTTGATAAACTAACGCCAAGCCAGCAACGAAGCAGCAACGAAGTAACAGGGCCGTGCTGCTTAAATTCACACTTGTTTCTTTCTGCAGACACAGGCAGGAGGGCGACAGCCTGTGCTGTTTTCTGCATGTACCTGCCGTGTCAGTGTGTTCCCCCCAAACCTCAGAAAGAACGCTGTTAAACACACGCTTAATGGCAACAGTGATTTGCTCAGTGCAGAACTAAGATTAAACTAATTTAGACCTGGGTGTCTGGAATGTGGAGTGTAAATTCCTATGAGCAGAGCAGCTGAGGAAGACTTTGCTTATTGTTTTGGGAGGTCACAGACGTGAGGCAGAAAATGTCTCTCTTAGCTTAATCTAAGGTTTATGGAAAAATATATCAAATGTGATTTACTTAGTTGCCTATTTCTACAAAGCAGAATCACAGCTTCCCAGTGAACTAATACCTGAAGGTCAGATTGATAGGAATTCTGTCTCTCTACCTTCACAGCTATGAGAGCATGACACAGCATCCATTACTCCATACCTACTGCTTGATTGAGACCGCTGGTAACTTTGGGAAGATCATGCCAGTTTAAAAAGTAGTACTTTGCATGTTTCTCTGTCAGGAAATCACTTCAGCTGGCATCACCGTAAAACCCATGTGTTTTAATTTCTGGAATGATCAAAGACATGGAAAGTCCGAGTTCTCTGCTGCACAATGCCTTCATAATAATTCTGAGCTTTTACTGACCAAGTCTGTACTATAATCAGGTGTAGTATTCCCTCTAGGCTGCATTATTGTCCTTTCAGTATGGCATTTCTTTCCAAAATGTTTTCTGCAGAGTTTCTTTGTGTATTATTGAACAAAGATTTATTTTTATAAGGTGCTCAGATACCATATCAGTGTATATGTACTGACTCCCTGTTCTTTGAATATTATTGCTTGCTTCAAAGGTCATATTGATTTCTTCAATGAAATATTGTATTGTAACTAATATTTAGTTGCCAGGCCAGTGCGTCTGCTTAAGTATAGGTACATAAAGCTTTGATTAAAAACCACACTATGATTCATAAATAAACTGAGACCTCATTCACCCGAGTGCAGTCGTGAAATCTTTTCCAGGCGGATGTAACTTTGAACCTAATAACGTGAAAGCTTACCTCAGATAAAACAGAACAGATAAGATAAAACAGGATACAAAGGTGTTTGCACTTCCTAGACAATAATAATGTGCACCAATGTAGCCTTAGAAGCCTGAAGATCACTAAATGATGTTTAGGTGAAATTTAACAATATACTGCAGTCACGAGTGTACAGGAGCTGACAGTGCTTTTCCCTCCTGTTATCAAGGGTTGTGACGGCAAAAACAAATAGAAGCTGCACCAGAAAAATATAATAAGTGATGAAGCCAGCAGAGATTAAGCACAGAGGTTCTACACATTAATAAAGCCAACATTTCTATGAGATGTGTTATAAAGAATAGAGAAGAGTATACATGCATTTACTATAGTAAAAGCTTTGGTTAGGACTGAAGCAACTTATCTACGGAAAGTAATAGTAATACACTTTATTTTATATAGCACCTTCTCAAAGCGCTTTACAGAACTTCGGTTCTGTTTCGGCCTCGGTATTGCCTGTCTGTCTAGGGAGAAGTGGCAGTCTTCCAGCAAACACTACGGTGTCGGGGTCCGAAAACAGGACTCCGGTAGTTTTTTTCCAGACTCCCGGCCATCTTGTGGCGAAGTAGGAGAACTACAATGGGTTTGGATAAAACGGAGCAAGAAAAGTTAGGAACACCGCATTATTTATTCCCCTTTTCAAGTCCCAGACACTGAGTTTGGTGGGCTCTGTGGGTATATATTTAATTTTTAAAAAAATGAAGGTGGTTTATGTACTTTGGCTCGACAAATAACCAACCCCCTTAAAAAAAAAAAAACATATGTCGGATGGAAACTTGTACACTTTCCTCTGCCGACAGTAGCGACCAGTCCATAAAAGTCGTACACAGTTGACTGACAAGAGCTGCAGTCCATAAAAACAAGGCAAATACTTCATGAAAACACTCTTTTCAATTTAATCTTCTCATCTACATTACACACCAAACCCGATACAGTGTTTATCAATGAAAGTTAAAATGAACAATATGCATATCTTACATAACGGGATTGCTTCTTTCGACGTTCTGTGGCATTGTGTTTACAGTTTACGACAAGGTGCGGGTTATTTATTTTTTTCAATTGCGTTGATTTGTAACGTTCACAGACTCGCAAAAATACGTCTCGGATATTTTTCATCCTAGCCGTCAAAACGGGAGTTTGGACCCGTGAGCTGAACAGAAAGTCGTCGTCTTCATTACTTTCCCCGCAGTGTCGCCTCCATAATTCAAATACCGCTTAATTACAGTGTGGAAAACGACACATCTCCCGGTGGTAAAACGACATGGATTTCAGCAGCTACTGAGATAATTACAGGTCAATTCAGAAGTCCACGGTTCCGCAAGCCCTCACTGTTTGTCCTTGTTTTTGAGCTGTCGGGAGGCGTCCCTCACGCCTTCCTTGACCTCTCTAACGAACATCTGCCCCAGTCTCCCGACTCTCCTTCCCAGTTCGCCCACGTCCCTCGGCATCCTCCCGGCCGTCTCCTCTCGCACCTGGCGGACGGTGTCCGACTTGAGCAGCCTGGACGCCGCGTCCCTGCCGCTGATCTGCGCCTTGGTGATGGCGTAGGCCGTGATCTGCGCCGCCCGGCGGATAGGGCGAGACTCGGAGAGCTTCTCGATCACTTGCGCGTTGTTCAACAGGGTGAACAGCAGGCGCCTCAAAACCATCTTCAAGCCAGGGATCCGGGGACCTGCAGACGACGAGAGCCAACGGAAAAGACGGTTAATAAATTTGTTGCGCGGCGTTATACTCACAAATAAATTGAAAGCAGTTTCAATGTTCCTACCAGAAAGATCTGCCGGCTGAAAAGCTCTGATTTCCGGTCTTGCACCGCAACCGTCCCCCTGTTGAAGCTGCTAATAAGGTATCGGATTCTACTGAGTAATGCTTTATGTGATTAACGAAAACAACTGAAAATGAAATAAACTTGAAGAAGGGACGTCCTTTATTATTATTCAATGATTGCATTTATTAGTGCGATCGAAATCTAAACACTTAAAAGCAGCATTTAAATAGCTGCTGGTAACCCTCGTGAAAGCCTACAGTAACTCTGTGTTCTCACAATCGTACATTTTGTCTTCTCTCTTATTGTGGTTATATTAATATAAAAACAAATAAACAGTAAAACAATATAAGAAAATTGAGAGCTGTATGGTCACCGATACGGGCCGCCCTTGTTTCCGCACGGTCGCCCTTACTGTACGGACCGGAAGCTTTATTTGATTGGCTCTCCCGCACCGGAAGGTGGCGTTCTGGGAGTCTTGCTGTTTGTGTGGGTACCCTGTTGGTTTGTTTCTGTGTGGATTTTGTTACAGTTCTTTTACGATGTCTATTCAATTAAACGCACTCCTCAGCGACTCTTACGTCGATATAAGCCAGTACAGAGACCAACATTTCAAGGTAAGGTGAAAAAACTTTAGTATTACTCTTAACGTTGTGCGTTTTTGTTAGGAAAACAGGATTTAACACGCCGAAGCAGGAACGCAGATGCAAGGCGTAAACAGGTTCTGGTAATTAGGTGTATTAAAAGTTAGTTTGATTTGCACCTCAGTCGTGTTCAGAGTTGTGTTTCGGACGCTACCCGGCCGTGGTATCGAGCAGAGATGAAAGTACCGTTCGTTAGGTAAGTTTAAGAAAGGTTGCGGTAGCGAGATGGAGGGAACGACAAACAGTGTGAAGTGGAACTTTGTCTCCAGGGTAATCGCCACGAACAGGAACGGCTCCTGCGGGCGAGCAACACCCTCTACGTGGGAAACCTGTCCTTTTACACGACGGAGGAGCAGGTGTATGAGCTGTTCTCGAAGAGCGGCGACGTGAAGAGAATCATCATGGGTCTGGACAAGGTGAAGAAGACCGCTTGTGGCTTCTGCTTCGTCGAGTATCCTTTTGCACAGAACAGTCGCGATTGCTGACCTGTCTTTCGGCTTTTTGGATATTGGTAATTCTGGAGTTGTAACTCCTTTTTAATGCAGCTATCCGGTGCATGTATATTTATTGTACAGAATTGATATACTAGATGGAATATTTATTTAAATGTTCTGACTGTATATTTATAGAGTAGTGACGCGTCTTAAACGTTTTACATTTTTAATGTTTTATACAATCTGACGTGCAACACAGAGACGTCTTACTTGAGAGCAATATCCCAGGAGTTAAATGGCACGGTGGAGTCTTCTGTAGTGTTACTGTTATCTGCACCCTTTGCGCCTTCACGGCATGCTGTTGTAATTCACTGTGGGTAAAGGCGTCTGCCAGGCGAAGAAATGTAATGTAATGTTTTCAGTGTCACGGAGAAGGGAGGATCGAGAGGGGGGTGCAGGAGGTTCACCTCGCTGTGCCTGGGCCGCCATAGCAAGGAAATCCAAGGCCTGTCTCCCTCCCTCTTCCCGAGATAGGCAATTTGTCACATTTTGTACGTTTTCGTTTGCTGCAACGCCTTGACCCCCCCAATGCAAGGTACTACACCCGTGGGGACGCGGAGAACGCCATGCGGTACATCAACGGCACCAGGCTGGACGACCGGATCATCAGAACGGACTGGGACGCGGGCTTTAAAGAAGGCAGGCAGTATGGCCGTGGGAAGTCAGGTGGTCAGGTGCGCTTGCTTGCTTGCCCAACGTTGTATTTGTCATTAGAAACAGCAACGACAACAAAAACCATTAGAAAAGTTAGAAATGAGCAAATCTGTTATTCTGTGTTTCTTAAAGTTTTTACAGTGTTTTTTTATGTTAATGCACGTTCAAGCTGTTTGGCTTCAAGTCTGTTCAGTGCGTTGCAACTGCTGGATCTCAGCCACGGCTCGGTTCACCAGGGGCTCGCGCAGTGTGATGGGAGGCCAGTGCTGTCTGTGAAGAAGCACATTTCTTTTCTCCGACGGAGATAAATACAGACAGGGTTATGATCCAGCCGGGGGTGGGCTATGGAAAAGCAGTTAAAAAATTGTAATAAGGTATTTTTTTCTTTTTCTTTCAGGTCAGAGATGAATACAGGCAAGATTATGACCCTGCTCGAGGTGGATATGGAAAATTGGCTCAGCTCCAAAGAACACCAGACGCCCCGCACAAATTCTAGTTTTCTGTAGAGAATTTACAATTGGGTGGTATTTGAGTACATTTAGGTAATGAAAGATAAAGTTGATCTTTTATCACCTTTTTATTAAATGTTTTACCAAATTAAGATAACTTGACTGAAGTACATCATGCTTTTCGTACATTTTGAAAATCACAAATAAGCAGGAGAAGCTGGTTAAGGCATCTGCCATTTTGGCCAGTTTTGCCTTAAGGCTTATTTTTCCAATCCAGTTTCATTTGTAACTATGAGCGTTTCTGTTGGATCTGTATACTATGTATAACATTTATGGAAACATTAAATATTTTCAATTTTGTGTTTAAAATCTTTTTTTAACATTGGTATTGGTATTCAGTAACAATGTGTGCACCATTTGCTCTACTGTTTAAAATGAAATGCAAAAATTAGATGAAAGGAGCATGTTTAGAAGTATTTTATATTTGCACCACCTGAAGCAGATGGCGCATGTAAAAAATACTTGCTTTCCCTTGGTGTAAAAAAGGCATCACACATTTCTTGGAAAGGAAAACTTTGTTAATGGAAAATTTTGGAATTAATGATATTAGTTCATTCAGATTCTAATTTTACCCTACACACATTCCTTGACCGCTAAACAATCAAAAATCTGATAAATGTAAGTTAAAAGTCCTGGATGTACTTTCTCATTTAAAGGACAAGCATTTTTAAAATTGCTCTAGTTTTTTCCTCAGCTTAAGTGCTTTCCTAAAAGTATTAAAAGTACTGCTCATGTATGTCATGGTCTTTAGGTAAAACCTGATGTTACTTTCAGAACATTAACATGTCATTATACCCTGAAATTTAGGGACCTGAAGACCATTATTTTGTCAGTGGGTTTTGCTTTTGATTGTCATTTGTATTTCTGCAATTTTTTTTCCATTTTCTCCATGTCTCGGAATGTTCTCTGAGGTTTCCTCCACCCTCCAACGACATGTTGACTAGTTGAATTGCAGATTGCAGATTTCTGGATTGTCTTGTGTGCCAGACCTGGAAGGGACGGGTGTCTCAGTGATGGACACTTTGTCTCTCTCTTGGGGGTTTCAGTCCTGTAGTTTGGTCTTCAAGTCTGGTGTTCCTCCAGCTTGATACTGCCCCCCCCTCTAGTCAGCATTTAAATATTTCCAATTGTGCAGATATTATTAATATTGATATTAATATTCAGAGTGCATTCAAGTCAAGCTTCTTCAGCAAGGCTTTAATTTAAGTGGCATCTGGCTGCATTTGCTCATTGCATCTACTGTTTCTAGTCCCTTATGGTCATTTTTTCTTCTTAGATCTTTAATTTATTTTTCCCTTTTCGTAAAAGGCACTTTGAGGAGCTACTTTTAAAGGCCCGATATACATTTATGACATTGTCCTATCCAGGATGTAGTCCCATCTTGACCCTTTTGCACCGGGGACAGTTTCTAGGTGGATGGGGGGAAAGTTATGCCTTGATACCAAGTTCATCTACAGTGCCTCCTATGTCTAATCCAGTTTTTAGCATTCTTTAGTTAGTGCAATACAAAAGTATCCTCTTATACTAATAACCTGAGTTGCTAAGGTTTCTTCATACTGTATATCATGTCCTTCAAGTGCTGGCAGCAGCTTACGGAGCGGCCATTGAACAGTTTTGACTCAACACGTTTTTGAAAGGGCTTTCGGTTTGAATACACTGTACTGGTGCAAAAAGAACACACGAAAACTCAGATCTAGAACTGGATTTAATTGACTATTTAAAACAAATGCCAAACAAAAAAAAAATCACAGAAAATGTGAACAGAAATACAAAGCGGTAGTTTTCAATATGAAACATGACAGTTTTAAACGAAAGCAGTATAAAGCTGGTATGACCTTCCTGAGCAGCAGCACTGTCGTATGGACCCCTCCAGCCTCCCACCAGACTGCTGTGGGATGTTGCACATTGTCCTCTGCAGCTGTAGCCAGCTGGCTCCTTGTCACAGCACTGGCAAGCCGCTCCCACAGAGACACTAACGAGAGCCTGAAATCGGCATATAAATCTGGCCGTGGCAAGACAACATTGTTTTCTTGGGAGTCCTGCCAGTGTAGTCCTTGCACTGTGTGGGCTTGCATTGTCATGCTGGAAGACCAACGCTTCCAGACTGGCTTCCTTGGTAAAGAAGAACTGAGGGCTGAAAAGAATCCAGCAGAGGATGACTGAGCAATGAGGTCACAGTCTGCACAAGAGGCACACTTGTGTTAATCCCACCTCATCACACTTGCAGGGCCCCCTGCTGGAGACAACAAACGCGGCAATAACGAACGTATGATTGCCACCAAATTCCAGGCATGCCTATGGAAAGCCTTTTGCTGCCACAGTAAAATAAAGGTTGACTTGACCAGACAGATGCAACATGCCAGATGTTGGGCCAGAATCTCTCCTAGTCCTCACAGAGATGGTTTCTCATTTTCACCTAATTGTTGAAGCAGAACCTCATTCTCCACCTAACATTTAGCAGGAAGTCTGCCTTCAATCATGATAATAGGAACCAAGCAATCTAGAATTTCCAAGCTGCTCAAGTTGACATGGTCATCTAATTTACTGTGCCCGTGATTAAGGAGTGATTTCGATTGGTTTAATAGATTCTTATTCATTTTGGTCTTTTTGTCTTTCATGAACAACAATGATTTCAGTTGAGCATTTGTGTTAGCCCCAAGCAACAACGCCAATCAATCACTTAACGGATCTGCTCACTACTTAAAGTGTAAATGTTTGGGCTCAAAAAGAATTTGACGAACAATGTACACTGCTGCACTTTTATTGTGTATCAGTATTTTGTCACTGCTGCTCTGGAACTATAAACATACATTTAATCCCATGAGTTATACACAAAAACTGTGCCAGACCCACAATTAAACTGTTGCTAAACACTGAACAGATGTTTACATTTAAAAGAAGTTAATACTCTGTTAGGCTACAACAAATATTTTAAGCAGAAATGTTAAGGATGCAAGGAACACTGCGTAAACTGGACATCACTACTAAATTAATCTATAAGAAGCAACTACAATCAGACCTAAAAAAGTCATTTTTATTGTTACACCTCAAGTACTCTTTACAACAAGTTATAATTTTCTTTCTTACAAGCTGTACAAATCGCACAATGAAAACTGTAAACAGTGCTTCAGAATCTAACTCGCAAACAGAACACCTGGTTAAAAACGCACCAGAGCTACGACTGAAACGTCTCCTGTATGTGTTGCACAACACTCCTGTACTGAATAGCTTTGTTCAGAACTAATCATAAGGCAGTAGTAACATAAACCTAGGTACTCCTTTAAGGTTCAGTAGAATTATTACATTGCAAGGAGTACTGCTTTAAAAAAGTATTTAAAGAAGTAATTCGACTGCAATACTGAGCTCTTCTTCAGTCTGACAAGTAAAACCATTAAATGGTATTCTATGTTTTTGAATCCAGGTCAATCTTGTTTTCTTTATCCACTGTTATATGGTCAGACAAGATTATCACTCAGTACATCAATCAGTATTTTTTTCTTGGTTCTGTCATCAAGAGGCAGGTAATGCAAAAATAAATAGATTCTAGTTAAAAACAATCCACATTTTCCTAATGAATTACATTCTATAAGATGTTTAGTCATATATCTTTTTAACATGAATATGTTCTCTTTCTATATATGTAGAAAGATAAAGCTATTTTACTGTTTTCATACAAACAACACATCTGATCATTTCTGAATATGTTTAACTGGGCTAAAAAAACTGAGGTGAGAACTACCAAACTAAAACTGAGATTTCAGTGTTCCCATTTCTACTTTTAAATGACCACATGCGAAAGGTGTAAAAAAAAAAAAGCTGGGTTGGGAGACAGTAAAAGCCATGCACTTACTCATTATACAGAAGTCACTGCACAGAAAAATCTTCACTGATCCACTCTCAGGTTTTATTTAAAGAAAAACACTGCCCAGAAAGAACATCGTTTGGCATGTGTTTTAGCTAACAGCCAACAATGAAACATTCTTCCCCAACAATCAAGCAATGTGGTCCACACAGAGTAGTTTTGTGGTCTCTCAGAGTCTGACAATGTACATGCAGTATCAATAATTTACCTCATCAAGTTTGCAAGACCTGAACGTTAATCGCTGTTAATTCTTCTGCAAGGAAACTACACTACCTGTTAAACTTGCATAATACCTACAAAAAAAAAAAAACCTTTCAAGTTTCTTAGGACTTGATATAGCTTACGTACTCTAAAGGAGTAAAGAACTGATAAAATAACAGAAATTTGGTTATAGTTCTTAAAATGACCAAAGCAGCAGAGCCTTGAGAACAGTTTCAGCCGTTGGTTTAAAAGTGCACGAAATTCCAAATGTTCACATGGCATCAGCACACGAAAGGGGCACACAGCTGACACAGGAAAATGCTTGTAAAAGACTGTAAACTTTCAGCAATTTAATGCGAGGTAACATAAAATTTCACTGTACCAGAGAGTTCCAGATCACAATGCTGTGCTGTTTAACTGGAGATACACAAACTGCACTTGGTTCCTAACAGTTACTCCCAAGCCGGAAGCAAGTCAAAATCACAGGAGTCCCATTTAAGCCCTTCAGTGTGCAACCTGTGTTTTCTGCAGTGTCGACACAGCAAGCACATCATCGCCAACGTTCAGTAGAATGAAACCACTTCTGCATCAGTTCAGCGCATCTTTGAACATGAGCGCCACAGAACTGTTATTAAATGACATCACGTTTAACAAAGCAGTCTGCACAACACGCAGCTTGATCTCCCCATGTCACGAATCGCCCGCCGAAAATAACGGTCAAGTTCAGGTGGTCCTTTTCAAAAGAGTAGGAACAGTGAAAAGAAAAGTGTGGCGGCTCCATCCTCCACAATTCCAAATCAGTCTATTAGCCTGCATTCACAAAGCTCCTTGTAAATCCTTTTGCGTACTTTGGGCATGTCCTCTTGGGAAAAGTGGAAAGGTTTTCCTAACGCCAGGCACTTGCAATACTAATGAGAAGAAAGAAAGAGAACGCAACTCAGATCTAGCAGCAGACTTCAAAAAGTAAAAAAAAACACAAACTGCAGTTTTTATTTTACCTGTAGGACGAAGACGCCACAGTCATTGTCATTCTTCTGCTGCGGGATGCACTGTGAACAAAGCCAGGAAGACATCAGTGCCCAACACTCTATATCCACATCATAGTTGTGTTAGTTGACACTGTCAATTCTAAGGCACCAGTCAGGTGTATCTGCAAACAGGTTTCTAGGAAAAATGCCATTCCAATAAAAAGCACCCTTAAATTGGTAAAGGTCTGCACTCAACGATCTAAATGTACATGAAATGTTGTTCATTAGAGCCAATTTTAACTCTCTAGTACCACAGACCTGCAGAGTCAATTTCTGCTTGGTGTGGTGTCCCCTCAAACATTCTCTAACATCTCAGGAAGTACAGACAGCCTAGGGCTAGTTTAGGGCTTAATTTCAAGCTGAACTAAAGGCGTTTACTAAATGTTTAAAGGAAAACAGTGGGGATAGCATTCAATTTACTTTACCTTGTTGACAATCATTTTCCAGCCTTTCTGAAAGATTGCCTTCTTCTTTTCTCTTGCTTCCGTTAAGATGTATTTCAAGACGTTCTAGAAAGAGACAAAACAGAATTGCTCATATTAATGAACCGATCGCATCTCAGGAACCCCACACTTCCGACGTTCATGCTTTCGACACCCAATTACTTGGCAGCACAAGCAAGGCTGTACACAAACTAACACTGTCCCCTCTCTGCACATCTGTGCATGAGGAGTGTCACAGACGAGAGGAGGCCTCTCAACCAGCTGCTCATTCAGGAGTTACTAGATAAGTGATCCACGGATCCCATCAAGACTTTTCCTGAAAGGAATAGGGATATCAGCTCCTACAGCATGGCCGAGAAGCCTGTTCTACCCTTCCACAAAGGTTAGGAAGTGCCCCCTGTTCTCATTTTAAATTCACGCCCACATGGTTTTTTCCACCCTTCATTTATGCGACGCGCCAGCTGGATCGTGAGAATTACCTCCACAGGGTACTTGAAATGAATGCCTTGGGAATCATAAAACTGTATGTTTTGGTTTGCTATGTCGACGGTGATCAAAGACCAGTGGATCTCCAAGTGTATGGGGATTAAGAGGAGGGATTTGGAGAACAGATCCACCTGGAAAAACAAATCAACACACAAGTTACAACGGCAACGACCTCACCGAGCCCGAAAATAAGCACCTTACGGGCTCGTCGGCAATATTCTCCACGCTGGTCTTTTTTTCCGCTGATATTCTCACGGCAGGGCTTTGATGGTGTGGCTCCCTGCCCGGCTCAGTCTTTAAACCCAAAGTGAGCAGTGGGAAAAATTACCTACCATGACCTTACCTTTTTGGTCCACCTCTTTACTCCTTCATATCCTTTGGTTGAGAGCTGTCTGTGAAAGAAGCTGTTGAAGAAGTGGACCTGCAAAAACACAAAACCACAAGTGTTCAAGACAAAACTCGCATCATAGCTTCAGGCCTTGGCAGGATAAAATTATTTTCTATTTTTAGTGAGCTAAAACAACTTAAATGTAATTAACAAATATGCCATTAAGATAGGACACAACTGTCCTAGTTAATGACTCCTTGGACGTAAATCCAAAAACAAACAACAGAAAGGGAAACAAATATTCTGCCAATGAGTTAATGAGAGATTTTAATGAAGGTACAGTCCTTTATGAAGTGTGCACTTCACTCTAGTGTGCTCACCTTATGGTTTACAGCATCCATGATCAGTTCTCCATACATGTTAATGACCTGGAGGAATTGAGCAAGAAAGAAATAATGTTTCAAACAAACACGGAATGAGATACGAGGCAGTATCTCAAAAATATATTCTCAAACGGTACTGCTGTGCTCTTACAATTATTTCAGTCTTAATGTGTTAATGTAACGTTCACGTATTAAGGAGGCACATGCAACAGAAACGCATTCTGCATACAAGTCCTGGCCATTCAAAACTGTCTCTTTCACCATTCATTCTCAACTTCCATTTTCCATTCTGGAATATTTTTTTTGCAAATATTCTGACTTTATACTCATCCATGAAATGAAAGGGTAAAAAACACCAGCTATGGTTCCATCAAAGCTACTTTTTGGAACCTGTCATATTAAACATATCAAAACGGCAGAAGGACACTTATTCACTACTTAACTTGCATACCATCACATTGCTACTACTGCTCGAAAGCCAAACAATATAAACTCAACCTGATCGTTCAGCCAGTTATGGCCTTCCAGTGTAGAGAGATCCTCTAAGGTTAAGGTGTGCTTGTTGTAGGTCACTTTGAAGAAGTGCATAGGAGCACTGGCAAGGCCAGCCTGATACTTTCTTACTTCTGAGTATACGAAAGCCTTCCTGAAAAGGACATCAACAAAGAAAAGAATTGCATTTGTTTCACATGAGTTTTGATCTTTTGTAGTCCATCCAAGATACGCAATCCCTCAGCTCCCCCCTTCTCAGGCTGGGACGGTGCTCTGGACCCTCCTTGGGAAACCAGGGACGTCTGGGCTCTGCACTGCCCCTGGTTACCAGGACAATCCTGAACTCCTCTCCGAAATCACGCAATCAGGGAGGGAGCAATGAACACACAAGAACAATGGCATCAACCTGCCAAAGGTCCAGGAAAACACATTTACTCCCACGGAAACTGGAAAGTCAGGGAAAATAAAATGGTATTTTCGAGAACAAAACGCACGTTACTTGTTCCAGTTCCAATAGGGCTTACTTTCTATAAATGGAGAAAAAACATGATCATTAATGAAGCCAGCCTCGTTCAGATGCTAACGCATTGATGAGGAACTGCTGTAAGGCCGCAATTCCATGTGGGGGAACAGGGCAGGGCTCACTCGCGTTACGGTGACTTGCCTTTCCGCGAGGTCCTTATTCACCACTTTAGACAGGTGCTCCAGCACATCACTTTTGCTCAGAGGAATAAAGCTTCCATACTTTCCAAAGAACTCCTCCAGGAAATCTGTGAAGAGAGACGAGGGGGTGGGGAGAAAGCACGCGTTAGGAAACTGGCGAGCAGCAACGGAGGGGGGAGCATGAAGCGGAGTTCTACTGAAGGCTGTACCGTGGATGAGCTCCCGGAGTTCTTCGTCGCTCACTGCCGCGCTCCGGAGCGGCTTGTCGCTCGGGCCCTCCTCCCCCTGGGGAGAGCCGTGTCCTTCCCGGCCGGAGAGGCTCTTGCAGTAGCGGTGATCCCGCAGCTGCCTGTTGAAGGGGTCGGCGCACAGGTGGGGCGCCTCCACCTCCATGTCCTCGGGCTTGCCGGCATCCTGCCCGGCCGTGCCGTTGACCAGCGGGGGGGCGGGGTCGGCCCCCACGTCCCGACGGGGGGCGTCTCCCCCGCCTCGGGATTTCCTCGGGTGCTTTCTGTTTTTTTCCCCCGAGGGCGGGCTGCGCGCGCCGAGCTTCTCCGCGGCTCCGCTGTCCGAAGGAGGCTTGCTTTTGCGCTTCGTTCTCCCGGAGTCGCCCGCCTTGCACGCCGACTTCTGGCCGCCGCTGGGCCCATTTTCAGTCATGTCTCGGGGCTCCGCCTCCTCGGAGACGAGGGATTCTTCCGCCATCACCTCTCCCGAGAGCCCCGCCCCATCTGCCCTCGACGTATTCCACAGTTTCTTTCTCAGTCTGGGCCAGACGGTGTCATTCACTGCCGTGATCAAGTCTCTGGAGCCTGCTTTCAAGCTGGACAAATGGCTGAGCACCACCGCCCTCAACCTCTTCACTCTCAGGGTGGAGATCCTCGAGAAGTGCTTCACTTTTCTGCCCTTTCTGCGACTGCCATGCCGAGACCTCTTGACCCTGCAGAGAAAATGGATGTCGAAAAGAGACGGCCTCTTATACCGCATCAACAGCACAGGAGTTCTCCTTTTATGTCCGACACCTGACTTGGACCTGACCAGTGTGCTGCTCCACCCTGCCGGCCCCTTCAGCTTCCCCTTGCTGCTCCGATTCACCCGCCTTCTGCCGGAACGCCGCTTCCTCCTGCGCAGGGAAGCACGGCGGTTTGGCGCGGCGTCTCCGTCGGCTGATTCTGCCGAGGTGTCTTTTACAGAAACAGCAGCTCCCTCGTGGGAACGCCCTCTCGCACGAGAAGGCTCGCCGGGGGACCTCGGACGCCGAGAGCGCCTCTCCCCTCCCGTGCCTGGCCTTCCCAGAGGCCCGAGCGAAGACGCGTCCTTCGAGAACCTGGCGCGGCGCGTTGCCGAATTTGCTGGAGAGTGCTCCTCGAGCTCCTTTTGGGCCGCTCTACTTTTTGACCTTCTGACTCTGCTCGTGGGTTTGTCCTCCAGCAGCTGGTACACAGCTCCGTGCCATTGCTTTTTGTACAGGAAGGGCTTCTCTCTGCGTCTCTCGATGCTGTGGAAGAGGAGGCGGCGGAAGGGGCTGGATTCTCGGATGCCCCACAGAGGGTCCGACGTCAGCCAGGTCCTGCTGAGGTACGCAGCTCTTCTCGTCTTCACATCTGCTGGTCTCTGACGTCTGGTCACATTCCGACGCTGCATTATGACCCAGAGAGGAAACTGCTCAAGACAGCAAGAGGAAAAAACCCAATAACGATCACCATTTTCAATTGGCGCGTGGAAAGGCATTTCCCTCAGAGCAGAAAAAAAAAGGTTACAAACCATCCACCCTGCCTGGTTGCGAGTTTTTTTTTTAAGGTCTGGCTTGTGCATGCACATTCAGTACTGCATTAAAACTCTTACAGCGCAACTGGAGTTGTGCTCTTTGAAAACAAAGGTAAATTACTGCCTGCCAAATTCATATCCAGGCAGCAAATTGTCACTTAGCAGTACCCCCTCTAATTGCTTCCAATGGAATACCATCAATGAGATCATCATTTACATTGTTTAAAACTTATCAGAAAGACTTAGTGCTCATGAACTGCGCATAATTCAGTCTAAAACGACACACTCGTGGTGATGTCAGGTGACTAAGAAGACTCACTGGAATGAAAGGTCTGATGGAGAACCAAGCGGAGAGCTGGAAGGAGACAGTGAACACACACATACAGCAGCCTAGAGCTTGAGTGATTTTTACTAGCTTGGAAGTTCATCAGCCACGGCTGTAAATCGTGAGGGTACGCTTCAGAAAAACAAACAAACAAACATTTTTATACAAATGTGTAAACAGCATCTCATACGAAAACGAAATGAGACCAGTACCTGCCACCTCCCTTATGCATCTTAACACTATTCTCTTCATAGATGAATAAATTAAAAATTACACATGTAATTTTAACCTCCTGAGATTTATTAAGACTTATTAATAGTAATTGCTAGGCATAGCTTCAAGAAGTTGAGAGTAAGTTTCACTCCTAATTAGCAACAGTGCCGGACTTTTATCTGGTGTCAGGCGGGGTTTTTGAGACGATCAGCTCGTAACAGCTCGTCACCACCGACTTCAGCTGCGGAAACTGCACGTACGCTTTAAGGGGAAGAATTTAAATCAAACGCCCAAATGTATTTATGTTTTTTTTTTATTTCCCCAGTAGTGATATACGGGAAAGAGTCAACCTTACTCTTAACTCAGAGAATTTTAGTTTCTTCCCCAATAAATAATTAAGGTGTTCACTTCTTTCCTAGACATTCCACAAACATTAAACCAGAATGCACACTACCCGTAATGTTTTTTTTCTTTTATACAATCAGGTGAAACTGAAGACGGGTACCTCCAACCGCTTCACGCGCAGTTTGTGCCTGATTTTGCAAAAACCCTTCAAAACTGCCAACCTTTCGTCTTTTTCTTGCCGAAACAGTGAAAGGCTTCTCTCTTTTTTTTAAGGGGGGAAGGGGCAAGCTTTTTCGGATCAAGAAACTCGCAATGACGATGTAAGCAATGAATCCCCCGCTGTTAAAAATAAAAAAAACTTAGCGGAGTGTACAGGTCTGCTCCAACAGAAAACAACGCACTAACGTCCCAGTTTCCAGCTGTTTCTCCCGGGAGCCGTTTACAGCGTGTAGATAAAGTAATTTCGCATATAGAATAATAAAAATGTCTACTTTACCCAAATCCTGCCATTATTCAGTAGTAGAGTGCTGCAACACAATGTGGAACAATGATCAATCCAAACAAACCGACTGCGCAAAGTCAATGCACTCCGCCTCCTCCTGCACCGCGGCCCGTCGCTCCTCTATCACGTCATCAAGCGACAAGCGCCAGGAGCTCGCTAGACACCACGCAATATTAAAACAGACTATCGCCCTCTACTGTTCGGGAGGTGTAAGCTCACTGAACGTGAGTGAGCTCTGCAGAGGGAGACTCCCACCTTATCTTACACATGGATTGAGATACAAAATCAATTTGAGGAACACAGTTATTATTGATAACAGGTAAAGGTTTCCGTTCTGAAAAGAAAAAGAAAAGAGACACGAAGTTTCGGCTCCACAGTGACGCAGTTACCTATTCTTCATGATCGCTAACATCGTGCTTGACTAGAGTGGACGAATATGGACACGGCAGCGGCTACACAATTGATTCAGTTCAATTCAATGTATTTTTGTGAAGCGCCTTACACAACAAGGTCGCCTCAAGGCGCTTAACAAAGCAGGTGACCATACATGTTGTGACATACAGAACAGAAAAGACCAGAAGACAACTGAGGAGAGGAACCTAAAACTCCTTAGTAAGGAGAAAAACAAACTCTAGGGGTCCAAGGCCAACTGGTTGCCCAACCCCTCTGGGCATGCAAACATTATACAATTTTTAAAAAAGGAAAAAAACAATAAAAGTATTAATCCATCCATCATGTCTTCTGTATTTCAGTACTCCATGCAGATCTCTGTAGACCAGCAAAAGCCTCCTGAACAATAGCTATATCCACCATGTCCCTCTTGGATCCATGGCAGTGATGCAGCATCCAACTCACATGGTGCCCAGACAGGGCGCCATCCGGACATGTGAGGGGAGGAGAATAGGACAGTTTGGTCAGAACAGATTTATCTACCTGGTAGATGTAGCTACCGTGAGAAATGGCTCCAGTTAAATGAATTGAGAAGTTTTGAGGAACCATTGTGTGAGCCCAGAATGGATTTGAGCCAAAACACTACTCTTACAGCAACTGACCAGGTATCATCATCATCATCATCATCATAACATTCATCTATAAAGTGCCTTCGCAAGCCCAAGAACATTGTACACAAGAAAAAGAAAAAATAGAAAAAGTACAAATAAAAGTAAAAATACATAAGAACATACAGATCGAACGAAGTGCAGTCAGACACAGGCCCCAGTAAAAAAGTGAGATTTGAGTTTGGACTGGAAGTGAATCATAGAATTTGTCTCTCGGAGGAGTTGGAGGAAGGACATTCCATAACACTGGTGCAGCAACAGAAAAGACACAGTCACCACAAGTCCGAAACAGTGAGTGAAGGAGCAGCCCCCACAGGAGGGAGTGTGGATATGGTGGGGATCGGAGATTTATAACAGAGCCAGATTACTTAAAGCCTTCAAAATCAATAAGAGTTTATATCGAATAAGTTACTTTAAATGCAACCAATGTAGAGATTTAAGTGAAGGAGTGATGTGCTGCCAAGGTCTGGCTACGACTCAAGACCGCTGTGTAACATCTCAGCTGAAAGGCAGCACGTCCTACACCAGTGTCCTGGTCACACGTTCTGCTGCAGGGAAGAATTCTGCCACATATTTCAAGCAGGTAGCTGCGTCAGTGTGCGTGGGCTGCAAAGGAACAAAACCTTTACGGTTTATTCCCTGCTGGAAAGAGAAACACAAGGATTCGGCTGTGCAGCCGCCTTTGGGCGTGGTCATCTGAAGAAGGCTCCACAGCCGAATCCTTGTGTTATCTTAAATGTTATCTTTCTTCTTTTCTGCGTGGAATAAACCTTTACTTGTTCCCTTGAATGCCACATACGTGCCCACCACCCCCAGCAGCAGCCAGGCTCATTTCCAAGTCTCAGCAGTGCCCAAACCCAGCCTCGCGAGGTGAGGGGCCACTCCCCTTGTCTTGTTCACCTCGCCTTCGTGAATGACTTTGTTTCAAACAGCGCTGCAGGGAGCCCTTCTTTTTTCAGCTGTGTGGAAAACAACAAGTCCATGACATGACTTTAAAACCTGGGGAGTGAGAGAAGGCTTGAAAGTAAAAAATAAGGATTCTTCCTGCATAATTAGTACCCTGGCTCAATCGTACATCTCTGAGCTCCTCCGGGTCCACACCCCCTCCTGTAGGCCCCCTTCCGTGGAGGGTGGTCCTTTTCTCACTGTGCCTGAGGCTTTTATACACTTCATATGCTTACATCCTTTTAAGGAGCCAATGTTAGAAACATTGACTCCAAATAATGATAAAAAACAATAAATGATAATTAAAGGCACAGTAGCTCATAAACGTACATTAACATTACCTATCCCAAAAATACTTTATTTTTCCAATTGTGTTATCTTCATCCATTGTACAGAGAGTGTGAGAATGCACAGAATATTGCTTGTGCAAATGTTTAATTAAATAATTTAAACATATTAAACATTTAGGAGTTCCTGGAAAGGTCTGCTCAGCCCCTGGGTGTAGATTTTTTTATGCTTGTGTGGCTTCACAAAACTCAACAAAGGTGCAAGATTTTACACTAAGCAAGAGAAAAAGAAATTAAATCACAGTTTATCAACCTTGTTCTAGTTTATGTCTTATTTCACAAGGTGTATGCACGGTTTGTAACCAGCTCAGGTGCTTGAGGACACAATGAATAGATTTGTTTATTTTATTTTGTATTTCTGGTATTGATGTACAGTTCTATACATGACAACAGGTACAATATTTACAAAAGGCAAATATAATATAAACACACTAACCCAGGAGCACCGCAAATAAAAAGAAACACTTTTGCTGACTTGGTAGAATGACAAGAGACAATCAAACAAACAAGTTTCTCTGAGAAAAAAGATGAAACAAATCTGCTTTTCTGCTCCAGTGAGGTGCATCCATGTTTGTAGTTTGGAAGGTTTCTACAGTGAAATAAATGCTGGCTCTTCACAAAGGTCTGCCTGCTGGAATGTAGTATAATTGTTGTATGTCAGTGAGGAAGGACATAAGCAGTTTGAAGGCAGCCAGCAGCACATTGCAATCACTCCTGTTCAATTACTTTCTCTGGTGAGTTTTTCAACTGTGTGATAACACAAGGCTAGCATGACTAGAAATGCACTCATACAGAATAACAGCAATTTCTGTATTACTTTCGTGCTCTGAGACAAATGTACTCTATATGAATTTTCTAAAAAAATAAATGAATAAACAAACTTGGAAAGACTTTTCTTCAAAAGCAATTTTATATATTCTGTATTTCAGATGTTAAATATAAAAGTTCACAATACTGTTTGGAATTTTAAAATAAGTTATGGCAAAAACAGCTTCTTCATCTGCTAAGATATATATAGAGGACTATATTCAAAAAGAAACAGTTGTATCTGTATAGAAACATTTCTTGTTCTTCAGAATCTCACAAACACATATCTGAACATTTGAAAGAGACAAAGTATTGAAATACAAGCAAAAGTAAAATACAATGTAACAATATTTAAGATCATTATCAAAATCAGTGCTAATACAAATTATATACTGTACATATACATGGTTTTATAAATTGTAAAGACTTTTTATTCAATGCTTTATTAAAAACTACAATTTCTATAAGCACATTCCAAAAAAACAACAAATATTCCAAGTACCGTTATAATTTATATAACAACAAAATGCACTGTTGACGCTTATAAAATCGATAGCAGGTTACTGTCCAGACTGAAATAGAAGTTTAATATTTTGTTCGTCTGTCTTCTTGGAAGTTGTAGGCAGCACTTCGACACACAGTGGTTGAAAAGCAGGCCAAAGACGGAGATGCTTGTAAATTGTGCCTAAAGTTTAGAAAACAAAATGAAATGTTAAGCTCGTTTTAGGTCTGCAGTGCTGAACACTTCCACGGAGAGGCCGCTAGGGGTCACTGTGGGACCGTCCCGTCTTCAGTTTTCTTCGTGGAAGGCCAGAGTCACAATGTAGCCGTACCTTGCCTCCGTCGTGCAGAGCCGATACTGCCCCCTCCTGGCGGAGTGGTATTTAATTATCACAGATGGCTTGAACACAATCCCTGGACTGTAGGACAGCTCTCATATTATCAGTTATTCAGTCGAAGGGTCGTGGACCTAGTCTTTTTTTCATAGGTCAACCAATCCAGTTAAGCAGGCGTTAACTGTAAAGCAACATCTGAGTCACCACTGCCGGTTAAGCGCTTGGAGAGGAGTGTCCAGAAAAGCTCTCTGTTAAGTGTAAGTGTGATTATTGTTGTAAATTAAAATCAAGCAGCTGTCGGTGAAATAAAAAAAAGCAAACCTGAAGAGATACAGTTCACACGGGAGAGACCGACTCACCTCATAGCGCCCCGCTGGCCGGCGGAGTGTGGAAAGTCTTCACTGTGGCCGGGCCCCTGCCCGAGGGGCTCAAAGCACGGACCCGCACCTCGTACAGGCTGGCCGGCTGGAGATCGCCCACGGTCAGGGAGGGCTGGTCCTGCAGGGAGCACAACGGGAACAGGCAGCTGTCGGCATCGTCCAGCAGAGGGGAATCACGCCGCCTGCCGGCCGACGCGCGATCCGGCACAACCGCGCCCGCAGCCACCAGAGGTTGGTGGTTTGTTTGAGCTTTTTAAAATGGATGTAAGGGGGTGTTTGCAGACTATTTCGAAGTGCAAAAACATGAAAGCGGTCCGGACATTATTTTTATTTAATTTGTTTAATCTTTTTTCATAACTTGAGTTTTTGTAGTAATATGTACCCCTGACGATCTTTTTTTTGTCTTGAACTGTCATATGTACTCTTGTTTGTATTGTAATTTTTGTTATTCTGTTATGCATAAATAAATAAATTGAAAAAAAAACGCAGAGGTTGGTGGGACTGACCGGGGAAAGGAGCCGGCTCTGGTAGACGGCTGTGTCGGCGCTCACGCTGCTGTTGTTGCTGGAGATCTGCACCCAGGACAGCTGAAACCCAGCCAGCGAGCCCGGCGCTGGAGCAGCAGGGGCGACCCGCCAGCGAAACTCGGCCAGCACCGAGCCATTCACCGACCGGAAGGCGGCCGTCAGCTTCTCCGGCCTCACCGCGACTTTCCTGGCCAGCGGGGGGCGCTCCGGCCTCGCTAGAAAGACGGGGATACGCAGAGACGCCTTCTTGAGCGCTGGCAATGACTTCTCCGCGTGAAGTTAGTACAACTCCTGCTCGCCGGCAGCTTTCAACGACATGTGAGCAGGAACAAAAAACACACACACACACGTCTGCTTTCAAGAAGTGAATTCCCTGTCTGAGATGAAATTGTTCTGACAGAAAGGATGTTGTCAACAGCGCTGTCGCACTGCAGTCTGGGGAGTTCTGGTTTATTTAAAGGAGTTGTCCCGGGAACTTTAACCTTTGCTAAATCATCACCTATCCGCTTAACACGAGCTAAAGCAGAGCTACAAAAACCGACACATTTCAAAAAGGCAAAACATTGAAAGGCGAGAACTGCGGCGCAGCTGGAAGAGTTCACTTTTCACACTCCTCTGTTTTTCCAGCGTAAGTTTTCTTACCTCCCCTCGCACAGGGCAGAGCTTTCGGCCCCTTCCCTCTCACCGGAGAGCACTGCGGGGTAGCGACAGAGGTCGTGACCTCTGACCCCTGGCCTGCTGCGGACACGGACTTCACAGCCACCCTGTACTTGCAGGCAAACATCAGGCCGGTGATAACGAAGTGTGTTCCCTGCAGTAGGGCCAGAGAAAAGGAGCTTGAAGTTGTCGTCGTGTGAAACACCTTCACTCAGTCTTGACAGTCGGTACGTTCTCCCTCACATCTTCATTAGCTCGTTTACAGTTCTGTGTTAATCAAATGAATCTCCAGACCAGCTTTGCTCCGAATAGTGCCCTTCTGCAACCCTTAAGTGACGTTTTAAATCTATTTAAAAAAAATCCAGGAGTCTTCCGACAATTTCAATTGCAATGATCTCATTTTAGATCAAGTCAGCATGCAGCAGATTATTAATCAGAAATCTCACTTAGTTCAGAGCTTTTTTTTTTCCCCTGACAGGTTTTTAAAAAGTGTTACAAGTAACTGCACTGTATGGTAAACATAAGAAATGAGCAAGTAATAGGTTTATTCCATGCTGAAAAAAAGAAGAAAGAGAACACAACGTTTCGGCCGTGGAGCCTTCTTCAGGTGTCATAAGAAATGAGCGCTGTGCTTCTGCGGCTGAGCCCTGTCTGGGCCTGATGAAACCCTGAAGGGCCCACTGCCGGAAGGCTTTCGTGAAGGGGGGCACGTTTAAAAGCTGCAACAGCGAGCTGCGCGGCAGAGACCAGCGCAGACGGCCACCAACCTGCACGGTGGCCCTCCTCGCGGTCTTCGTCATGTTTTTAGCACACAGCTCCGGGTACCACGTCAGGAGATACGTACCGGAATCTTTCAGACTTTCTTCATAAAGAGAAGGGAAAGAAAATCTTAAAGTTACTACAGCACAGGAGGCGGGTGAAGAAAATACCACAGGCCCGGGATTGAGCAATGCGTTTGTCACACGCTTCCCCTCCCATGACTGGAAAATCAACCAGAATCAAAGTTAGTGGTCTGAGAAACATGACACAATCATCTGCCTTTTCTCTCCGCAGCCTGGACAGCAGCTCCGGAGGGGGGCTGCAGGCGCAGGGCTATGATGTTCACACCTCTGTTTATTTTGTTGACATATTTAACAGAGAAACTTTCCCAAAACATCTCCCCAGTATTGTCGGCACCAAAACACAGTTGTAAAAAAGGCTGGAGTGCTTTTCCCTCCCTTATTCTGTATCCAACTAACATTACATCTTTCACAAAATACATCTCCTACTGAGTTCCAGGTTGTCTAAGCTATACAGATCCCTTTCAGAAACATCTGCTTTTAATTTATGGGCCATGCTGATATTATTAAATCTGTCCTCCTAGTTTTTTTTCTGAGAGAGATAACAGTAAATCAGTGCTCTTTATTTATGGTGTTCTGTGGTTTCTGGAATACACTTTTTCTCTGCTGCCATGGTGTCTCCAAAGCAGTTTTTTTGGAAATTGCAAATCTGGCTTTTTTATTTTACAAACACGTGCTGAATTATCTAAAAATGTCTGGTTCAGCACTGCTCTTGTGCCAGTAATTAAAGCCTCTGTTTTGAACAGGCAAACGGTCAAGGCAATGTGCAAAGCCTTTGTGTAACAAGGCAAAAGTATGTCTGAGAAAATGAGTTAGCATGCATCCCGATAATTATGCACATTTTGAGCACAATGCCGTCTTCTTGGAGTGTTGTGTCACTGAACGTGTTGGCTGAGCGAGGGACGTCTCTTGCCTTCGTGGGACGTCTTCCAGAAGACCTTGACCTGCAGCTGGTTGTTGTGGTAGTGTGGGGCGGCCGTCTCTAGCCTCAGGACGCCTGGCACGGTGTGAGAGCTGGGCAGCTCGTTGGAGACTTCCACCGCTGGCCCACCCTGGGCTGGACTGCCAGCGGTGTCTGCTGCTGGACAAACCCAGAGAAAAGAGCTGTTTTATAGGCAACAATTAATAGTGTGCTGACTTCTGGAAAGTTAGAGTAACTGGAATAATTCAACGGCTGACACAGAGAGGAAACCGAGATCATTGTTACCACAGTGTGCACTGAGACCCAGCACTGGATGCCAGAGAACACCAACCCTGCTGTATTTCCTAAAATCCTATTTCTTCTTCTGTGGAGCAGAAGCATTTAATAATGCCTTTCATTCACTATTAAAAAAACAAAACAAGGAAAGCTCACCTACAGTGCTCATGTTTTAAATTTAGCACAGCTGTTCATATATTTTTCAAATATTAGACACAGAATGGAATCGTGGCTTTGACCTTCTTCTGTCTAGTTTTAACTGAAGCTTAAAATACGCGCCGGTGGCAGAGGTCCTGATATTTGCGTTCCACTCAGGAGCTCAGCAGGCTAAAGCTGAGGTTATTTTTAAATTGGCAACACTAATGCTGTAGCTACAGTACCTTTTTTCCATTTCCTAAAAAAGAAAGGAGTGCCTTATGAATGAAATGTTTTTTTTTTAAAGATACTTGCAACAAAAAGAAAAAAAACCCTGTGCTGTAAACTGTCACTCAGAATCGCAGGAATAAGTGTGTTTTTGTGTTTCAGCAGCAATCCTGCCACTTTGTCATCCAGACGTCTCAAGCTCCTCACCTGGTGGGCCCTGTAGCTTTTGGTTTAACCTGCACAGTCAATTAAACAAGGGGCCTAATTATTCCAATTATTTTCTAAGTTAGACATGTATAGGATTTTTCCAAGGTCTACAGTTGATTACACAAGACGGTCACTTCATTAAAGATCAAGTTACTTATAAATCACCCCTGAGTCTGATTAGAAGTATTTCAAATTACGCTGCAAATTAAGTGATTAGATGATAAACTGAGAACTGCCTCCAGGAGACACCTGACCTTGCAGGACTGGTGTTTGAGACCCCTGTTGTAGCTGGAAGCTACGCAGGGCTGTGCTGGACCAGTACTGGGATGGCTGACCTCTAGGGCAGTGAGTCCAAACCTCCCTCCCGGGGAACCACAGTGTCTGCTGGTTTTTCACGCTGGCTGGGCTGAAAATCGCTGCCTACCAGAGCTCTGGATCTTGCCAGTTGGTACCGGGTCGATAGCCATTACAAATCCCATTCAACGTTTTAGGCATTGAAAGCAGATTCAAAAATAAGCAGCAGATGGAAAACCGAGCTCGACCAATTTGAATAACCACAAGAGGCAGCGTTCCCCCAGACCCAGGGCTGGGAACCACCAAGCAGGTCGCTACTGTAGGTGGTGTTGGTAGACCAGCAGGTGGTGCTCTTTCCTCTGGGTCAGAGGAATGCCTAGGACCACCGTGCAATGGGAGAGCTGTCCTTCAGGTGAGGCAGTGAACGGAGGTTCTGACTACTGGGTCATTAAAGATCCCAAGGCTGTTTATAAGAGCAGGGGTGGCTAAATTCCACTTTGGGCTGCACAGTTCTCCCTCACTACGTTTTCCCCATAATACAATTAAGCAATTTCACAATCCTTTACCTGAGGCTGTGCCTCTTGGGTCCTATGTTTTAGCAGTGGAATTATTTTTTTCAGATAACACTTTAAAAAACAACATGTTTACGAACAGTTCCAATACTGCCAGGGCTTACAATGTTTGGAAATGGTCTTTAGGAAAAAAAAAGTACTAATAAAGAGGAAAACAGAGATTTAAAAAAATCAGATATAAAATCTGCTGGCTTGCAATTTTATTTAAAAAAAGAACGTGTTCATTAGAAATAGAAAAAGGGGAAAAGTTTGTCGCGTTGATAATTACTCAAGTGAGTGAGACTAGCTGTGCAGCCTCCATCGTGCTGGGCTGTGTGTCTGGAATCGGTTTGGCTAAATTAGCTGGGGATTTGCACTCTAATTAAAACCAGAAACAAAAACAACAACAACAACAACAAAAAAAGAAAGAAATCACTTCTCTCTTTAGCCCCGTGAACGATATTCCAGGCTCAGCTCAGGGCAAATTACGGACGAAAGGTTAACTACAAACGCAGAGGAGAAAGTAATGGGACGTCCCCTGAGGTCCCCCTCTGCGACCTGCATTTAAACCTCATGGAGATCAGACTGATCCGAGGCGCAGATACAACACAGGCACTTGCTCCCGAAAACAGGCCGATTCCTTTCAGATGTACGATGGAAATGCCCTGGCTCTGGAGGTGTCCAGTCCTGAGGTGGGGCAAAATCTAGCAATATACAGAGCTCTTCGAAGAAAAGATTGCTTATAAAAACTTCTTATAAGTTTAAAGAAACATATATGTGCAGGAGATTTTCACAAACTAAGGGTGTGTGCACGGAGGAGTCAAAAGTGGAAGGAACTTCTTTACACAGAGGGTTGTGAGCACATGGAACAAACAGCCCAGTCATACTGGAAAAGCTGATGCTCTGATGATCAATACAACAAAAGAGCAGGATGGGCTGTATACGGTACCTCCCTCTGACGTGCTGGCTTTCTTACTGTACTGCCATGGCTGTGTTGCATGACCATCACCTTCCCGCATGAACATCTGTATCACGTACCACTTAGACAGATGTGCCAGTCTCTCCCAGACACACCTTGGGAGCATAATAGCAGATTCTGTGGAATCTACAACAGAATAATATTTACTGCTCTCTGATGCAGACAGAGAAGATGAAAACCCCTCGCCTGGAAGAAACCCAAGGAAGGCAGTGCAAGCGTTTCTAAGCAGATTAAAATGCTACCATCATTCAGGAATTGACAAGCAATCACAGCTGCTGAGTCTGCACACTTGAGGGAAGCTGAATGAAATTTCCTTTTGGAGTCTTGCCTGGACTATCTGTCACCCATGGAGTAAATGACAAGGGCGTATCGGGCTTGCCAAACTGCTGTACCTGCGGCAGGTGTGGGGAGACCCTCGGGCTGTGTCTCAGAGAGAGGGGTGCGGGTGTGGGGAGACCCTCGGG